ACGTGTTCAGCCCTTCGGCGACAGTTCCGTCTGGGCCCGCGGGCGGACAGGTCTACCCTCGCCTGCGGCACAACCAGGTCCTGCGAAGAGAAGTTTTGGCCATGGGCCACCGTCTTGCAGCACACCCTGGCGTGCAGAATGCTATCCTGGACGATCTCGTGGTGAGTTTTTTTTTTTTTTTGTCGTGCGGCCAGACTTGTCGGATCCAATGAAAGGGCTGGAATGGATGTCCCTCACCCTCGGGTGACGATGAGGAGGGTGATTGGCGAGTACATGTGGTGTGCATTGCACATGGTCTGACCGTTTTGTATTCTGGAAGAGAGATTAGCCGTTGTGACCCGCACATGGGGTTGTCGACGTTGTCCTTTCGGTAGCAAGGGCCATGAGGTTGTCGAGAGACGTACATGTTGTCCATATTTAGCACAATTATTGTCAATACGCCACAAGCGTCGTTCACAGCAACAAGACCAGACCTCGAGAGGTGCCAAGAATCATGCAGGAATTATCCAGCAGTATTGTTAGCTTTGCCTTTCTTGTTATCGGGTCGAAAAGTCGCAAAAGTGGAGATCAACGCTGTGTTTTCTCATGACGCTAACCCCTGTCACTATTCTTGATTTGTTGTTGTTGTTGTGCAGGAACAAGGTCGCCGGGTACCCTCGGGGCGGAGAGGCATCCATCCCAATCTGCAGGGACCCCCAGGGAACGAACGGGGGCTAGCGTAAGTGGTTTGATCAATAATGTGTCATTTGTCGGAAGGTTTGGATTTTTTGTGTTGAGCATGGCCGCGAGGCAGCACGGGAAGGTATTTCGTTGCCATTTTTTCTCATCTTCGCGCAGCGTTTTTCCATCAAACCTTGACCTTGGATCATGGCTGTCTTCCGCAATCTCTCCCGTGAACATACAGCTGTTGTTGTTGTTGCGACAATCCCCACCAGGACGCTCCCACCTACCCGGCAGTTCCGAGAGCCAACGTGGGCGAAACGATGCGTTGGCTGTACTGGCGCCCGCCCCTCCGAAATCCAGCCTTGTGGCATCCACAAGTCAGCTCTCTGATTCCAGCATGTAAATGCTCACCCTCTGATTCCACCGGTCTGTCTGTTGTGGCGCTCCACAGTAAGCATCCTCGGAACGAGACATGCCCCTCCCTCCGTTGGCGTTCCCCCTCAACTACCATGTACTATTTCGGATATCCCTGGTCAATTATTGCTGTAGCACCTTGAATAGAAAGACGAGGGTAAAGCTACAAGTAGGCATTGCTAAATCACCATAATCTAGCCCCCCATTCTTACAGAAAATTATCCTGAAATAACCGTTTTTTTAGTTCACATAATCTCCGTTTCTTGCCCCCTCCCCCTCCCCCCAAAACTGCAGCCGCCTGGTGGACATGCTAGACCCCGAGGAAGAAAGCTCTCACAGGTCCACTAGGACCAGCCGCAGCGGCCGTGGCAGAAGCTCGGGCCACCTCATGCTTCAGCGCGACCGTCGCGGGATGTTCGACTACGACGACGAGCCGCCCCTGCCGCACCTGCACCTGGACCCCAGGGTTTCCGCAGAGCTGGAAGGCGTGTACGCGGAGGTGCAGGCCGACGGCTGGCAGCCGTGGCGGGAGGAGGAGAAGTTGGACGGATCCGAGGTGAGCACAGTACATGGTGTGCGTGTTTTTGGCGGTGATGGCACCTGTGGTGCTGTCATCCGTTGGGGTATTTTTGTTGTTACTGGGCTCTAGGGGGGGGCATGGATTCAAGCGGCATTCCCAAGGCGCAGTAGATGACCTGCCGCCGTGGCCAGAGGAAGAAATCAGAATCACGGGCTCTGTCAGTGCGAACCGGCGTCGTACCCGCCTATAGCTCGCCCCCCAAATTGTTTCACCCCACAATTTCGCAACCGTGGGCGGACGGGCATTCACGGCTCCAAGAACCTTTTCGACCGCGTCCGTCCGGCCGTTGTTGCCCTCGCGGTGCAGAGCGGGCTGAGCAGCAGCCGTCTGAGCGACGGGAGGCTCGGCTGCTCGTGCAAGAAGTGCCACGCATCATCGGGGTTAAGCCTGGGCACGGAAGAAGAGGAGGCGCAAGAGGGCACCTGCTGGAAGGACGTGTTGGCTGAGTTCGAGTGCGACATATGCTTCGATGTGCTCGTAGGCGTGCACGTGCTCGGTGAGATGGAGAAGAATAAGAAAAAGAAGAAGAAAGACCATTCGTGGCTAGGCCGGGCCTGGCGCACGCGTGGCTTTTGTGCGAGAGGTTTTTGTGGTTTTGAGGCGGCCGATGAGAAGCGGTTCGTGGCAAGGCTAGGATAGGCCGGGTCAGGCCAGACGTTGGAGGCGTGCGCTTGAGCTTTTTTGTTGTGGTTTGAGTCGGCGTGGGCATGTGCGGGTGACGAGGGCGAGGATGATGAGGAGAGAGCGCGCGACAAGGCTTTGCTTGAAAGACCCCCCCTTGGGCGCGTTGTGGTTTGAGCGGAGAATGATTGTTTGCGTTTGCTCGTGTCCTGGGGCACACCCCGTGAAGGAGGAAAGGACTTAAGTAGTTGTCAGGTGTTTCTGGTTGTCTTGTAAGTGCAGTGATATCGTGCACGCCGTTTTAACCATTCTCAGCAATGTGGGTGTCGTTACGGGTCTATGTCTGTGTCCTAGCCTCCTCTGGTTTACTCTTGGTGGTCGTTGCCCCCCTACGCATGCGTTACTATTACGACGACTTGAGTTGCTGCTAAGCGAAACTAGCAGCCTGAGAGCGTGCCATGATACGTGCACACCTCCCCCGCGACACGCATCTACGTGTGGCTGTGCGGCATGGAAGCTAACGCTGCTTGTCTGGTTTGAACTCTGAACCCTTGGGTTTCAGCTTAGGCCTGTCTCTGTCGATGCGATTTTGCGTCACAAGGCAAATGCGGTTGGCATCTGTAATCCTCAATAGCTTGTTTTTCTGTCTGTGCGAATGTCCGTCACATGATATCTGCGATTGACATCTGAGCCTTCCTAAGTTGAAAGCGTGGCCTCTCTGTGTCTTTTGCTGTCATTGTCTTGTCACAGATAACTGTGGCCATACCTTCTGTGGCGCCTGCATGGAGCGCTGGATCGACAACGCCCCGCAGGGAGAATGCCCTGTGTGCAGAACACCCGTCGACAAGCTCGTACCCGTCAGGAAGATGGACGAGGTGCGTAGGTGTAGAGCAGTGGGACGCGCCAGCGTTTGTTGACCCTAGCTGTAAGGCCGAAATGGCACCCCGTATATGCGTTTGCACCCCATGTTTCCTCTCGTTGTGCTGCCGCCAGCGCTGTGCTCTACTCCACACCACATACATACATATGACACCATGAAATGGCAGAACAAAGATTGGTTGTGGGGCTTGGTTGCGCAACAGCAGGGCAGTGCCTGTATCTACATGTGTTCGGAAATTGCGCACTCGAAAGGTTGGCTCTGCGGCGCGTTCTGCCAAAGTTGCCTTTTGACGAGAGGCTTGTCCTCTCGTCCCCTCTTCGTAGCACCCTCTATCCAAGGCCCACTGTTTGATGTACAGCATATCCACTATGCTACAAAATCATCAAACAAGAGTACAACCGGAGTCCTTCAACTCGTTGAGCTGTTGGACCTTGGTATTAACCCCAGGGTTGTAATCCCTGTAGTCAGCGCTGCCCCATGCGGTTCATTGGCTTACAGGCGGGAACATGTGTCTTCACTTGGAAGACTGGAATGTACCTTGCTATGACGTTCAGGCGTGTATTCCAGATTTTTTTCTTGTGCAGAAGAAAGACAGCGTCACAAATGGTCACAGAGGGATTGATTCCGACAATGTTCTGTATTCCAACACCCACGAAGTGGACCAAAAGGCATGTACGTGGTCAGTGCCCCGTCTTTTTTCTCGTCTCCATCAGCTTTATTTTTCCGCGTCACGATGCTCGCCCTTGTCTATCTCCTCCACAATCCCGAAACTCAGATGATTGCCAAGGCGGTAGAAGCCGCGGCGCCCAGCAGGGAGCGCGACGCATGGTATGAGCGCAAAGCCCACTGGGAGGGCACCGCAAGGCGACGCCAGGAGGCGAGAGCTGCTGCTGCTGCTGCTGCGGCGGCGGCGACCCCGTCGCACTCTGTCGTCCACGCCCAAGGAGCCGCCGCCGGCATTTTCGGTCGCACCGGCGTGGCGACGTGGTTCGGGGCAACGGATGCAAGAGAAGCAGGCGGTAGACGCAACAGGGGAAGGGGGGAGGAAGAGGGCCGGGGTAGGAGGGATGAGGATGAGGATGATGATGATGATGGTTTCCGTCTGGATAAGATGCAGACGGTGCTCGCTGTGGCGGTGATGTTGGTGATGGCGGTCATCAAGATGAGGGGTCTGCGGTGATCCATCCATCCATCCCTCCGGAGCTATTATCTCTCTAGCTGTTGTCACGGAGTTAGGGCTTTGGGCGGAAACAACCACTTGAGACTGCGGAAATTGTTTTCGCATGCAGCGCAAGAGCTCACGGCAAACCCCATGCCGGGCCTATGCCTGTTGTTCTTGACTGCTCTTAACAACGCGGTATATCTATTGTATGTAGCGCGATTGCTTTGCCGACGAGCTTGGAGCCCGGCTACACAGGTGTCAGTACGCCACTACTGGCGTCTGTATCTCACCATGAAGCGGCGGCGTGATGCTCTGGGGGGGCTTAGTGGTCCAGTGTTGAGAGGTGGCTTTGTACTGCTGTACAATAGCTGGGAAGGAACACTCACGAGAGCGGGTTTGGTGTTTTTACCCGTTCAGAGTTCAATGTCTCCCCTCCAGAAAGTGGGGAGGGGTTGTCTCTGGTGGTCCACGGGGAGATTGTGGTGTTGCGGCCTCCTCACACTCAGCGCTACGGTATGTGATAACGGTAACTGCCTTGCAAGCCGTGGCAAGGGTTGGGATTGAAAGTCTGGCAGATGAGGCTCATTGTTAGCAACCTGTTTGTTCTCTGGCGGGCAAGTCATGGGGCGTGGTGTAGTCGGGAGAAGTGGGGGGTGGGTATGGGGGCCAAGGACAGCGTACGTCGAAAGCTGTCAACCGATTCAACGTTTGTCGAAAAGCGCTGGACGCGGCAGTTGTGTTCTTTTCTAGGCTTAGCGTGAGCGGAGTACGGGAGGCTGAGCCGGCGATATGATTTGCTAATAGTATTTTTGATTTGGTAGAAGAGGGCCACAGCAATCGTTTCTCGGTGTTAATATTTCCATATTTCGTTTTGGTCCCGCTTTTTCGGGGCGCCAGTCTACACCTTTTCTGTATATGTTGGACACGGCAGCCGCGGTGGCGCGGGTGGAAGGGATCACAGCGGCATTTTTTTGTTGTTTTCCCTCGTGGGGGATACATGTAGGAAGTAGGGTTCGGAATTTATTTGTTTGTGTGGGCATGTTGCTGTGGAAGCTGCAGCCAAGCCTTGTAAATATGGAGTTTAGGTGCCTATATTGATGAGCTGATGGCGTTGTGTTTCGGACAGCTCAACGATTGGCGAGAGTGTGGAAAATGATAACTGGTACTTGTGCCAACCAATTTTCCTTTTTTGTCTTCAGGTGGTGTAATCACAGCAGCTTACGTCAAGCGGCATCGTCAAGCCCGTAACACTCCCACCCATGCATGCGTTGAAGGACGGGGGACTTCGCAGTTTAGTTACCCCCCCCCCCCGCCATGGGCAGCCGTGCCCCTTACCCTTTCCCCTAGATCTACGGCACTATTCTGCGCCCGCAGAACCATACCATGTCAGCTCTGTCCGGTGTCACTGGTGTTTTTTGTTTTGCGGCCCATGTACTCTTGGAGCCAACCTTACCACCTTTCCGTACATGGCGGCATCGATGCGAAAGAGAGATGCAGACTAGGCAGACGTGGTTCTCAACGAAAACCAAAGCTAAACGGCCGTTCTGACGAGAGACGGTGCAGTGTGTTGCGGCTTGTTAGCGTCGCTACTGCTTGACCGACCGGGTGCAAGCGTGCGTGTGCAATAGTGGATCAGCCGGAAGGATATTGTGTTCAGTTCTTATTTCTTTTATTTCTTTTTTTTGGCAAGGCACACGGAAAATGTACGCCTTTGAGCCAACCTCCTCTCGGCTGTTCCATCCTGGAAAAGTGTATGGTGTACACCACAGATTTTTTCATTTGCATTCACGACCCACCCCCCCACCCGTCCCCCCTCTCCTCCGCCCCCCCTGTCGGCGGAGCGGTGGACCAGAAACAAACAAACACCTTTCGCAATTGTAGTCCTTCTCATGAAGAGTTAGACTGAAAAGCGCGGTAACATTTTTTCTATAAATTTTGAAGCTACACCGGACAACATGGTTGAGACCATGCAGGATGGTGTTGAATAAAACGAAAACAAAATCAATCACCAGGGCCCATCTGCGTTAGTGTCCCGTTTGGGGGGATTCCACGGCTTAGACAGTAGACCGCATAAATTTCTAGCGGGGTGCGGCGCATGATCTTGCACTTTCTCTCTCTCATACACACTGGCAGGCCGCAGGACTACTGTACGATCACCACGGGAGGACAACAGACTAGATGCAGGCGCTCGAGATCTAGTCTTCTCGCATCACACCGCCTATCAAAATGTGGGAAACACCTTTTGGAAAAGTAGACTACAGGTCCACGCGAAGGGAGGAAAAAAGGAAAAAACAGCATAAAAAGAGAAGAAAACAAAAAAGACGTACTGATCTGATGATGCTGCAGGCCACACTCCAAGGAAACACGTGCCGATCGCAAAAATACGAAATAATCCACCTCATCATACAAACACCCTCCCAAAGAAACCCAACAACAGCATCGCGCCCGACTCGCGGAGACCGTCTTCGCGAGATTAACAAGTTAATGAGGAGATAGAACAGGGAAGGGGGCACGCAGACCGTAGTCCCTAACCCTAACCCTAACCCTAACCCAACTTCTCCGATTGCATGCGTTATCCAACATGTTCACATAATCGAAAAACCCTGCGGACGCTACAACTGACTCGCAGCGACAACAACAGATCACCCTCTCCAGGCGCACAACAACTTTCACGTCACCACCTCGGCAGAATAAGGAAGGGCGCACACACTTCGCTTGGGTCGCTCACACCCACACATCGACCTTCGCCTCCATTATCGCCGAGGGCAACGTGGCGGGTAGGCTAGGGGGTGGGGGACCGGCCGTTCGACGTCTTTCCATGTAAGATAAGAACTATCGACTATGTCGGTGGGGGCTCCCAACACTTTGCGGACAATCTTGCATCTCTGGGAGAACAGGGAGCACGAGACATCCGAGGAACATGAAAAAGCAAGACACATACTAACCCCCTAGTTCCCAAAGGACCCCGAACATACGGTTAACACGTAGGCGAGGTGGACAAGCAGGGAAATTTATTACTAAAGAGTGATTAGCTGGTACACATCTCAATGTGGGTGACTTGTACTTCACTTCAACAAAAAAAAAAGGAGACGCACACAGCACTTTTTACTCACTCTCTATCATCCGTAGACGAAGTACAAAACACCAGACGACACGCCCGCTAACACCCCCCCCCCCTCCCACCGTATTCACACAGGGTCGAAACTCCGTTCTCTCCCGACCCCTCCCTCTACTACACCTTCGGCCGTCAGCCGAGACCCTCGTCGAGACCCCTTCGCCTTGACTGGCCCTTCCGCTGCCGCCGGTTGCCCCGCTTCGCCAGCGAAAGAAGGCAGTTCGTTTTCGTCGAAGGCCGGCGAAGAGTCCCCGAGCCCTAGACGCGCTAGCAGAACCCCCGCCGGGTTCCACCGACAGCAGAAGCGGCGGCGGCGGTTTTGGGGGGAGCTGCGAGACGGTTTCGGTAGCGCCACGATCCCGATAAAAAACTGGCAGAGGACCGTCAGGGTCGCCATCGCATACGCGTAGTCGACGCTCACCGACACCTGTGCAAACACACGTGGCACACACACACCAGGGTGACGCGTTCCTGTTACAGTCAGCGCGGTCCCCGGGTCCCCGGCAGTTAAGAACAACGCCGTTGAGAAAAAAGGTTCAAACGCTCACGAACAAAAAAAAAAAATGTGGGTAATAGAAACACAGCTCAGACGTGGGTACTACACTCTATGCAGATCATATGATATGATACCCTGTGGGTGCTCGACGGTAATGACGAGATATGTAAGAATTGGGGCCTCGACTCGAAAAGGACGTTTCTTGTCTCCCGGCCCCTACTGCTACTGCTGTGTTGCAAAACAGCCAAAAGAACGACACGGGAAAGGGATGAAGCAAGCAAAACATCCAGCGCTTTTCTACTACTTGAAACGACAACACCGGGGGTTCGCCACGAGACAGATCCGGAATAGGCGGGTCATCCTGGCACACAGAAGCGGGACTGCGAGGAATACCGCATTTCTTTGTGAGATGGAGTGCGCTACATATAGATGATGAGACGTTTGCCTTCATGCACTCTGGACGCACGCAAGACAGGCCAAGCCTGCAAGAAACCCCATCAACATACATAGCACCCCCACTTTGAAGGGTCGCGAGCATGGCTTGCTTCACTTCGGCCTGGTGAAACTCCTGATTTCGAAGCCAATCTCTCAAATGAGCGATAGCATCAGGCTCTCTCGACAAAAGAAGCCGGTTTTTCGCCCCCCTCCCTGCTGCAAAGACTTCAACACATGCCCTTCGACGATTGCTGTGATGCTACATCGAGACGGATTTTTTTCTGTGATTGCATGTACTGAACACTTTCAAAACATGGGCACTTGGTTTGTGGCCATCTGTTGCGAAATATTATTGTTTAATCTTGATTGCGTACTTGCCGAGTTTCAGGCTCTCTCTGTAAAAAGCTTGGTGTGCGTCCATCTGTTGCGTTGCGAAAATATCTTTGTTACTGCTGTTGATTCCTTAAGTTTCCAAGCAGGACGTCTCGGCAAGAGCTTGGGGGTGTGTCCATCTACTTCGAAATAATGTTTTTAAATCTTGATTGCGTATTTACCGAGTTCCCGCAGTCCAGGTCGAACTCCTCCGAATAGAAGGCTACGGCCGCAGCTCCGATGGGCCCCTTTACCGCTATCAAGAAGCCGATGATCGTCGTGCCCAACAGCCACCCTGCCATGGCCAGCGAGGCTAGGCACAACCGCTTCACCATGCGACACTGGGCTTCCTGCAGGGGCTGCTCGCGCACCAAGCGAGGCACGTAGTAGACGAAGAGAGACAAACCACACGGAATGACACAAAGGCAGACATGGACACAGACATCAAGACACGTGCGCGGGTGTGTGCTGTCTATAGCTTGCGACTCAGCACGGTTTGTTCAGACAACCTGCAACACCGGTTAGTAGCAAAGAAACAGGATACAGTTGCAAGACCGAGAAGCTGAGTGTGCTACGTGGACGTGGGATGGAACCGGACGGTTTTCGACCTAGGCCTACCAGCAGCATTAGCAGCAGCAGCAACAACAGCAACAGCGATAGCAATCCTACAACAACCCCTCTTTTGTCCCACGGGCCTAGGACCAGAAAGCATCAACACCAACAGCAGAGCAACACCGACATCGACTCAGGAAAGCGGTGTGCCTTAACGCTAAAGTAAACATTAAACACCATTCAATAGACGTTCAAAGTCACCTTTCGCCGGCCGTAGAGGAGCACCGCAAGACCGACGGCGTTGAGCAGGCCGTCCGTCGCGTTCCCCACCACCGTCAAAATTCCCATCACGGCCCCCACCATGCTCATTTCCTGGGTAGACCGCAAACGGGTACACATGCCGAAAAACCACACGTCAAGGCAAAGAGCGAGCACCGTGTCCCATCATGTGTTATTAGTCATCCCATGTGTTTGCAGTCGGTAGCACCTCCAAACACACCGTGCGGCTACTTGAGTTTCTCGACCGAAAATCCCCCACTTGGCAGAACTCCTTCGCCATGCATGGAACGTTCTCATCACTCTCGAAATCCCGTAAAACAATGCCCTCAGAAAACCAACAATCCACCTCTAAAAGTACCGTGGTGGGTGAGGAGGGTCAAAGACAGGATGCAGACTCCCTCGGCAGGCAAACTCCCGATTAAGCCAATCGCGTATTCTCAAGCAACTTGCCGGCAAGCACGAGCACAGGCTTCCCCCAACATCAGGACAGAACCGACTGGCAGACGCTAGCTGTACGGAGTAAGGAGCGGGCGATACAACACCGAGCTGCACGCCCAAAGAAAGCCCTGCAGGTAGCATACCAGCAGCGCCGGCGTTCCAAACTCGTGGCTCACCTCTAGGTTGAACGTGACAGCCTCATCTGAGTTGGCTACGGCCTGTCTCCACCCGACCCATACCCCGAGGTCTGGCTGCAAGAGGAAGAAGAGGAAGGCAAGGGGTGGCGGATTCACGCCGGAAGTATTTGTTACCATCGGTTCGTTAGCACAAAAAAAATGTTTGGCGAACGAAACCCATCACCGAGGCCCTGACGCTTTGATGGCTAATAGTATGCTTCTAGTAGTTGACTGCGAGGCAATGAAAACGAGAAATTCACGACGGTGTGGGGGGTACAGGGGTCGTTGTACTGCGAAAAAAACGGAGGTCGGCATGAGCCGTTGCGGTGCGGTGAAGGACATCAAGTAAGATACAAACGCCTCATTGAAAACCGTCCCACCGCAGTCGGCATATCGCGGAACGGCCTATAATAGTCAGGTGTGCTACCCAAAACGGACTACCTCTAACAGCATGCACCCTAGACGCAAAAGCGGCAAAGGTACGATTGAAATTTCAGGAAGCCTCTCTAAAACAAGAACGACCAACGGGGGTGCTCACCAGAACGGTCTGCGATGCTCCCTGGGGCAAACACTTGACCTCTGCGGCGAAATAGCCTTCCTTTCGCGCCGTGAAACTGCCAAGGTTAAGGATCAAGGACACAGCGAACCCGATGCAAATCATGTCATGAAAACCCCTGACCCTGCTGCTGTCGCCCCCGCCCCCGCCCCCCCCCCGTCTTTCCCCTCCACTAGTGCTGTTGCCGTTGTCGTTGTGGTGGCGGATGTTGTAGTTGTGTTCTCCTTCGAATGGCCCGACATCGAACTCCGTGGCCCCGGCCTTGTCCTGCGGGAACGTGGAAAAAAGACTCAAATTTGGATGGAGATTGCGCAGGCTGGAGGCCTACTGTATGCTGCTGCTGCCGCTGCTGTGTTGTCTGCCTTCGCCCAAGGCACCAAGAAAGCGCAACACCACCTTGATTCCTCGAGATAACACGTGAAAGAATCTGGTCACAAGACCAGTTGCCACCCTTGTGATGAATATGTGGTGATGTTGGGAATGGCCATGGAGAAAAAAAAAAACTCTCTGTACAGCTTCAAATCAACGGTCCGACATCACGTTGAAATCGGCACAAGCGCACTACTAAAACCTGCCGCAACTCGTCGCCTTGACCAAGGCCATCACTGCCGCGTACACATCCCCAACATCGCAGACCGGGTGTCGGTATTCACCTCTTGTTTCCGTTGTTCGATTTCGCCAACAACGACAACGCCTTCCCGTTGCAGGTCTTGTCTCACGTCCTCCCTCTCGTCTTGCTGCTGCTGCTGCTGTTGCCCCCGCCACACGGACAAGCCTTTGGAGGTGCCTTCCCCCACTTTCTCCCCCTCCAAACCCTGTAATCCTCCACCGTGTGCTTCTCGTATTTCCGTGTCCTTCAGAAGTGGAGAGAGAGATAGAGAGAGATAGAGAAGGCGGTGTTGGTGATCGTACATGCACACATGACCGCCCAGCTCCGTGACCCCTGAACGGAATCTGTTTCCCTGATGGATAGGCAACCGGCTTGGCTGAATGACGATATTCATACGCGGTACCCTGGAGCCATTGTGTCTGCGAAGATTCCTGGGAAAATGCCCTGTGTGAATATCAGCTCTTCGTCCGTATGCCACAAGTATCATCAGTGTGCGTCCACGAAACACGTGATACAGACGCAATTATTCGTCCAGTTATTATGATGTTTCAGCTGTCGCTCTCGGTTTTACGAACCGACTATGTATTGTACACTAACGTGTGGTTGTCACCGAGGGGGGGGGTCGCCGAACGCGATCATAACGCATACCCCGGGTCCAACAATCGCAGGGTGGGGAGGGGGAGGGTGTACTCATCGCTGTGCATGCCGTAGTCGGTAGGCCATTGACCTCGCATCCCTACAAAGCCGGGGCCGAGCAGGGCTTGTAAAATGCGGGTGTTGGCGTTCGTTCCATTTATTCTGGCGCAGTGTATTGTACACCTTTCGCTCGGTGGTGGTACCTATATGTTTGACGTATCGACCAGGGTCATATAGGAGGAGGGTCACACAGACAAGGCGTTTGTTGAAGCCGTTTTCTTGTTTTAAACACCCCACCGTTTCCTCTTGCGGTGCTTGGCTTAGCTTCTATCGCGAGAAGGGCCCAGCCGTCCCTTCCCCTTGTTGACCATCAAGCCCTACTAAGGAATTTACAAGTACGGGTTTTCGAACGAAAAATGCAGAGGTTTCATACATAGCACTCCATAATCAACTTCCAACCTAATACTGGTTGATAGGTTTACGAGGAAGGTGACCACTAGGCCATCGGGGCGACCAATTTGGAACACATGTACACCAAGATATGGTGACTTTTCATTTTTCTCGCGCGGCAGAGAGTTTTTTCTCGCGATTCCTTCTCAGGGGCACGCAGGAGGCTCGTCGGTACATTCGACTAACGCTCGTGCCCGGAGCTCGGTAGGCCTCCGTGACGCGCGAGATCTGACTGTACATTGTAAGCTATTCGATTAGGCCCAGGTGTGGGATGCTACAGTTTACATATCTGTACCTATAAGAGAAAGAAGACTTTCACACCCCGTGCAACCATTTTTTCAGTCGTTTTTTGTTCGCCAGTCAATTACTGGGTCAGAAAATTGGTGGATGACTGGCTTTTGTTTCGTTGTCTACAACCAACAACTGCTGTACTGCCCCAGAATGTCGGGCGACTTTTTTGTTCCAATCAACAATAATACTAGCTCAGACTCACCAGAAAGAGTTGGTTACTACTCTAACCCAACTATTAGACATGCTATTAGACATGCAAGTGTTTGTTTTGCGTAGCTGTCCAAGGGGGTGTACCTCTTTCTCCCTGGCCCGTGATGCTGACTCCTAGTCTCAGTTGTTACCTCGCATAGCGCGCAGAGGGAGCGGAGGAATATCTGTCGTTGATTTCTATTGACTTGCGGACCCCGGGGCCAGTTTATTTGAGTGTACCTTTTTAGGGTAAGTTAGCCTGTGACCACGGGAATCGACCGCGTCAAGTGTTGGATCAGTAAGGACATAATATGGTACTGGGTAGAGAGAGATCGGAACGGTTTTTAATGTGAAGACAGCAACAACAACAACAACAACTGGAGTGAACACTTCCTAGGCCGTCAAAATCCCTCTCGATACATTCGCTGTGTGTTGCTTGATTAACTTAGACTAAACAAAAGAGACCACGGGCGGAATGCGCACAGAACCCCAGTTGCATCGGTCACGACTCCGCTCTGTCTCGGAAGTTGTTGTTTGCAGGTACAGTCCATGCGATACCCGCCTACAACAGCAGTAGCGGTGCTGTGTCTACTGTAGTCACCCACACTTACGGTATACCCTGCAGTAGCCCTAGCCAGCAGGCTGCTTTCACGTGGCTGTTGACTCTTTCCGTCTCCCACAACAACAAAATTGCCACACGGAGTATCCTACATACCGTAGGTTGCATGATGTTAGATAACACCCCCCCTTGGGCCGATTTTAATAGCTCGGCTACTGCACGACGAGGAGGACGCCAAAATCAAAGGATACCCTGCCGAAATGCTCTCCACTAGACGGTTCCAACGCCTCGCCATTTTCGACACAGCATGTCACTGCTGTTTTCGCTGCAGAGCAATCGAGTTTTGAAAATCGATCCAGGAGGTACGGTACCATGTGGCAACAGCCATTATATGTATGCGTACTATATGTGCTCTGTTCTTTCGGTACAAGGAGCAATGTTACCCCACCACTCTTTTTGCTGCACACGGAGCATAGTATGTCCCCGAGCCACAAGAAGACCCTGGGGTCGAGCATACAACAATCATGTAACATAGGGCGAGGGGTCTACTTCTTTGCACACGGAAAAAGAACCAGTAGACATACGGGGGCATCCAGCGGCTCTTTCCAAGGAACTTTAGATTGTAGACTACACCAGACTCACACAAACGTTGACTTCGCAAGACGGGCGCACGTGGGCGACCGGCAGCGAGTGGAAGACGGCGTGTGTGTGTTTCTCTGGCGCCGGGTTGTAGTTCAGTGCTCGCTGCGGGAATGCTATGCTACTGCCGCTTCCAGCCTCTCTGGTGTGCATACGAACATTACGTAGATCGTTGGCTACATTCCTCCGCAAACCGCCAAGAAAACGCTGCGTGAGACACACCCACGGTAAGGGTCGTTGCCCACCTGAGGACGCCCTCCCAGCGAAGCGTTGCTAGTGGGCGCGCACGCCACGTGGCCAAGGTCACTGTCCCGAGCATCGACTACAGTAGTGGGTACAGCAGGCGTCATGTTAGCGTCGCTGCTGCAGTGGTTGAGAGCACGGAGAGGCTGTCTCCACAGCTTGCCCACTGCTGTTCTACCACTCCCGCCATCATGACCCTCCGCGGAAGGTTCTACGTCCTCCCATCCTGGCGCAGGCTGACCCATAGCGTGCGCTAGCGAGTCATCTGCCTTTTCTTCCTGAGGGTATTCGCCTTGTCGCTGGAGGTCACAACCCGTCGTCTTCGGGCAAGCCTGGTTCCTCCCTGCCTCCATGTCCGGTGCTGAGGTCGCTGACTTTTTTTTTTCTTTCCTCGAGTCAGAACGCCGCCCGCGGCTGTAACTCCCAGCCGTTTCGTGTACTGCTCGGCTGTACAACCCGAAAAAAAAAAACGGCGGAAGCACCGTGTTTACACCGTGCGACCAGACCCCAAGAGTAATGAAGCAAGAGCCGCCGCAACCAGCAACGCTACCAATCCGGTCAAATCCAGTACACCCCCTACCCAACCCTGTCCAACTACTACCTGTAGAACGGACCCTGTTGTTGTTGTTGTTGTTGTTGTTGTTGTTGTTGTTGTTGTTGTTGTCGTGGTCTTCACATTTCTCTACCAATACCTTCATCTGTCCGTACTAGTCTAACAGTTGACGCGGTCGATTCCCGTGGCTACAGGCCAACCTAACAAAAAAAAGAAATATTACTATAAAAATAGACCCGAAGGGTCCGTAAGTCAATAGAAATTAACGACAGATTGCCAAGAACCCCCCGCTCGCCTCTACTGCTGTACACGCTATTCGAGGTAAACAACACACATACATACATACATACCTAGACTGGAGAAGAAGTCAACATCACGGGCCAGAATGGTAGGTTTATTCCCTGGTTCAATCATGGTTCTTAACAGAAGAAAAGAGAGGCGGTCATCATCCGGAAATGAAAATAAAAGAAAACGAGAAAGACAAAGAAAGAGAGGAAGAAAAAGTAAAAATGTTTAAGTTTACCCCACGAGGCGCGAGTTCCAGGGTGCCGGTCGTGGTGACGAAGAAGGCGGCCCGCACATGGGAACCCCACGCATGAAAAATACGCATGAACGTCAGCCACAAACAACAGCAGCAAATTAATTCAATATTTGGCGGAGTATTGTACAGTAGACATGCATGCCGTTCGGTTCATTATTTTACATCATCCCGTTACGCTTGTTTCTGGACTGCGGTCCTTAGACTCTTGGGGTACAATTCTGGATGCACCAGTCGGGGTCACACACAGGACCTTCCTTCTCGCGAGAAGAATTAGACGTGTTCGTTCCCTCGTCGACCGTGAAGTCGAACCTTATGAAAGAGTCCCAGTTCGTTTGTGGAGCGAGACGCGCTCCGCAGCCTCCGCATCGGATCGGAGGTCGCTATATTGGTGGTACCACGAAGAAAGGGCGGTGGTTTTGTGATTCATCCACACAGAGTTTATTTGTCAATCAATGCTCCGGTGATTTCACTGCAACCCGAGCCCTAATTGCTGTTCCTTCGATCGCCGGGAGCCGTGTACGTGGCCCGACACGGATGGAATGCTTTGCATTTCCTTTGCAGAACCTCCAGATGGATCTGGCCAATGTCTTGTTCGGTACGGTTTCTTCCTGCTACCACAAAGGAACCACACAGCAGTTTCGTTTTCGAATAGACCCCAGTCTCGCGTGATTACACCCGTTGGAAAACTCTACCCTAAACCCGGAATGGTCCGATCGTCGGTGCTGGTTTGCCCCACAAAAAGCACAAAAGAACGAGGGTCCGACGCCAAACAAGCGGTCCCAATAGCCGCTCCGGGTCTTGTGGCGTTGTGTTAAACTAAACCCTCGTGCAGAACTGTTCGGACTTTGGTCCCAGGTGGCGCGCCGTCCCCCGCCAAGGACTTGACAACCGCCTTCACCACGATGCGTTCCGCGAACATCTGCAGTTGGTAGATCACCAAGAGGAGGAAACGAAACAGGCTCGCGTTGCGGGAATAGCACAAGCTATTGGCTAACAACGAATACAGGTATTATAATTCAGAGGTTTATATCTACTGGAGAAAATAATTTGCCGTCTAAGAGTGCCACACGAATTTGGACCAACCATTGGCGGGTTCCACACACCCGCGACGTCCAAGGCACTCAAACTTTGGTGTACGCACTATAATATTTACCGGGGACAATACTAAAGAATAGACCCCCCCTTGAAACACGGGTATGCATACTAGGATTGCACCCTGACAAGCATCCAGACAGGCCATATCTTGGCACACAACGGCCACCTTCCGAATTTCCTGCCCTTCGGAGATGCGCCGCATGATCAGCGTCGGGCCCGTGAGCACGTCGATTTCTTCCCCGGAGACCTTGTCCTCAATGGTGAAGCAAAGCCCCCCGTCTTGCGAGCCTCTTTCGAGAGTCGGCTTTCTGGAGTATAGACATGCGATCGCGACCAGCAACAAGGTAGGATGGTGCACATATCTAGCGGTATTTTGCGTTTCGGGAGCCGTCACTTCAGACGAACGCGAAGATATTAAACGGTACCTAGTGATATGTTTGATGCAGTCTCCCAATTCCATCAGGACTAGGTAGTAGGAGGGTTAGCTGACAAGCATAGGGGGCGTAGAAAAGCATTTGGAACTAAAGACCACATGACTCCCCCTGGATATCTTCGGCAGCATGCTTCGTCTTCTGCGGACATGGATGTTTCTCTCTTGTCTACGTGTTCGGAGGGGTTCAGGTCGTTAGCGCTACAAAGCCTCCTCACAGTACAACACTACAGAAACAGATCTCTTGTCCCCGGGAACACCAAGACATTTTTCCGCCTGAATCCATGTAGTCCTGGGGCAAATGCTGCAGGCGTCCCGTAACGGTTCACTCCAAGGCAAAACAAGTATCCTTCGCGCGTTCGATATCCAGGTGCGAGAGGGAGGACCAGGGTTGATGCTCTGCAGCAGTCGCCGTACCAGCAGGCATTGCTGCAGAAAACGTAAACCCAAAATCAATATCTACAGCGAAACCCGCAATACTTGCTATGCTTCACGTTCACCTCTCTCTACAGAAGTGAGTGGTGGATTCGGTACAGTTGAAGTTGAGCCTCTGCTTAGCGACGTGTCCTGCATAGCGACCACAAAACCGCCTGGCACCATTACAGCCCGACAAATAGCCGCAATATAGACAATGGCGACCTGCCCTTAACACTGGCCACATCCCCTCCTGACACCAGGGGTGGTAAAACCAAGCCCAACCACTGCTGTACTCACTTTCTGAACACGACATCCACGCCAGTCACCGTCTCCACCAGAGAGAACGGCTGCACGGGAAGGGCCGTCCCAAACGGGTATCTGCCGCTCGCAAGATAGGGGGATTGTTCAGCTTGCGCACAACGCCAAAACTTGAAAAGATCAAGTTAGATTGATGTCCTGTATGATTGACAATATAGTCAGACTTGATACAGGTTAGATGGACCCCTTCTTTGCCAGGAGATTTTGAAGGGAAAGGGGCCTGAAAAGGAGAACACCAATAATCCGGATGAGCACCTGTGTCGTGGAGTATTGTCAAACTACCTGTAGGGCACGCATATCAGAAAGTGACGTCGGCAATCTGTCGTTGTTGCTGTTGGTTAGGAATGGAGATCTTTCGACGCTTGTTTACGCTGTGTCGTTTCAGTCTTCTGTCTGGTTTAGTCGAACGAAGCCTGCTGGCCTTCTTTTCCTCGCTATGCCAGACACCATGAATGTCTCCACCCCCCATGAAAAGCGGCCAACCAAAGCCAGCCGTTATACACACACAAAAAACAACTTTACTGCACAGAATAACTCAGCAACACTCAAGTAATGAGCTGGATAGCTGGATGACATGAGCGTTCAACCCATCAGCGAAATAAAATATGTTGCGGTTCAAGTATCGCCCGTACGACTCAGGCCGCGGTGTGCAAGGAAGCACACACAACGCTAGATCCAACACGCGCTCCACCGCATCACCTCCGAATCCACTGGCGCAATTCTTCCGCGTCTGCATCCTCGAAGTCCATCCTCAGGAGGAGCGCGTTGCTCTCCTCACCCCCTCCACCGCCTATGCCCGCTCCGAATGATGTCATACGCGTATGCCGACCCCTAAGCATCCTGTGCCGACGGCCACCAAGCCACGACGGATACGAGGACGACTGACGATATTGCAAGGGAGGCACTGCAGTAATCGTCCTTGATAACGTTTCTCGGAGTGCCCAGCAGCCGTCGGGCCCAAAAAATGTCTGACAGGTAGCTCGCCTGCCCCTTGCTGCTGCTGCTGCCGCTGCTGCCGCTGCCCTAGATGCGCTCGTTGCGACGAAGGCCACGGCGGTTGTCTGTGCCAGGGATATGCAGATGGCGACGATCGCGACAGTTGCTGCTGTTTGGGGCCCCATCTATGTTACACCCTGTTGGCACCAATGGAGCTAGGAAAAAGATAAACACTTGTGCAGGCCGAGCTGAGGCGGGGCAGGCAGCAGGTTTGGCGATTGCCAATGATCACGTCTGCAGGGACTTGCACAGTAGCGCGATGCATTCACGGAGCGCCATGGGTATGGATGTCGACATGGCGACCCCCCCAAAAAAGCCTGCCATGGGTATGTAAAACATTTTTTTCGAAACGCCAAAACTTCGACACTTTTGACCTCCGCAAAAGGGCGGTCTTACGCCCGACCGAGCCCCTCGCAGCAGCTATCGGAGTAAAAGGTTGGTCTAGCTGCCTTAGCCACGAACCCAGCATGATCGTAGTAAGCAGGCGAAGGATAACCGTGGCATCATCATCGGTGCGTGAGCCGGCCGCACCGATTCCGCCGCTGTGAGGCCGATCGCCGCGCCGTTGAGCTGCCGAGCCTCAACAGCGGCAGCGGCATGAAGGAGCGGTATAGGCGGGGTCTTCCGAGAGAGGAAGTCCGACATCTCCGCAGGAGACACTTGGCGTGCTTGTGCACCGGCGTGGCCTCTCTGGTGTTGATACTGGTGGCGTTCGTGCTGCAGGCGGTGGAAGGGAGGCTGTTCCCGCTGCTCATGACCGCTGCGGCGTTTGTTCTGCAGGTACTGTAGGTCCACCCTTACAATTGCATGTACAGGCCGGGGGACACGGGTTCATGGGGTTCGGTCGGCATCATCTATACTCGACGCCAGCGGTGATCGAGGGGGATGCCGAAAGGCCGGTCGATACAGTACAGACACAATGCAATACAGGGACAGACCAAGAGAAAATCGTTCGCGAAGCTCCCTTGGGGGCACGGAGGCAACCAAAATTTGTCGCCAAATATTGCGGCGGCTTTCGGCATCGCTTTGAAGCGCGGCAGACAAACACATCGCCTCCTTCATGTTTCATGTGCCAGCGATGCCTTTGTTCCTACGGGGGGGGGGTGTACGGGGGGGGGGTGTCAAGCACCGTCCTGTTGTACGGGTTTTGCAATTGGTCTCGTCTCCCGTTGGTGAATCCATATCTGCGTCTCGGGTCCACCGACAAGTTTTATTCCAGTCTTTGTACCAACGTTATGTACTTCCACCACCGAATGCAGCGATGCAACGAAGCATGTAAATCTTTTCCAGTGGGAGTCCCAACATCAAGCGCGCGGTTATCGCCTTGTGCGTAGCAATGCAGCAGTCTACGTAGCATGCGTGGTCTGGTGCAATCCCGCAACGGCCGCAGGAAACCTGCCCGACGTAGAATATGTTAGGCCACGTTTTTCGCGAGAAAACAGAACTGAGTGCTGCGCATAGCCGACGGCGGCTTAGATCTGGATGAACTCACATGCAACACTCGTGCCTGTATAGCTGCTACCGTACGCAAGTCACCCTTTAGGCCTATATGTCCCTTGTAGTCGGGCGTTCGCAGCAATATATTACGAAAACGACGTGTCCCGCAAGAAGCCCATCACCCGGTCCATCATCCCCCCTTCCATATCACTACTGTACCAAGATTGTAGAAAGGACGGTTGCTCGTTCTACATACATCAACCACGGTTCATGGCTTCCCCGTGATTACTTTTCCTTTTAACATCGCTCCTATCGAGGTACCCGCGGTCACCCGCGATAGGTTCGTATTGCACCAAAACCTCGTATTCTACAGGCATGTTAATGACGGTACACAGTTGCAGCATGGTAACGACAATTTACTTTTTTCCAGGTTCTATACACCTCAACCGAGGCATTTCTTCGATCATTATCCCTGCACGAGTTGCTCCAGCGTAGAAAGGCATACACAACAGCGTGCTCCCTTTCCGCCCCCTGATCCCTCTCAAACCCAGGTTGCATGCGGCGCCATCGTGTGGAGCAATCTGATGCAACAGACAGCCGGGTATGGGCAAATGACTGCTGTGAGGCCGTCTCAAGCTAGCTGGGTGAGCGGCGGGGGGAGTGGTGGAGGGAGTGTCGGTGGCGGGGGAGGGGGGACCGAGGTTAGTAGACCTTCGGTAGTGGGAGGGGGATCGCCCGCGACTGCGATGGAGCAGGGGAGTGTGTCTGTCGGCGCGCGGAGGTCTGTGCGCGTGCCAACGGAAAGCCGAAGAGACGCCAGATCATCGAGAAGGATTGCGGTCGGGGCGGGGGATGGGACGGGGGGGGCGACGGATGCGGACGAGGAGTCCTTCAACAGACATTTCGCCTTGGAGACGCCACTGCAGCAGGTGCGTGAGACAAGGGCCAAGAGGAATGAGAGAAGTAGAGAGAGAGGTACATATATAGAGAGAGAGGTCATGGCAATGGCGTTTGACGATCCTTGACGAACGACATCACGGTAGCAGCATACGCTGGCAACATTCGGGAAAGCTGTCCCAGGCCCGAAAACATGGGCAATATGCAATAGGCCAGTCAACCATGCAGTATGCATACCAAGGCCGATAAAACTGTGCATCCATCTAGATTCGCGAGCTCAATCGCAGGCATGGGCTTCGTTCGAACGCCGCATGCGATTCTGCGGGGTGCCAAATACAGTTATTATCCCTTGGAGACACACACCGCGCCAGCAGGCGAAATAGCCTATCGAGTACATCGACTCGAAGTACAGCGGATGCGCCAAAAGCGTTCAAGTGGCGCATTGGCGCTGCACTCCATACCACGCGAATAACTTTTTCACAAGCAGGAAGCCCAACTTTCTTCGGGCGGCATGCATCCTCCAGCAACCATGTTGATACATTCACAGGTCTTTAGAAGCTGGTGCGAATACGAACCTCGAATGTAGACAATATAGCGCCCCACAGAAGGGTAGCCCCCCCTCCCCGCCGTGATTCCGTCAACCCAATTACGCGAGGATGGGAAGCAGCTCTTGACGCTGAAGCCATTCCGCATCAAACCGTGAACCTCGTTAGAGACGGGGCGCCTTCCCCCCCCTTAGTACCTATAGCGCCCTCAGGATATTGGCATGAATTTCAAGAAAGATTTCCTCACCTGCTACCAGTTTCTGACATGCCAATTCCGCGGTTCTTAGCCCTTAGTGCTCTGGCTCAAGACAAAAACGTCGATTAGGAATGACAATACCGTCGGTCTGTCATGAGGTTTGTCTTTTTTTCGAAGTCTCTAAACGCCGAGTGACAACGATAGCCCCTCCGTAGGCACGTGCTGTTGCCCGACCCGGAAATGACACGTTCAAGCATGGGCTTGATTTTTTATTTAGTGCCGCCGATGCGCTCTGTGCCGTTGCTGATAGCACCGCTAGACTCCGGTACACAACATCGATGGGTTCTCCGCGGATAGACGAAGTTCCGGCATTGGTTTCTTGTCACATGCTATTCCTTTGAGTTGTTTGCATCATTGTTGGTGCCGCCTTGTGTTCTTGCTAGCGCTAGAAACACACCCGAGACAAACGAAAAACGAAAACATCGGACCGCCGCCAACAGAAGAGCAGACCAGAAAAAAAGTTAGCACGTCAGTAAACGAGGTGGGTGAAGTGTGCAAACAACCGTCAAGCCGTTCTTGGTACCACATCAAATACTTGTTGGCATGTTGTCGGTTGGCGTATCGGCGGGCGAGCATGGCAACGCGGTCGCATCTGTTGGGTGTGAATCCGATGTATTTCTTGATGGCTTGCATTGACCGCTTGCATTGACCGGGAGCGGTTCTTGTTTCGGTACCCTTTCGCCGATCCACAAGAATGCCACCACGTGCGAAATTATCACTCGGAACGATCGCCGCCCGTTGGGGCTTCGAATTTGGAAGCACTCAAGTTTTCATGGCTTTCGCACGGCTTTCGGAACACCATTATACACACGGTGTATCTACGTGCTCATTTTCTATTTTTCCCAGGAAGGACGGATCAGGTCACGACACAATACCTGAACGTTCCAGTGCAGTGGCGCTTTGGGCAAACCCTTTTCTTGAAACAGGCTTCCGATCTACAATGTTCATCTTGGATCGTGGGGTTTCTCTCGCCGTAACGTTCTTAAGCTGTTAAGGTGTCGTCTAAGATATGCCCGCCACCGGTATACCCCTTCGTCTTGTTTCAACGACAGGCCGCGCGAACGTTGGAGTTCATTCTGGATAAATACTCGCCAGATCAAAGGACTCAAGAGAAGCTGGAAATGGTGCTTAACATCATCAGGTGAGAGCACAAGTGCCCTTAATGTCGTCAGTTGAGAAAATAAAACACTCTGTATAGTACACAGTCATTGTTTCTATCGACAAATACACGCTGTGGGAACGCACTGCTTCATTTGCAACGTCCTTTGATTTGAATACTCACCGATGCGATACGGAGACACCTAGGGGTCAGCGTACGCTCCTGTGAAGCTTGGGCAGCCTTCGGACGATCTCGCGGGTTGTCCACGAGGCAAGGTCCTCAAAGCGCGGGCTATGACTTGTACTCTATGTAATACGGCGAAGCCGTCCCCTTCAAATATCCCCTACGAACGTATGACTCACACCGCTGTACGGCATTCTATGCCGTGCCATCGAAGCGCTCCATGCAAGGAAGCCCTCCGGGCATGAAACTTCAAGTATCCCCTACGAACGTATAACTCACAGCGCTGTACGGCCTTCTATGCCGTGCCATCGAAGCGCTCTATGCAAGGAAGCCCTTCGGCCATGAAAAGGCCTTGGACTACGAAGTTCGCCACCAAAAGAATCCCCCGAGAGACAGAATTGACTCACCAAATGCAGAGCAGTCGACCCCTGGTCTTGTAGTGCACAGCACCGCGCGATTATGGCGACGGTCCAAAGCACCACTGACAGCGAAAAAACTCACCGTACACATTAATCACCTCCCAAACTGCTCTGTCCAACCCAGCCAACCGGAGGACCTGAACATGGTGACGATCCAGAGCATAATGAACGCCGACCTAGACTCCTCCACTACCGAGTGGATCGAGGCGCAACTGTCGGCGGGCTCGTCATTGGGAGTGGCGAATCCCACCGGGATCGTGAAGTGGAACAGGCTCAGGGAGGGGCTGCAGGGCGTTGTCAATCGGCTAGCGTCTGAGGTGAGTGAGCCAGCGGGGCAAGATGCGAAGACATGCAAGTGAACCCACCAGGCTGCTTCTTTGCTGGCGAAGAACCTGGTTCTAGGCCAAACCTCTGCATGCTTTTAGTCCCGACCTTGGTGTCGTTTTCGACATCATCTAATGGGGTCGTTTTTTGTCAGTCGTTCCCTGGGCTGCTGTCGCTCGCAGTTTCTACCTACCCCATGGCCTTGTCGCGCCCAGCTTCGGAGCCCCCGATCCGGGCAACCCAGATGGTATACACGGGACAGTATCCTCTTGAGCCATTTGGCGGGACTTACTTGTAACCCGACGCGGTCATACAACGCCTATGGATTATTCTGGTGCACCCTTGACTCCGTTAGAGAAGATGAAAAGCGTCGAGGATGTTAGGCTTCGGGGCGTGCGGGCTCACCAGTCATGGTCTACCTCCTAACGACTGCTGTCTGAAACGGTCAGGGGTGAAAAACGTGTCGAAACAGAGGAAGGTGGTGTACAGACGTAAAGACAGCACTTCTTGCGACGTCATGAACCGTGCGAAGGAGTCTGTTGGCCCATGGTCCGGGGGGCTGGAGACAGTGTGGTTTATTTGATAGGATCCTGGGCGAAGTTCACGACTAAAAAACGTTGGGTTGTACAAAGCGGGGGAGATCCGGAGAACACGTGTATAGAACATCTAGAAAAACATTATGAAACTCACTCGGACGGAGCCTTGAATCTGACCGCCGGGGGGAGTGGCACGATGGTAGGTTCTGGTGTGGGGCATCTGCCAACAGACCGGGGATACCTGGATCCCCAGACGTAAGGGTGGTGCAGGTTCGTCCTCGTCCTTGTGTGCCTATGGACATGGAGAGAGTGAAAACAACTGTCAATGTTAACCCGAAGTGTGCGCATCCTTCTCGTAAACCGCACGGCAGTTTTCGGAAGCGAAGATGAACATTAACGGGACGGACACGGGCATGACGTCGCAGCAGCTAAAGCGGCAGCATGAGGTGGGAAGTGAACGCATTATCCCATTGTCGGCAGCAGCCAAGGTCGCTGTAGTTGTTGTCTTCCCTGTCACACGAAATCATCTCCAAAATCGGCCTTCGACTGTGTTATGATGTACAGCATATCCACTATGTATCAAGTCAGCGCTGACATGTAGCATAAGTGGATATGCTGTGCACCTTAACAATAGTACAATCGGGGTTCGAATCCCTCATCGATCATTTGTGACGCCTACTGTTTGTTGTACTCACTCGTCGAACTGCACCCTGCATATTTCAACATTATCTCTCAACCGTACGGGAGGTATTCTCGACGATTGATCGCATCCTGCGTGTCCTGCCTTCCGCGTTTTAGATAGCAGTTTCCAAGTACTTCGAAAAATCACAGGTTCTCCGTATGTCTTCGGTACTCTCCAGCACAAAACGCGCCGAGCTCGAAGAGTACACAATTCAAAAGAACCTCAGCCTGAGCATAGGGTATAATCAATGCCCATCACATGCCCGATATTCCTGCATCACGCCACCTCGTACTGCTGCGTGCGTTGTTACCATACCATTCATATTTTATTCCATGAGTGACAGGTGCTCGTTACTTCGCACCATTTAAGTCAATGCGTCGACCCTTCTGTAGGAATCACTTCCAGAAGCGAGCGCATGGAACAGCAGCGAGGTCACAATAATTGAGCTTGCTCTCGTGTTCCACCCTTTTTTTGTCGTCGTCGAGGGAACACTTGTATTTTAGACAAGGGGGAGGAGATCAGGGTGGTGCATTGAACGAGTGGATCACGATTTAAAGCGACAGCCTGATGAGCGACTGTATCCTGGCACGCTTTACTTCTTCCTTGCTTTGGTCAGCCGTCGATCACAAAAATATAACTCTTCTGTCATTCGGATATAGTCTATTCAATGTGGCGTACGTACGTGCCGGGGAGAGGCCAAACCACTTCTTCTTGTGGAGGCCACACGCAACAACAACTCCGAATGATAGCCTGATCGGATGAATGGACCAACGAGGAACGTTGAACATATTGTAGTACGCGTGCAGTCCGTCCTGGAGCGACAGCCGTTTTTACTAATTGCATGGTTAACAAATCGTTTTCACTCGTATACCGTATTCGTCCTGTCGCTCTCAGGTTGGGCGGGCGTACAACATGGAGAAGGCGGCGTCGGGGAGATCGAGGCGACAATCTGCCAACATCAACGTCAGCCAGCTCATGACCCTTCCTGTGAGTATCGCTTTGGTGCCTACGGTACACTCCATAATGAGTTCTTCCGCTGTTAATGATCAAGGGTTGGCTACGGTCGACGCACATTTTAGGTTCCTTTAGAAATCCCTTCAGAGGGCTGGCTTCCGCCCAGTAGAAACGTTGCCGGAAGATGTACTTGAACCAGTGTGAGCACGTTTTTGCAGTTATCGGTGCTCTGTTTTACTGTCCAAATCTTTTCAAATGAAACTTGGCCTCTTTTTTCTCCCGCTGATACGGAATACCCGACGCTCAGCCATTCGCTGCTGTTGAAAAATGGCACAAGGTCACCACTACCTCCACAACAGCAATACCACGCATATCCGGTCGGCGTTTCTCACAACATGGCACCATTCACTATTCACACAACGGATTTCTCTGAACGCACTCGTGTCGATCGGTGATTGCTACAGGGGGCGCGAAGTACCGGAGGGGCCAAGCCAGGGGCGGGCTCCATTCTGTACGAGGTAGACGAAAGCAGCCAGATGGACGAGGAAACGGAAGATGAAGAACACGCCGAGCACGAGGTAACCTTGATAGATCTGAAACTGCAGGTTTCGAGCCCCCTGGGGCAACACCCTGTCGCCGCTTCGTGTTGTTCCCGTCACTTCTAACCAATCGGTGAATGTTTTGGAATCCTGATTACATGTATGTATGTGTTCATCGACTTGGTACGCACGCGTGCCCCACCGACTTCATGTACAATGGGCAGCCTCTAATGTGTGTGCTTGCGTGACCAACTACAGTCGCGCTAGGCATGTTTTACGGAGCTCGGAGTCATGCGATGGGGTCTTGGAATAGTATGTTGCATTGTTTGTTCGCGTACGCTTTGCGGCAAGCAAAAAACAGCCTTGGGAAACAGAGCTGTCGTCAAAACAAATGACCCCAGCGGTAGGTAGCAGGCGTGCACTATCTACACCGTATTGAACCCTCGTGTCCATTGACAAAAACGTTTGCAGTAGTTGACGTGGTAACGTGCAAATAGACAGGAGCTGGGTCGTTTCGTTCATCGATAATCTCTACTCTGCGTCTAGGATGTCGAGGACGACGCGCGCTTAGAGGCAGCAGCGAACCAACAGCCTTTGATACATTTGATCTTGCCCTTCTGCAAACGGCAGGCGCTTCTCGACTTGATGCCGATGTGGCCGGGAATAGCACCGGAGGCGCAAAAGGCCCTGGTGGATCACATCACATCCAGGCATTTCTTGGACTGGGGGTTCGACGTCTTTAAGCTGGAGGTATTCCTTACCCTTGTGTCCGACCAATGTGTTCTGCTACAATTCCCATCAAAATGATTGTTTTCCGAGCCAATGTGTTTTTTAAATTTTGTTGTGATTCTGTCATCCATAGCTAGCTACTTACGCGTGTTTGTCTGGTTGTTTTTTGGCTCAAGCCTGGGGGCCGGACTCATGATCAGGTATCCCCAGAAGTCTCCAAGGTTAGGGTTAGGGTTAGGGTTAGGGTTAGGCACACTTGCGTTTTTTTTATGACCATGGTTCGGCCCTGACTGTTGGGAGGCTGTGAATATAGCCTCGGTTGCACACCGCAGTCGCCCTTGAAGGATTTCCCTCCGTTAGGGCGTCATGCGGTAACCCCTCATTCGTCAACTGCTCTGCAAAAATGTCGCAAGCACGAACGCCAACAATGTGGTGTGTTCCGCATTTGCGTACTTTTTCCTCGACCGTATTCAGCAGGGATACATGGTCGAAACGTACTCTGTGGAAACAAACGTTGCGAAACTCACCATTCGTGTGTCTTTGGTGCCCGTCCCATTGTTTCCATCTGCCTGTTCGTAGGAACTGTCGGGGGGGCATGCGCTTTGGTACACGGGGACCCTAACGCTCTACCACTACAACTTCGTTGGCGTCTTCAGCGTCAACCCAGCGGTGAGACGGAAATGAAAGCACGGCCACTCTTGCCGCTGTTCGCTGTCGCATTGGTGTCGCTGCTGTGGTGGTCGTAGTCGCTGTCGTGGTGGTCGTAGTCGCTGCTGTGGTGGTCGTAGTCGCTGTCGTGGTGGTCGTAGTCGCTGTCGTCCTCGTCCTCGTCCTCGTCCTCGTCGCCGCCGTTGTTGAAGTCTGACCCGTACGAAGTTGCTTTCACGTAGCTCCACGAGCTGCCTTAGGTTCTCGCACAAACCACCGAAATTGAACATTGTAGGCATGTATCTATAAGTACGGGGAAGAGGTTTCTTTTTCCCGCAAACAAGCAGGAAGCTCTTCGGAACTTCATCCTATACACAACCAGCTGCCGCACGGTATTGTACTTGCCTCCCGCATTTCCTGTGTCTGCGGTACGGAAACGCCTCCCAAGAGAGCTAGCGTTCGCCTCCTCCAAACTTGACTGCTTCTCCCCCATGCCATCCGGCCATAATACTGCATCTCAAGGCCTCGTGATAATTGCGAGATCATCATCTGATGCTCTGGCCATCGCTCGCAGTTTCCATCTCCCGCATGGCCCAACTGCATGGAAATCATTCGTTTCTTCGAGTCGGAAATACTCTTTCTTTCGTTCAACCTCGCGCCTCCCGCCCACCACTCGTTGACCCTGGTGGTGCCTTTTCGAACCGCAGAACTTATCACGGTTCTTGACCCACGTGGAACAGAACTATTGCTACGACCCCGCGGCTCCCAACCCGTACCACACTTCCGTTCACGCCGCCGACGTCACGCTCACCGTGGCGCATTTTTGCGAGAACTCGGTGAGAAGTGGATCAGTTTTTCTCGTTTCTTGGGTTATTGTTGATGTTGGTGTTTAGTTGGGAAGGTAGCGGAGGTGTGATTGGGTTTAGTTTTCTATCACATGATGTTTTCTCCCGTAATAAAGGACACCGAAAACATGGGCCTACGTGACGGAGCGACTATCATCCGGTTTTCGGAATCGCTGCTGCATGCTTGCTTTTCACGGGGAAAAAAGTATGTACGATGTTTGATATCAACAAGAGACCGTCATCCATCGGAAAAAAAAAAGACAGGAAGAAGCGAGAGCGACAGCGAAAACGAATCCAACAACCAGAAACGATTTCACATGTTCAAGAGTCCGACTGGCCTCTTGTATCAGCTACTTAGCGCTGTTGCTCTCTCTGCTCCCTTCTCCCCCCCTCTCTTTTCTCTCTATTGCATCAGATAATCGCTTCGGGAATCAAAGCGTTGCAAGGCTTTGCCTTGCTCGTCTCAGCGATAGTGCACGACTACCGACACAGGGGAGTGAACAACGGCTACTTGATAAAGGTATGGCCATGCGCACCTACGTACCGCGCCTATTTGAATCGTAGTTCATACCCCTTCCGTTAGGGTGGAAGCAATGACACGGTTCGTCGCAATGTCTTGTCGTGTATCGTTTGGTCGCCCGCTCGTTATCTGACTCACTGTGTGATCACGGGTTGAACAAGTCGTTAGAGTCATCACCAATTCCATAAGGAAGACAGATCACACTTCGAAGAAAGACAAATACGTGATACCGAGACCGAAGATATTACCTCAACAGGAGCATTGGGAACAACCCGCGACATTGTCCACGATTCAATAATTATTTTTGTCCGGACGTCACTCCCAAACACCTCGTCAACACCCCACATCACCAAGAGCAGCAAAGTCAACAACAGCACCTACTTTTCCGTGACAAAAAATGCATCAGGTCAAGGACGCCCTAGCCACAAGGTACAACGACGGTTCGGTGCTGGAGAACTTCCACATCTCGGAGGCCTTCAAGGTGCTGTATGACGAGGAGACCAACATCCTGGACGGACTAAGCGCCGATGACGCGAGACATTTCCGGCAACTCGTCATCAAGGTGTGCCCGCACGGACGATAGGATGAATCGACGAGTCGAACACGTGCTTTTCGAAGTGCCGAGTAGAGCACTCCAAGTTAGACAGGTGCCAATGAAAAGGTGTTTGGCCGGAATCGTTCACTGCCTGTCAGCGCAGGTAGTCTCGTTTGGCCGAGATGATGTGGGTTAGCCCAGCGGTTTGTTCTCTGGGTGCCATCCGGCGTATCCTCCTGACTGCTAAACAGCTACCATACCAATATCCCACCCCGTTTCACCCCGAATCAGAATTGCGGCCGTGATCAAGACACACCCATCTTTGCGTTGCTCCTGTTTGAACTCAGCCACAAGAGACAGCATAGACCAGCTAGTGCACAGCATGTTACGGCCATGCATAGCAAAGTTTGCGCCAGTATGTTTGTGACGGTCAACGCCACCCGTAGACTCGGCCGAGCACATAGCACAATGGCCTTGCCGGTCATTCACACCACGGCCCCCTCAAGGGAAGAGTAGACGACCCAAAAGAGCCGCGAGACCGACCTCGCCGACATGCACGAGCAAAGAACGCGATGCACGAACCTTTCCAAATCCAACCCAACCTTACCTAACCCTTTCCGTAGCCAATTTGTTTGGACGATTGGAAGGAAGAAAAACAGACATTGGCCCCAACAAGACAGTCCTCGCAACCGATTCTCGCCGACGGGCTCGAGGACACAAGTTTTTCCCTTACCGTTCCGCCAGTAACCTCGCCTTATTGAGGCCTTCCCAACCCATTGCTAGTCAAACCACCATAGTCAGTCAAACCAACTCAGCCCAACCACCTCCTCCTCGATCCTGCAGATAATCCTGGCAACCGATCTCGCCCACGGGTTTGAGTACGTTGCTCGGTTTAAGGCGTCGACAACGTCGAAAGGGGGTAGGAGAGCTAGCATCGTGCCCGACATGGGGCGGGAGGGAACATCGACACCGGGTTTGATCGGGGCCCCGGGGAGCCCCGGGGGGATGGTGGGCCCGCCGAAGGGGGGGGCAACGAAGGATCCGCTCCAGGCACAGATTCTGCTCATGCAGATGGTCATAAAGGTGAGCGTGCAACAATGTCGTCGTTCAGCATTGATGGACGGATCGACCAATGGGTTCATCTGGTCGCTTGCCACAACGACTTGCAGTCGGCTGCGGCTTTGATGACCTTCGTTGATGGATGGGCGGGTGGATGCATGGATAGGTCTCAGCTGTGAGGTGTTCTGTTCCTTTGGTACCGATTTTGATGATACAGTGTTGAAGAGTCAACTCAACGATGAACGGATGGATGGGTGCACATACGGAGGCGTTCATGTCTTTTGCTACTTTTCACAGGAACATCGTGTTTGGGGGGTCGGGGTAAGGATTATGGATATGTGGTGCGGCAGTGCTGCCACGTTGATGTTTTGCTCTCGTTAGAAGTAGTACCCTCTTGAAACTGCGATGAACCATCAACGTTCAGCACCACTAGACGAGCAACACGCAGCAACGTATGACCCTCTCAACAGCCCCCATCCCCTCCCCTGTCCGCTATCCTTGCTGCACGAAAACGTCCCACGGGAAAAGGTGGCCGACGTGTCTCATCCGATGAAGCCATGGGATTTGCACGAGAGATGGACAAGACTAATTACCGGTGAGAACGAGGAAGATGCGTCCGTGCATGGAGTAGCTGCGCACAAGGACCACGACACGTGCGGTGTTCGCACGACGTCAACAACGAAGGCACCCTTTGGTCAATGCTATTGCCGTCTACGATTTGCCCGCGCGGTTTATCTCGGACATTATTAGTCTCTCTGGTACGTCGCACCCGTTGCCCATTTCACATCCCAACTCAACACGAAAGACACTCATACGGTATCTCATCTTCCTCTGTTTGTTGTTTCAGAGGAGTTCCATCGCCAAGGCGACCTAGAGGCGGAGAAAGGAGTGCCGGTATCTCCGCTCTGCAGCCGCGAGGGGCACAACCAGGCCAAGAGCCAGTGCGACTTTGTCAACTTCGTCGTGAGGCCCTGCGCGGTAAGACCACGAACAGCGAGACGTCATACTCGCCGTCAACGGGATTGACTCAACGACCACAACACCACATACCACACGACAGCGGAGGCAAAACCAACCCACATCCTACCAAGGGACGGCAGTTCGGCTACAAGTTATTGATGACGTCGAGTCATCCGCGATTGCTATGTCAAATCGCAGGTTTCCTTCCTACTCCCCTCGACGGGGCCAGCTCACCCCGTGCCTGACAACAACCTGCCAATGATTTTGCCCTCTTGTCCGCCGTGCGATTTGCCGACAACAACGACACCAACCACTTCCGTGCGTCAGACGGTGTTTTCCGAGTTCTGCAAGGACAGGATTTGGGTCACGACGCTCGAGAGCAACTACCGAAGGTGAGGGTTCTAGGGTTTTCGCGTTGTACCACCAGAACCTTCGAGGTTCTCCCCTAGCAGAGAGGACGATACTCCCGCGGAGAGGAAGATATTGAACATCGGCACTTTCCCAGGTGTAGGGACAGATGCGTTGCACTCACGTTCGAAGTGCTGCCGAAAATGAGGGCGTTCTGTGTAGGAGCTGCATAGCATAAATGGCATGGCAGAAAAATACTCTAGAGCAAAGAACCTTCGAAAGCGAGTTGCGTCAATGTCATCATCAATGCCAGTGTGCGACCGATATTTTAACCTCCCAAACCCTCACAGTCTAGGGAAGCGCAGGAGCACTACGAATTTCGGGTAGGGATTTCCCGCCACGTAAAAACTCGCGCTACTTGGCCTCCAGCAGCAGTCTCTCCTTGGCTATTTTCAGAATTGCCAGACACCCTACAAGTTGTTTGCTGAACATGTTTCGAACGCCCCCGCCCCGCGCGGCGCCCTCCCTGCCCCCCCTGTTGCGTTTTCGGCATGAACGTTCTTGGACTGCCGGCAAAGGTGGTTGAGCATGGCATCTTGACAGCTCTTTGCATTGCTTGGATTGTGTGGCGGCATTCTCAGTGTGTGGCGTTATCAGTACTTCATGATGTTTTATTTGAATCTCCCATTTTCGATTCAGGACTGCAGTTAGACAACCCCCACTTCAGAACTTGAATCTTTAGAACTGGAGCCTAGAATATTTTTTAACAACTAGACCTTGACCTAAACCAATGTGGTATTCGGCTAATCCCCCCCCACCCCGACAGTCTCTATTCTATAGTCAGTCGGTGCTGGTTTCCTCGAAGAGGAAATGCAACTCGAGCCCCCCCGGCAAATTAAGAGTTTTGCGTGTGGGCGACGGTTGGTTCTGTACATAGAGGCTGGGAGGATTGCGTCATCGAACATCGCGAGAAGAGAACGTGCGACACGATGAGTCAGTATGTTTCAGGGAAGCGGGTTTACCGAGTGTTATCTGCGTTGAATAGCATGTAGCCGCGGGGTTAAATTGCTCGGAGAATCTAGCAAGGTGTTGGTGAAAGTACCTCGCATGTGCGGCGAGAGAGGAGTAGAAGGCGTGTGAGAGAAAGAAATGGAGGCGCGCCAGGCAAGCGTCCAGTGGAAAACTACAGCACAGCTTTTGATGTCCGCTTTTATATTTTTGTTCAGTTTTCGTTGCCGTTTGTCCGGGTGATGGGTGCGTAGCACCTGCTCAATAGCCATTAGTGTTGGCACCCGCTCAAATTTCAACCGTATTCGTTTTTTACAGTTGTTGATAATGCAGTTGCTTTCATCGACGACACTTCTTCAGGGTCTTCCCGCGTACTCGCGTGTGTCGACAACGCTACGCAAACCTCTCTCTTTTTCGACTCGCAGGTCATTGTCCTGACTAGATCTCAGGTGGGCGGTTTCTTTTTCCATCCATATCAGTGGTACTGCTGTGTGAAACCGCGGCTTTCCGAGCTTGAAACCCTGCAAAAGCCAGCCCCGGGCTCTTGACCGTCCGTTCTATTTAGGGGTGGACCGCATGTTCGTGTTGTTAATGCGGCGACTGGCTGGAGCTGCCGACGCTAGAGACGCGCTTGACATTTTCGTGTACGGGGTTGGCTGGTCGAAGCCAATCTTCTTGTCTCATGCCCGCAGATCTCGCCGTGCTGGTTCCCGAAATAAGCAAACGTTAAGTCGAGGTCACGCCACATGCACGGCACATACCACCGACCAGATCTGGCTTAGGTACCCCACCTAATAACTTGAGCCTGTGATTTTCATGCACAGAAAAAGTTGCACAACGAGACGAAAGTGCTCAAGCCGTAGCGGCGAGACAGCGCGTTCCACGCCAGATGATCGATATCGAGGCATCACAACCAACAACAGAGGGCCCTCCTGAGGACACGAGTAGGTTCTAGAAACAGCGTGCCCTTAGTGCCAGTGCCATTAAGCCCTCCTGGGATATGTCACCCCTCCTCATTGTCACATCTCTCTCCGTTCGGAGGCAATCTGAAATCGAAGGAAAATTTCATGCTTGTTTCCTGTCCTTCAACTGTCTGCATCTTGTCTGTGCTCTCTACATCACCTTGAGTCACCTGGTAGCAACAAGTGATGACTAACGTTCAACTGAAATTCCGCGGTTGCAACGCCCGGTGGAAAGGAGATACAAAAAAAAAACATTGGAAGAGGACCAGCACGGTTGCCCGAGGCAAGCTGCGATCCCAATCGAAGGAAAATATCATATGCTTGTTTCCCGTCCTTCAGCAGAGGATACACAAACAGAGGCAGCACGAAAACATTTCCTGCATGGCCATGGCATCTGTCTCGCATTCCCAATAGGCGAAGACCGGAAGGTGGCAATACCGAAGCGATGACATGCCCGCTTTCTCCCCTCTCTATCTCTCGCTCTCACGATCACCCCGGAAAGCCTCGTTTCATCAACTGCCGTGTTGCTCAAAACACGAAAAACACAAGAATCCAAAGAGAAATCAAGGCAACGAACCAACAACAAATGAAGTTCAAGATCACGTTCATGTTTTCGACAACAAATTTAATACAAAGAAGATTTTAACACCAAATCACCGTTGGCTCGCCACCCGTCTCCTCAGCGATCTACCCCTGTGCTCAAACACTTCAAACTCTCGCGTTGACTCGGCCGAGTCCAGCGACTTCCCGCCCCCCGCGGCTCCCTTGATGGGCAAGAGCGCGTCGGCGCTGTACAAGACGCCAAACACGCAGACGAAGAAGCCGACCAGGGCTTCGAGGGCCGCGTCGAGCGGAGCCGAGTCGCCGCCGCCGCCCCCCAACGCCGACGACGGTTTCTTGAACTGCTGGAAGTGTGCGGCGGAATAGCCAGCGTGGAGAAGGATCAACAGGCCTGCGGCCGAAACCACCGTTCCCAGGTGCACCATCCGACCACAGCAGCAAATAGTCACAGAGGCAGCAGCCGCAAAGTCGGACGCCTGATGGAAGCGAGCATAGAAGGAACAGGGGAGGTAGGTCACTGTCGACGAACATAGAGGGTCGTCACAGGTATAATAGAGGTAGAGAGGAATCTAATCTACATTTACCTTGCGCTACACAGGGCTACATTCAACAACAAGAGACAATCGCGTGGTTGCATGTATACGTCGGGCAGAGAGCTCGCCTGTCGAGAGCGCTTTTCCGTGTTCGCAAAAACCAAGTTGTAGGCGGTTACCTGTATCAACGTGCTGAATTATATAGAGCCCGCGGCCAGTTGAAACGACTTGGATGGGGAAACAACACCCTGCACAAACTCAAGCAATAGGGCGGACGCAAGGCAATAGGGATTCGTTCCCGTCCTCAACCACCTCAGAAACGCCGCAAGGGTTCCAGCGATCTCTATCATGTGGAGCCGTCGGAAACTCGGGTTCTATTGTCAGCAGTACAGCAGTGCGTACCGCCTCTGCGCAAGGGCGAGATCTGAACAAAATTACGAGAGAGAGGGAGGCTGCTGCTTTCCTGCGGCAAAACATGGAACTTTGGACGAGATAAAGGGGGGAAAAAACGCCACGGCGCTCGTTCTCTGTAACCCACCACCAGATCTGGCTTCGCACGTGAGTGGTGCTGCAAGTGTTTCAACGGCACACCACCGAGCAGTTCCGCACACAGAACACCGCCGTAAACACATTTCAGCTGTAGTACACTGCTGTGCACCATCAGAGGTACAGCACTAGTTGAGGACCATAAAGTGTGTATGGGATGTGCACATGCAAAAGGCTGCTGCAGAACACCTGATTGTCACGTCGACGAGGTGTCAGTGTTAGTTGCTGCAGTGGATGACTCTCTGCCGTTGCTCTACAGCTCGACAGCAGTGTCTGATGCGGTCGAACTATGTACACTGCTGTGTGGGACCAAACAACAGGTTGCCGGTAGCCGTGTCTCTTCGCTCTACCATCGATGAAAACAAATACGAGACACACAACAAACACTGGAGATCATACCTGAAACAGAAGAGGGGTAGGCTGTACGTGGGCTCTCCTGTGATCGCTCCTTGTGTCCGGTCGTGTGCTGTGTGATGCCGGCTGCACCGATGCGATGCCGACTGCGAGCGAGCGGAGGGGGTGACGACATATTTCCGTACCACCTGGGTTGATACACGGTGCCCCTAACATCGTGTGCAGGTGTCTGCTGTATCTCGCCGCATATGCATGTCACACATGGCGATATCACCCAACATCAACACATCAACGACGACGAAGACACGGCACGTTTCCCGCTAAGACTAAACCATGGTTCAGAGCTATGAAGCGAATGTCCAATATTCGGCTGCTCTGAAGCTGTCGCTCCTCTGCCTCGGAGGTGCGGCTGCGTTCATGACGCCGCCTTCGCTGGTGACACATCCCCGAGAAATGCGCAGCAGCAGCAGTGCATCGCGTCGAGCAGCCGCAGCTGTTGTGCCACGCGAACGCCGGTTCGTCTTCAACATGGCGAATGACGAGGCGAGGGAGTCTGCCGTAGCGGCAAGCGGCGCTGAAGAGGCTGCGGAAAAAGCAGCGAAGTTGAGGGCCTTTGCTGCGGAGCTCCGGTTGCAGGTGTGTTTGTCTCGATCCCAAACATGACTGCATAGCCTATTGTACACGCGGCCTTTTGCACAGCAAGTAGGAAACCCCGCCGTGGTGCCCAGCGGTACAGAAATACTAAACCTGTAGACAAGAGTAGACAAGAGCCTTGAGGCGTTAATAGAGCTAGACAGAACCGCGCAATATGGCTGGGGTGTTTATGCCGCAACCTGCGAGGTACATGTACACACTAGTTGTGGATTGATGCCACTTCCTCGCCAAATTGCCTTCATGAAAGACAAAAGAAGAAATGGAGTTGAGTTTGTAGCGTGAAAGGTTGCAAGTTTAGGTGTGTACCGGCTCAAATGCTCGCAGTCTACAAGTAAGGGCTCAAGAGAGTACTGGCCAGCAAAACGCGGCGCTGCTGGCCTGCTTGCCGTCCTGTATTCGGGACTGCTTCACAGAGTTTTGTTGCGTTTTATGTAACGGAAGTCTCTTCTCGCTTCTCTATGCATTGTTACAGTACGGTCAAACTTGACCACGCAAACGTAGATGGGACTACCGGCGTGTATAATTATAGTCCGCTTCTGATTCTAGCCGAACGTCCATTGCAGTCCTGCAATCTTGTTAAAGTTTGCCCCGAAACGTAAATCTCAGCGATGAACGAAGAAAATACAAGTTTGGCTTCGCCGCTGCGACACAGGAGAGACTCCGCAATTCAGTTGGAAACGTGGCAACTTCGGACGTGGCCGGACACCATGATCGGATTCGGATGACCCGTCTTATGTGTTTCGGATACCATTTCCGCGATCTGAACCCCGTGGACTCGTTCTGCCTGTTCGTTCTAAACCCGTGTCTACTAATGTTCTGGACACGTCTGTGCCCTCTCTCTGAACTCCCGAAACATACGTGTGGTTCGGGAAAGGCGGAGGAGTTGGAGTCAAAGAGGGACTCGGAGAAGCAGCAGGCGGCGCAGGAGGCGTTCGATTCTTTCGACACGAACGATGACGGTGAGACAAGCAATATGCTGTATTTTTAGCTACATACACTGGTGTGAGAGCAACGGCGAAACACCATTTCTTCGGGCAGACGACATGACCTTGTGAGTATTAGGGAGTTGGGTGACCTGGCCCGCAACGGCCAGCGTACCAAGAAGCTTGTAGTTGGTCGACCCCCCGGCACCATCCCCCTTGCTTGTCATGGGGAGCATGTAGCGCCTGTTGTTTCCATCGCTTGGCCCCGTGAATGCATTGGAAGTGGTGCTCTGCCTCGCCCCCACGCCCGACCCAAGATCGATGGCACGACGCTCACGACATATGACACCTCAGGGACGGTGGACGTGAAGGAGTTGATCGCAGGGTTGGAGGGGCAGCTCAGGAAGGACTTCATCAAGCGCATGACCAAGACGATGAAGAGGAAGCCTTCCCCGGCTGAGGTCGACGAACGGATTTCGGAAATGCCCGGTGGTAGTCTGCTCCCGATGGAGGTAAGGACTGCACCTGTTCTACATGGGCTTGGCAGGGATGGTGTTGTTTTGTCTACCCTAGCTACGTCATTCGCGTTCGTTCTGTATTTTGAAGGCAATAAATATATTAGAATGTGAGCATTCCAGGAGCACCGAGAGTGAAAGCCCAAGCCAACTTGCCCCTTTTTTCCCGGGAACTCTTGTGCAGTACTCCGTTGTTAGCAAAAAACGCCTGCGGAGTACCCCGTATCCAAACTCGCCTCCCCCTCTTGCACGCGTCCATGCACTTTTGGCTTCAACGAGTGCATGCACGCTACGCCCAACCCCCTCGCATTCCTCATCCGCACCAACGGCACGTCGTTCTCTCCCCAGACACTTCCCCAACCACACACTCCCGCCGCCTCGAAATTTTGCGTCATCGACCATTGACGCTATCTATAACCCTGCCCAAGCCCTAGCCCAAAGCCCTCGACGCTCCACGCCATTCCGTATCTTCGGCCACCGCAGCTGGCGCAAAAGCTGATCGAGAGTTACGACACCAACGGAGACGGAGTCCTCCAGCCGTCAGAGTTTGCCTCCAAGGCGGATATGCGGGTCAGGCTAGACAGCCTTTTTGCCGACCGTGCACAGGTGTGGTTATCCCCCTCTTTTTGTCCCTTGCGGTTTGTTTTTTCTTGGATGTGGCCGCAGTTAGATCATGAGGGAGAAAGATGCGCCGGGGGTTGCGGAGACGATTTTGCTATGTCGAACTTCGCCTTCTTCGTACGCCACTTATCCTGAGCCTCTCTTTGTTGATTCTTACGTCCTGTTGTGTTTGTTTGTGGCACCGGGGGTTCGTTTTTGTCTCTCATTTAGCGGCTGGATCAATTCTGTTTGTATGGCGACTACGTAACGTTAGTGAAACATTGACCTGCTGCTAGTGTTGATTGAATGGTGACAACAACAATAACAACCGTATGCATAGCTCTTGTGGGCAGCTGCACGGAATGATGTAGACAGGGGTGTCGTTCCATGAATACGTAAGGCTTGCCATCGAGGGCACCACCGTCGCCTTATTATCTACATTGTATCTGGTATCTTTTGTATCATTTTCGTACGAAAATCCCGCCACTCCAACCACAGGAGGCTCGGTTGGAAGCGGCCGCCGCAAGAGAGAGGGAAATCGAGAACAGGGGGGCAGACAAAGCGCGGCAGGAAGCCAAGGCCAGGGGGCTAGCCCTACCAGAGGACTTCAACGACGGCCCCCCCACCATCACAGACAAGCTACTGTCGGTCCTGCCGTACACTCTGCCTCTGATGGACAGCCTCGTCTTCGGAGCCCACATCTTCCAGACATTCCCTACCCAGGTACTTCTTGTCGCCGTAGGGTGGAGCTGGCGTAGCCGTCCTTGTTCAAGTCATTTTTGTGCCAGTTCGTCTCTCGTTTGGTAGTGAAGTCTTGCCATCACTTGCAGATGCAGATTTTATCCGTTGTTTTTCTGAGTCTCGGGACAGTTTGGGCGCCTTGACCGTCTAGTTTTGGCCTCGCTGGGGTGGTCGATGACTATTCTACCAGCCACAGTTTGTTTTTCTGTTGGATCGAACCGAAATTGACGTTCTTTCCTCAACGTTTTCTCCCTGTTTACCATGGAAGCGGGTTGTTGACCACACCTCTGCTCACCCACACGGGTTTTCCACGCGGATTGTTTTTCAACAGATTGGACCATATTCTCGTCGTCACTTACCTTATCTTGAAGCATCGCATATTGTTTGGATTTCTGGTGTTGTCGATCGCCGTCGGCAGTTGAGCTTCTTGGAGCCTCTGGTGGCGATTCTGCTTATCTACCGGTCTCTTCCGTTTAGCGGACTGATCCTGTTCTTCGGCCTGCAGTGGTTTGCTGCGAAGCCGGAGGTGAGCAAGGATTCGTCGATAGCTGAACAGTTTGTTGCTGTCGTCGTCGATTCGATAGTCGCTGTTCTTATCGTAGCGTTTGTTCTGGATGGCCTCTAGCGTGGGGTATATCATGCATTGCGTAGAATGACACTCACATCTATATTCTCTCGTATAGGGGTGATACTCTTATGTACGGATGCTGGCCAAAAGAAGAGCACGAAGCACACATCGCCGACCTCCATCCGCCGCGTTCTGCGCGCCGGCGATTTGCTGTGATACCCCGCTCTGCATCCGAGTTTCCTTATGGTTTGTTTTATTTGTTTTCGCACTTGAGCAATCGACATCATTGGGCTTACCATCAAATCGTAACATGTCCAATATTTGACAGTCCTGCACATCATGTGGTCGGCGGCGTTGAAAATTCAATGCTTTTGGTGTTGGGTGTCGACACTCCCCCCTCCCCCCCCCCCCCAATTTTTTGTCAGTGTACCCCCCAAGTTCAATATGTCGGTCGGGCTAGAAACGGAAAGTACCGTTCATCACCGCACCACAACCGACGACTTTTCTAACGCAGGTGAACAAGCTGGTGCGGTTCAACCTCCGGCAAGCGGTCATCCTCGACATCGCCATGTTCTTCCCGTCCATATTCGCCTTCATCATCACGTCCGTCCTGGGCGAGGACTCGGCGAAACTCGCCCCCCTCGCGACCGTCTGCAACGACGTCATCTTCGTGACGGTGGTGGCCTGCGTGCTGTACTCGATAGCTTCGTCCGCCATCGGGGTATTGCCGGAGTCGTTGCCCATTCTCGGGAAGATGAACAGGGAGAGCACTCGCGCCAAGGAGGACGATGGCGAGAAGGACGACGGCGAGAAAAGCGACGAGTAGGGGAAGGCCTTAGAGCCTGTTGGGGTTACATGTGCTGTGTACGATTGGGAGAAGATCTCAAGAGACTACCGTCGTGGATAGAGTATTTTTGAGCCTGGCGGGCTTTAGAGACGGAGGGTTCTGCCGGAGGTGCACCGTGCGTGCGCGATTGTTGGAAAGACAACCGTAGAGCTGGGGGCTTGTGCTTTGATTCATAGATAGACAGTTGCCCTCGAAAGGTTTGGTACTTAGAGGCTGGGCTCTAGCAGGCCAATGCGGAAGTGGAATGGGATGGGATGGGATATGATGGCCCGTGAACCTCTGTGACGAAATTAGGGTGACTTGACGACTGCTTTGTGTGGTACCCGAGTTTTGAGTGTTTTCGAGCTTTTTTTCTGTTTTTTTCCCTTCAGCGTGGTATAGTACCTTTGTCTTGGTCGAATTGGCGCCAGGACTATGTTGCCGTGCTAAGCCCTTCACATAAAGAAGTGCTTGTCCAGACGAGCGTGTTGTTTTCGCTTTCTTCGGTTCAACCAAAGAACCTCCTGAGAAGGTTGTAAGTATATGTGTTAGGATTGAGAGGGTTCTTCATGGTTGGTGCAGGCCACTACATAGCTTGAGCAAATGTTTAGGTCGTGAGCAGATGGCGTACCACCCCTCCGGGGATTGTCGTTTCGTCCTCCTATGCCACACCTCGCCAGCATGATTGCTTTGTCGACGAGCTTTGCCTCGAAAACTTACAGGATGATTGAAGAGCCTTCACTTTTGACTACTGTGTTGGCGGGTCTGTCGGCCCTTTCCGACGCCGGCTTAGATGACGCGCGGTGTCGACTTTGTTGTTCAGGAACGAGGTTAGCGTCTACGTACGAGGATTGCCATGGAGAGGGGTAGTTGTGCTGAGGCATACCCGTGGCGGTTGGTGTGTGAATGGTTCCTTGGAAACTCACGTACCGCGGGATCGACGCGGCGGAATGTGTCCCTTTCCTCTCTGACGCTTTCCATGCTATTGGAGGATTTGCCGAATTGTGTACGGTTTATTCTTGTCCCGCGAAAGATCTGAAATTCCGTCTTGTTCCCCACGATCGGTGTTGCTCCGTGGAGCGTGTAACTTATGTTACCATGAGAACCGGAGGTGAACGAGACATGGAATGAAAAGGCGAAAACCAGTGTGACGTGATGTAATGACACGCCCACTTTATTCATATGATGTGGTTGGGCGCATGTAGATGTGGTGGTTGGAAGGACTACGTCGGCGCCCGGAGCCACGAAAACAGCACGTGTCAAACCAACGACCTCGACACTGTGAGCTAGGGTTGGAAGACAACGGGGAGAGGGAATGGCAGACTGCTCCCAGCAGGGTCTGCCGCCAACAACGGCAATGGCATGGCAAAACACGCCGATAAATATTCTGGATGGGTCGAAATCCCGATTTACAGATGACAACGGAGTAAACTAAGCGCAACGTTTCTCTAGCGATTGGCTGTACACATCTCAAATCTGAGTGGGCCTGGAAGGCTCCTACCTCATCCATTTCCATGTCTCAAACGTGGCCCCTGAAATCCCAAAGGATTCAGCTCCGCGCGTCCTCATTCCCTACAACGGGTATTACGATTCCTAGGGGACATTGTTCGTCAAGACAATATGCAGGTCCTGTGGGTCGTCTCTACATCGTATCGTCATCCCCTGGCTCATAATGTCGGTTGTTGGCTCTCCTCTCTCAGTCTTTCGAAGACGTTCTTCTCCTGCCTCCTCGCTACCAGGTACATGTTTGCACGGTACACTTACGGGCTTTAACACTGGGGCTGCAGGGGCGCTCTACGTCGCTTGTTTCGAGAGTCTGCTGGTCTTCATCAACTACAGCTACCCCGTTCCCGGATTAGGTGATTCTGACGGGCCCTGCTTATTTCGTTGTTCCCCCGGACCCTGCTACTGTCCCTGCCGCTGTTCTGCCCCGCATGCTATATCTGGTACGAGGATTCGGTGCTACAGTTTTACTGCCGCCCCGACTCGCCATGCTGCTAGGCATGGTGGTTCACAACAACCTCGGGTGACCGTCATCTTCGTTGCCTTTCTATTCCAACTCTTCTACGCGGCGCAAAACATCGCAGAAGTCCTTCGTAGAACTATCAGCGTCTCTAGCTTTTTGCTCTGGCGTGTGGTCGTCGCACTGGGCATTGCTTTCTTGTCCCCTCGTCTGGACCCCCAACGCCTCCACCCCCCCCTCTAGCGTGCGATGCAAGCTGTCGTGGAGATCTTCTGCGCGCATATTAGCATCCTCGACGTCGTCACCATCTCCACTGCAATCGACTGAGCTGTCTAGTTGGACATACGCTTGAGGGGTACCCTCGTCTCTTCTTCTCAACGCTAGCTCCTCGAAACTGTTTGCGGCGGTCGGTGTAGCGTCGGACGCCGCGACGGCCTCCGTGCCGCCCCCAATTCCCTTCTCATAGACCTGAACGAAACCAATAAATCGCAATACAAGCACAAGCGTAAAACTGATGTGTGCGGCGAAGACTCGCTGTAAAATCCCTCGTATTTTCTGCATGTAGCGTACGTATATGGTACTGGACTACATTGTACTTACAGCCCTTGGATCTATGGTAGTAGTCGCCGACCGTCTACACAATGCCCAAGTAGCGCGAGGAACAGATGGTTATTGGCGAAAGATTACGCCAACCCGTGCGTACCTACCTTTTGAATTGAGATCACGTCACGTTCTCTTCGACCGCGCGCAGCTGCGCGAACGCCCATGTTTTCTTGACTCTTCCTCCTCCGGCTTCGCCTAAAACGGCTCTCTAAGGCAACGGAAGCTCGTGACTCGGACCCGTTGCCTATGATCCCCACTCCTCCTTCTCGACCTCCCCCTGATGCTTGTGCTGTCTCGACCTCCCCCCCCCGCCATGGGATCGCTCCGTGCTCTTCCGTTCTTGGTTCCACGCTGTTATATCTCCTTCGAGCGGTGCTTCTTCTCTGGGACGTTGCGGGCTCTCTTGTGGCGGGATTCCCGGCGAGGGGTTCAGCCGTAACGTTCTGCTTCGCCGGCCTCCCGGTCGGCCCTTCTCGCTCGGCGTCAGATAATACAATCTGCGCATTCTCGTCGATCACGCCGGTCGGGACCGTCAGTCGATAACTTGTGTCGTCTACGTGGAATGTGTCGTTGTGGCTCGTTTTCTCGACAGACTCTGGAGGGTCCAAAACGTCCGAACCATCCATCGGGGTGGTTCTCGCCCCCACGCCGTCGTCGTTGTCTTCGTTGCTGCTGTTGCCCTGTTGGCTGCTAAGGGAATCCCAGCGTCGCAGGTGATGCTGCCGCTGCCGCGGCTGCTTACGCGACCTTTGCCTTTTTCGGCGTCTTCTTTGTCTTTCCCGGAGTCCTAGATGCGGTCTTCTACCTGCCCGGTCTTCGGAACGTTCCACCGAGTGTTCCGGTTGTCCCGCTTGTCCGCCTGCCTCAGCCAAGGACGGGTCTTTGTCGGGCCCGGGGGAATCGACGCCGGCAATACGTACACCGTCCCCTTTGCGAAGGGAAGGGGGCGACAGAGGCGACGACAATGGGGAGTCCGTGGGGAGGGTCGGGGGGTGGGTCGATTTAGCCGTACACCTTGTGCTGCGGGCGCAGCAAACCGAATGTTGGACACAGCGACTTGAAAAACATTTTCTGAGTTGCGCCAATCGTTCTTGCGACGTGACGACCCGCAAAAAGTGAGACACCAAGCACGCACCTTCACCCTGATGTTGCTGTTGCTGCTGCTGCTGCCCGCGGCGGTTGTGTTGACGACCGACAGACGTGGTCCGCAATCCCTGTCGATGCGTCGCCGAAGGCAGTGCATCATTAGCACTTGCACCGGCGACACCTCTGCCGCCCGCGATTGTTACGGACGCTGTTGCTGTTCTCGCTGTCATCGGTGCTGCCGTGGTCTTGAGACGGCGCTTCGCCAAGGACGATGCAGACGTGCTCAACCTCGCGCCCTCTCTCGCCATGCCATCAGCTTTTTCCAGCTCCCGCTGTAAGGTCGACCGTCGCCGGTCTAACACGTCACGATGTTTCCACCCTAGATGGATGATGGACGGGAAAGGAGGAACGAGAGAGACATTCATGTACTGGGCTTGAAGGGGCATTGCGTGTTGTTGCGGCACCGCGGAGTGAAATTTCTGTGGTGGGGCGTATCTAAGGGGTATGTATGAAGCTCCGCTGCTCTCCGAAGTAGCACACTTGTCCCGGGAACACAGCACACGGTGAAGGGCTTTGGGCCAAACCCCCCAAAAAGCCAAAGCAACAAACCGGGGGGGAGTGTGGAGCAGACCCGGACACATGACAGCAATGCGTCGATATGTGCACCCAGCTACGCCGCTCACCCTTGAAAGACGCGATGGAGCCATGCGCCCCTCTTTCAAGCTCCTCCAGCAGGCGCGACGACCTTTCTTCCTCCTCCCTCTCCTTTCGCCGATGCCTTCGACGCCGGTCCCGTTGCCGTTCCCTAGCTTTATCGGCGGCGGCGGCGGCGGCGGCAGAGGCGTTGACGCCCTTGGCAGCATTCCCCGACGATGTTTGTGACAATGGCTCAGGAACCATCCCGTTGACAAGGTAGTTGCCGTCGTCATCAGGTACCTGTAGGAGTGGGTGATTCAGAAGCACTAAATAAAATGTCTATGCTGAACGCTAGTCCCGCCGGCGCGTCATGGGTACTTCTGTCCGAGGGGGTGGAGTTGAGTGAGGTTCCAGCGGAAACGTCTATCCCTACATAGTGACACAGAACGCTAGCACATCACGACCACCCACCACCAGTACGCCCCCACAACTAGTACCTGTGTGTCGGGCAGCGGGGTGCCGCCCCCGCCCGGTGTTAGCGTTGTTGATCCCGCCGTTGCTGTCGTGTCCTCCTGAGCTGCTACCGGCACCCGCACCCTCACCAAAACGTCCCTGGTACTGCCGTTGGTGCCTGCTGCAGGAGGAACGGACACCCCAAGAGGGATTGTTGATCCGTCGGTTGAGCCCAAGGACAGACCGGAGGGCCGGGTGGAAGAGATGCCACTGGAAGTCGGAGCCGACGCCCTGCGCGAAACAACCAACGAACGTTTGTGAACGGATTGTTGTGATGTAGGTAACATTGTTTTGTCTGCTTGTCGGCATTAGAAATCGTGACTATATCTGCCTAGTGCCGCACTATGTCGATCTGGTTGAGAGGAGGTCCTGGGTACCACCGAGAACTCGTACAAGGAAATCACCGAAGCGGCGAATGTTTTCCATGTCGGCAGATTCTTGTCGATGAACTGTGCCAAACACAGGTACAGTAGTAATACCTCCTTCTCCTGGAGGTTCCTCCGCTTTTCGCGACCCCGCCACTTTTTTTCATTGAGGAATACGACCATTTCGCGGCGTTTGCTCGAAGACTTTCCTCGAAAGCCCGCCTTGCTTCCAGCTTTGACGTCTCCTCCTGCACCCATGTGAGCGAAGTGGCAAGTGAGCGGAGTGACAATGAAAAGGGTGACAACCGACAACCCTAAATAGGTAATGAAGCTCATTTTTTGTATTTTTTTGTTGACGCACGTTTGCCAGTTCACGAAATCACCATTCTGCTTTCCTTTCCCAGGACTCTTAAGGTAAAAAACAAATGTCCACGATGCTTTGACACGGCCTGAGAGAGGTAGGTGTCCCCAGACCTTTCTGTCCGCTGAATATATATCATGTCATGCGCACATAACGGAGACGATCGGTCAATGGCATCCCCCCCCCCTCCCCGTATCACGGCGCTTCGCGCTTGGTGATGTGAGAGCCTGGTTCGGTGAGAACCCGGCGTGCCCCGTCCCGGCTTTGAAGGGATGCGACGCCAATGGTCTAACGACTGCGGCATGCACGACTATGAGTACCCCCCCCCCCGCATCAATTTCCAAAAAAATTGTCCCGATTGTGTGTACAGGGACCACCCCGACCAGATCCCGAAGCTGTTTTCGTGCTGACGCCTCCTTGTGCGGCTGTGCTACCTTGGCGACAAGGCTTGATATAAAGACACACAAAAAATGTTCCCGCCGAGGTTCACCAGGGCATGCCTCAAGGGCCAAGCCCATGCAACACACCCTTCCTTCTCTTTGGAACTACGCAGGCGCGTGCTCAGAGCTTGGCGTACCTGTTTCCGTGCTTCCTCCTCTGCCCTCTCTAGTCGCCTCCTGGCTGCTACGCGCTTGGCGGCCACGAATGCCCCGCTTTCCCTTCGCTCTACTTTCGCTGCCTCTTCGTCCCCCGGCCTCGCTCCTCCTGCAGTGGGACCGTGTCCAGCCGGACTTTCGTGTTTGTCGGGGCGGAGATCGGACCCCGGGAATGACGATGACGACTTTCCGCCTCGGATGTTCGCCGATTGATTTTTCAGGTTGGGCTTGCTGCTGTTGTCCTTGTGGGCACAGGTGGTGGCGTCGTTGCCGCGGCTGTTGATGTTGTCGTTCCCAGCGGAAACGGCCGAGGCAACCATGACCTTGGCTGGCTGCCGGCCGCCAGAAGCGGGGCTCGTGTAAGGCCGTGCTTCACTCTTCGGTGCTGTCGCTGCCCGCCCTTCTTCGCCATCTTTGGTAGCCACGTTCTCTAGCGCCCGTTTTCCTATGCCGTTTCCCGACGATCTTCTTCTTCTTCTTTCCGCGTTGCACCGGAAGATATGCTCGCTACGGGCAAGGACCTGCGCGAGAAGGATGCCCGCCGCAGGTGCACATGGTATCAGGCCGGCCCACCAGCGAGTGCAAGCTTCGCACGGGTGTCACGTTGGATCTGTTTTAATGGGCGACTCTCGATTCAGCACAGGAGCTTCATGCCAATCCACCCCTTGTTATCGTTTCGGGAACTCCGCCATTGACTCGGTAGACGCTGTTGCTCAACTGCACTGCAAGTGGAGAATTCTTCGAACCGTACTAGACAGAACTGTTCCGTTCCCGTTCATTGAATCATTGTTGATATTCTCGCAACTCTCCTGCTTGTGTGTCCATGTGCTTAGGTTTCTGGGAAAAATGAGTTACTATCAATTTTTCGGGAGGGGCGAAGAACAGGTGCCAATCCAGTCCAGACAATAAGAGACAGTCGGACACACAGCATCAGGTCTAGCATGGCCGCCTCGACCCAGGGCTAAGGTACTGGGTCCAGTCGGACAGCTCGTGGCTATGGCGAAGACGACTTTTGCGTGGGCGAAGTGTATTCGCAAACGTCACCTCTAGGACCATTTTCGCCCGTTTCTCCTTCGAGTTCTTGGCCGCTTCTCTGGCTGCTGCTTCCTCCTCCTCCTTTTGCTTTCTCCTGCTCGCATGCGCAAGGAGCGAACGCGTTGGATCGAGACGTCACGATCGCTGCCAAAGCCGTGCGAGTATGTACTGAGATCATCACACCCACACCAGCAACATACATATGAATTCGTTCTGACCAGGTGTTCAAAGTCGTTGCCCTATGCGAGCTTAGAATCCTTGCTGGCTTACCTGTACCATCGGCAGCGGCACGTTCGATGCGTCCGTTAAACAGCAATGGGGAAGGGCGAGCGAGTTCAACGTGGTTTCGACTGCAGCAGTGCAAGGCAATTTCATTTTTCTTGTTGTGAGAAGATCAGATTCGGGGTCGACGTGAACGTGGACGGGTTGGTCAAGGCCCCCTCTTCCCAGATACAGCATCAGTTGTACGACCATCAGTCGGGAACATATCCAAAAACATCGATAAACTTGTTGGTCGCCTGTGTATGGCGGACGTGCGTATCGGTCATACGTAACGATCGACAACGTGCTTGACACGAACCACGATACGTGACCATTTTCGAGCCTGACTAAACGCGCCCAATTAAGCTAGGTATGAAGCTCTGGCTGGGATTCTCGGCGCGAGTATCGACTTGTACCCAGCACTGGCTGATGTACATGCAATCTATTACGATCACGCACCGTCTTGACCACACTGTCCCCCCTTCAGCGCCCGCGCCACGGCCCTGGCCACTTCGTCCGCGCAGACCAGTGCCCCGACCGCCTCCTGCCGACACAGGCCCGCGCGCGTCCCACAGGGCCCTGCGGCCGAGAGGGTCGAGCTCTCCGCTCCCATCGTCAGCGACAAGGCTGCTGCTTGGGAGGGACAACGCCCTCTCTTCGGGCGAAACTTCCAAAAGCTTCCCTTCTTCTAGCAGTCGCTCTTCTCGCGTCGCTCGATCGGCGACAGGAGCGCGATCTTGTTCGCATATCGCTGGTGGGGCGCTGGTCCCGTGTTGTCCTTCTCGAGGTGATGGCAGAACGTGAGGCCATGCTTGGAAATTCTCTGCCGCGCCGAAGGGGTTTCCGGGTGGTTCGAGCTGTGTGTCTTCGCCTGTTTCATCTTGGTTTGTCGGCGGGAGAAGACTGCCTTGGGGGTCCGCTTGAGCAACGACAGTGTCGTCGACCGTCGTTTGATCGATGGCATCATGGTGCTGGCCTTGACATTCTCTTGAGGCCAGAGGTAGCGGGCGCAGTGTCTCCCCGCTCTGCGTGAGATGCGGAAAAACACCGCTGTCGGTGGACAGGCTTCCGGCATCATCAGTGGCCGTCGCGTCTCGCTGAAGGAGGGGTTCAAGTGTCACCATACCCCCGATCCGCATCGGATGGGTGTTCGGACTTGTTTTCCTGGCGTCGACGACCGGCACTGAGGGTTGCGCTTGCTTGTGCAACCCCGAAATATCCCCTATGGCGGAATCGATGCCCCTAGAGCGTCTTCGGATCTGGGCAAACTTTCGCACCACCCAGTCGTCGTCGAGAACCGGCCCCGAATTCCCCATTGTGCCTGCCGTGCAGATCGGATACAACAAAATGATGTAAGAGAGTTCATCGTCACATTCTTCCGTATTTGCGATGCATTGCTCTCGAGAGAGGAGGGTTGAAGCTGCACCATAAGTTATTCCGCTCGTGAGTGAGTTGGCTGTCACGTTCCCCGACATGATGGTCTCGAAAGCCATCTTCTGTTGGTAGGAACCACAAACAATTTTAGCCCAATACTTTAGGTGCCCAAAACGTCAGGCGAGGATTTCGTTGGGGAGGGTGGAAGCGCGGTATTTAGGTGGGTTTCGCTGATCTCATCAGCCTATATGTCGTCCAACAACGTCCTACGAAGCTTTTCAACACTGCCCCGCGCTGTGAGTCGACTAAAGCTAGGGTGCTGAAGCAAAGGAAAAGTAGGTACCGCTGTGTACTTCCTGCGAACTGGTTGTTGAAATCACTAGATCAGGTCCCCGACACTCCAACCCACCATTTCGTTCGGAGCTTGTCGAAGGGGGTGAAGACGGAGATTCGGCCACCGCCGCCAACACAGCCGACACTATCGTGCCCCTTCTCACAGGAGCCGGCGGCGGCTCGAGGGGCACCTCGGGAAGGAATGGGGGCACCTCGTCTTCGATCGTGCTCTCTAGCGCGGATGCCCACGATACGCGGCGCTTCATCTCGTGAAAGTCTTTCGCCCACGCGGGGGGTCTGACTAGTCCCGTGGCCCGCCCGACCTTCGCCTTACGGTCCCACGAGTTCCGATGCCCTACTCGCGTATGCGGCCTGATATGTTTCGGGTTTCAGAGATATCGCGCGGTATCAGGGTGGATGACTGTTTACGTTTGGAGCAGGCGATCCCCAGATTTAATGCGACGTAGCTTGTAGCATTGTGAGAAAGAGCTGCATTAGTTGGGAAGCACAGTGTACGACTTTAGTGTGTTCGAAGACAATAGCCGTCACACCCGGAGAGCGTACAGCGAACATGGCAAGACACAACACAACCTGCTTAGTGATACTCACGTCCAAGCCTTCCCTCGATCATCCTGACCATCCTTTTCGTTGTCATGAAGGTCGCGGAGCTGGTGCCTCACCGTCTCGGCTTGCGCCGCGCGCCCGGCTTTGATCACTTCGGCCAACGCTCTTTCCATTGCTTGGCTGGTTCTTTCGCGCTGCACAGTCGATACCCGCAAGAGATAAGCCGTGAGACCAAGTCTCAGGGCATCGATTTACGTGTACCATGTTCAATCGTGGAAGTGTCACGAGAGTTGTATATCTTTCGCGAAAAGGCGCCGAACCCAAACAGGTGCCAGAAACTTTGGATACATTGGACCTTTGGATAGTATTTGGTCCTGTGAGCACTTAGTGAACATTACCACTGCGAACTTCGTGTGATTGTAGTAAAATATTGACCGACGAAGAAATCGAACTACAGAGACAAAGCCCGGACGATTTCAATCACAACGTGCGGTGAAGAGTATTTTCACTATGTACATCCATACCGCATTTCTGCAGTCTAGCGTGGTGCCATTCTAGAATCCACAGTCGGATCCATTCACTGAATTGACAAGGAGGAATTCTCTTCGCGATAACGGCGAAGTCCTGTCATAAATCACGAGGCATGATCGTGAGGTGGATTATGTCCTTCTTACGAAGGCTACTGCGGTAGAACATATGTGTGATTTTTGAGAAACTTGAAAGTACGTGACCGTTCCACGGACGTGGATCTTCGCGGTATCTCCCGACGTATCATTGGCAAAGTTGGATGTGTTCCGAGTTCCTAATGGGTCTTTACGGCGGTGAATTTCTTGCGACTGTCGCTTGAGTGCCTTGATGCTTGTGGTGCACATTGTTATGGTATTTGTACCCTTGGACTAAGGTACCATCTGGGGGGGTATACCGTTCAGGAATATCCCGACCACCTGCCGAGATTGCTGGTATTCCGACAATAGACAGGTAGCGGTCAATGGCTACATGGTTAGTAGCAGCAATCGATGTGCAAGCGTTCCCCGTTGCTCAGTGTTGCCTGGGAGTGAGCGGCAGCGAGCGACTGAGAGAGAAAAGAAGGGGAAGGAAACAGACTAAAGAAGCGAAGGGGCTCCAACCTGCACACAGCGGTCGGACTAGCTCCACACTGAACCTGCGTCAGATAATGTCATAACATGGTGCTCTCCCCTGTTGCTTGCCTACACGGGGCAACCCGATATACGACTTTACCATCTCTTCACGCCTGTCAACTGGGTCAGCCGTGCTTGCCCAGCAGCACTAGGGTTGGGACCAATCAACAACGTTTGCACGGGAAAAGGCTTCAAGTAAGACCATACACACTATTGAGTGCATCAGACGTTTGCCAAGTAGACCATGGATTTGGTCCCGGAGACGAACGGATGGAAGGCTATTTCTTTCTTTGTCAGCAGGTGGTCACCAGAGGGAGGCATTACAGCGGTCGTATGACGAAGCAAAGTTTTGCAAGGCGAGGTTCTACGATTTTCTATCAGTTGGTGTTTGCACCGATTGCCGTCGGTAACAACTGCGAATATTTCAGTATACACACTCGTCCACAACTACCAGCATGTTGTGTGGGGGGTCCTTCTCGGTCGTTCTATTACATACCACCATGTCGCTTGCCGGTGTATAGCTTCTCCTCCATATCGCAGCTCGTTTTTTAGGACATACGCAACAAAGAAGCACTGCGCTTTGAAAACCTAGAGTAGTGCGTAGAGTTCCTATCATTGACCAATCGCTGACGCCGGCTGTTGGGGTGGGACTATTCAAACGATGTGAGTCGTTCTGTGCATGCCTGTTGGGACATGTTGCTTGTTGAGAGCGAGTTCCATCAACGGTTCACGATGCATAGAGTGTTCTTGTCCTGAGAAAGGGTCACAATAGCCTCAGTACTTTATGTAAGGAACAACATTCCCGGCATTTTCTAGCTCACCTGCTGCAAACATCGGCGCTCCGCGTCTCGAATGACTGCGGCTGCAAGGGTCGGCTTGGATAGATCAAGATCGTTCTCTTCGTTTGTAGGGTCAAGGCCCACCGCTGTCGCGGTTCGTTGCCCTTGATCGACGATGCTCGGCTTAGATGAGGCAGGGGAATAATCGTCTTCCCAAGCGGGGGCTGTGGCTGTCATCTCCTTGCTGGAACAACAACAACAACCAATCACCCTGTAGAATATTTCTGCTGCATATCGCGTGGATTAAGGAATAATAAAAACACACACAGAAAGACTACCCATTCGAGATATACCCACAGTCGAACGGGATGTGGTGGAGTCTTTTCAGTGAGTGGAGGGAAACCGGCTGGGTACTGGATCATGGAGCCGGCAGCACATGTACCTGAGACGGAGTGGAAACGGCACGCATTTCGCCGCATTTGTTTGTTCCGCTGTTGAAACGTAACTTACAAAGCGTGTGATCGTCGACGCGCGCTGCAGGTCTTGTGCAAAGGGAGATACGCACAACGGAGCTGCAAGAGGACTAAAAAAAGCGTGGTGTGGGGGGGGGGCGACGACGTAAACGCTCGGTGCTCCGATGGCAACGCCAGACACACGTTTGAATCCAATCAGCTCTGAGGGTTAGTGAAAATACAGGTGAGTTTGTTGTGTCGTCGCGACAATTGTGCCCCGCGAAGCGTGCCGATGCTTGGATGGATGTACGTTCGTTCCGTGGGCGGACTGGATAGAAAAGGCTTTTGCTCACGGCATTCCCTACGGCACACCGTATTGACGTTGTATTGACATGTGTCTCGCCTCACGTTGGGGTACACACACCAGCACAGGGCACGCCTGTACAGCAGGCTACGTCAGTACACTGTTAGGTAGGAACGCACGCGCTTGCTCGACACGTCAAGACTGCAAATTTTTTATTAGTCAAAGAGTGCTTCTATACACCCCGCAACATTGCTCTTGATAGCACCCGAAAGCCTAGTCCTCACAGCATCGCGGGCGCAAAAAACTCCCCGTCTCTAAAAACTCCTATATGTAGTCTATATGTACACCGCGCTCAACCTGACTCGTGCTCAACGCGTACTACCCTTCTTGGAAGCTGTGGGCGGGCGTGTTTCGGGCACATCAAAGGGAGAGGGGCCTTTCGTATCAGTCAATCCATCTTCGGGCTCTCACGTACAGCCCCACCACAAACACCGATACCAACCACACACACCGCCAACCCTCGGGAAGTTGTTCTTCATCAACCAGCACGCGTGTGTGTTGCGCGGGGCACGCGTGCTGGTAGCTCCAACGAGAGCGGCATAGTTGGGGCGATCGGTGGCCCACCTCTAGCAAAGGCTCGTATAACAGCAAGGGGGGAGCTTTTCTGCGCCTGCGGAGAGGGGGTGGCCCGAAGACTACCATGGGATGCGTCAACTCAATTCGGATAATGGACGCCGATGCTGCGGTGAGTAAACACCGTGTGCATCGACTGGTTGGCGTTAGTTCTATGTATCAGTCTCTAGTCTATGTATGTATACAGTTTGCTTGGCTTTGACACCAAACATCAAAGGTGGAATTCTCTACATTTGTTTCGGGAAGACAACTGCAAGCAGCATTTATACTCCCAGGTCTAATGTTGAAGATGTACAGTCGCACGAACAGAGACATGGATCGTACAACAGGCTGCAGATTCTGGGCCATCGACAAATCTTCCCTCCAGCAAGTCACGGAAAACGCTTTGCTTCATCAACTGAGCGATATGTCCACTTGAGGTGTAGGCACTCTCCTCCCCTTGATTTCTACAGACAAATGAGGTGGACAAGCAGCTAGAGGAGCTTGCCTTAGCAGATCAGCGGCACGTCAAGGTGTTACTCCTGGGTGCAGGAGAGTCGGGGAAGAGCACCGTCGTCAAGCAGGCAAGCAAAGGTGGCATGTTGAACGTGCCGTGCACCCCTGAAAACAGCCTGTGCAGCTATTGTAGCTGTCGCAACTACACGCGTAGATCGAGGTTTGATTTTTGTAATGGCAGATGGCAAAGCTAAGGTTGGAACCTTTGTGTGTAACGTGCGATACGCGCGTGTGCCGCAATCCCAGAAGCGGGTGGAAATCACAGCAACTGAAACACGGGCCGACGTATGTATGCCAGCTTCAAAGTCAGCTTGAATATGATATGGGCATACGAAAAGATTGTAAAGAAGCAAACTCAACTTGATAAACGTCGCTGGGGTGTGGGTATTGCATGGTGGCGCCTGGCACAAAGATACTCCGTTGGCTGCACCATATTTCTAGGTTGCCCCAGCGAAGTACTAGGAAACGTATTAGCTTCCACAGTAATATTTTTCATCTGGGAGAGAAGCAATGTAGCTCTGCCAGTTGATGGTGGAGCAACAAGGGACAGGTATGCTTCGAATCGACCGTCTGACCAAGAGCCGGAGAGCGCACCATACGCAGTCTGCGGCCAGAATTTTCTCGAAGTAAACATTACTGTCAAACACACCATCGCTGTGTTGATCGACATTGGTGTCCAATGGTCCAGTATTCTCCCTCCTTTCCCCGCCCCTCCTGCCTCATTTGGGTGAACCTTCGAAGAGCCATGAATACGGCCCGATTTGCACCTGCACAGTAGTGCGAGGGTCTCTGGCAGAACGCAGAGGGGAGGTTTGGTGAAGGAGTACACAAAAACACCCCTTTTCGGAAAACCGTCGGGGTGCCACGGCGGTTGTGGGGTATGGCAAAAACATCATGGAAACACCGGGCCTCCGGACGAGAGAAGAAGAGAAGTCGTTCGAACGCTCTGTCGAAGTTAGGTCTTCACGCAAAGATACTCTAACGAGTACTAGAGAGCGTAGCGCAGAGACAAGGAGAGCGGTGGACACATAGAAAACTTCTAGATGTTTGCCAGCTTGAGGAGGAGCTGCAAGTAAGCTACATGCGTGGTTCCCCTCGAGCCTCTCACAGGCATCAATGAATGTCATTGTACCAGACGAGTGAGGGGTCTCTACTGTAGATCAAGAACAGCGACAGAAAAAATCTGACATTTCCTGCGCCCTTGTGTGTTGGCCGACAGGTGAAGATGATATACAAGGGCGGGGTATCGAAGAAGGAGAAAGACGACTACGCCAGAGCGATCAGACGAAACGTCATCGAGAGCATGCAGGTGAATTGGGCAAACCACGAGCGAACGCGTTGAGTGTGCCAAGTGCGATTATTGGACCGATTGCAAGTCGTGCAAAAGTTCTCGGAAGAATGGTTGTTTCGTTTAGTTGCTCCTTAGTCCGCCTCCGTGACGCACGGCTTTACATAGGACCTATTATATTGTATATCGAACTACTTGTACAAGGCGACCGTTTGTTTACGCTTTCATCAAGAGCTGCAACACACCGTCGCTCAAGGTAGCACCAAACGCAGTTGGCAAGCCAGCAAACAAACGGCACGGTTGAGATGAAATTGGACCGCACGTATCATGTGATGTACGAAGAATTACACGTTCTTCTGCCTTCCTTTGCCTCCGTCCAACCCCACACTAGACTCTGATTGACACGCTCGGGACGCTCGGATTAGCGCTGAAAGGTGACGATCAGGAAGGGCTCAAGGCTGCTAAGGAAAATATTGCCTTGTTGACTCCCGAAGACACCCTGACCCCGGAGATAGCGGAGGATGTGTCCAAGCTATGGGCTGACGAGGGAATGCAGGCGAGCGAAATCAAGCGTGCTTCGTCACAGGCTATACAGCTGTGCGAAAACTGAAATCTTACACCCATATGACAGCGACAGATAGATGCACGTTCGCGATACTGCGCGCCGAGGCAATGGACGCTAAAAAGGCGCGTGTTTTCACGCTCAGGGGCAGCCAAGGGGATGGTCACGGTGTTGTTGCTTGCTACTCCGACCCATTTGAATTTGGACGGATGTGTTAGCATGAAAGAAGAAGCGCGCCGGCCGAAGGCGAGACTCAGAGGGATATCCTCTTACCCTTGCAATCGTCGCAGTCGTCATGCGAGCCTTGACACAATAGGAAGTGTCGACAGCCCCAACCATCTGCTCAGCCGGCGGTTCGTTCGTGCCCTTCAAGACATTAGGTGGACGGGAGGCTGCCTTCGTGACATCCTATGTTTTCCTGTCGTTGACAAATTCCGCACCAACCGTACGCCCCTGCCTTCGTAGATGAAAATCCCCGATCGGGTCACACAGTTGAACTCGTCTGCGATGGGGGTCATCGGGAATTGGAGCGATAAGAGTTCAGTGGTGCACTACTGTACATTGTAGTGGTACCACGAACAAGCGCTTTCGGCTGTACGAAATACGTTCAAACTGCGGCAGAAACAAACACACCGACGATCCAAAATCTCGCTGGTCTAATATTGACCAACCGAGCGACCTACGCACCTGCTCGATTTCCTAGTACAGCCGAAAAATGCACAAGAGTGTCCGTAAAATCTCTTCGCAAAGTCGTGGGGGCTTCCTCGGCGGGAAGCCTCTAGGAGACCGTGTTTGAGCTCGATTTCCAAGAGGAGAAAAACGTCAGCCAACGCAAGACACGCGCTATGTCCTTGATGTTGCTTTTCCTGATCACTCGATTCTTCAGGAGCTATGGAGTAGAAGGTCGGAGTTCTGGGCTCTTGACGCGACGCCCTACTACCTGCAGGAGGTGAGCGCAGCTGCGTGGTATGGCGGGTGGGGTGTCGAAATTTGCGTTTAGCGTGAGCAACGTGCACTGGTGGGCTTGAAGTTTGTACGGTGGTATCCGGTGCCATATTCTTCTCGTACCAGGTGTCTTCTGATCACTACTGTAACATCTTTCCGATGAGTTTGATATCTCGTGAACAACACGCTTTTTGTTCGACAGGCACGTCGATTGGCAGATCCGGAGCTAGAGGTTACCGACGAGGACATGATAATGACTAGGACCAGGACAACGGGAATTATCGTTACCGAGTTTTCGGACAATCCGTACACGTGAGTGCCTGGGTCTGGGGCACGAACACAGAAGAATGGCATCAAAACCCCAAACGCTGCTACTCATGATCCACTCGCAAGAACATCAGCAACAACACGGATACCAACAAGCAAGAATTTCACCACCGCCGCCATCACCAGCAACAACGACAGCAAAGTGTTGCCCGCATGTCGGGGGTGACGATCACGCATGCACGTCGTCTGCGCTCACTGACCCCGGCAGGCCATTCCAACGTCTGCGAAAGGAATCGTTTGTTGTCACGTGTCAAGCGCAGAGGATGTTCTCGTTCGTGCCCTCAGTCTGTCTCGTAGAAGCTGTAGGAAGGGATTCGATGGCATTCATGAGGTGTTGATCCTCGGACACGGGGAATGCCTCTCGAGAAATACTGGATGCGGGAGAGTATTGGGCAACTATGCCCTTAGTTGTTCTGGCTTTCGTTGGGCAGACGGCAACAATCAATCATGATCCTGGTACACAGGTGGAGATCGACCCCCCTTCCCCAGTATATCGGATGCCCGCGACACCTTCTGAAGACCTTGTCAAGGTCGGACATCTTGGGCAATACAACCAAGGCCTCAAAAATACCTCGATTTCCCCCCTTCGAGGCCTTGGTTGGGTTCACAAAGGTGTCCGATCTCGAAAAAGTAGGTCTTCACAAGGGGGCGCGGGCATCCGACATCTTGGGGAGCGGGGGTTGACCTCCACCTGTGTACCGTTTGCAAGGATCTTCGCATATTCATGCCACCGAACGATATTAGAATGAATGGTTGGGAAGGTGCAGGTTGGTGTCTTGGTACTGTTCTGTTCCAGTTTCAAGAATTTCATGGCCTGATAGACCTCGGGGGCCCAGCCACTGATAAATTGTGATCTGATCGAAAGAGTTCTGCTCGTGATCTGTACTCTACAGATAGTGCAGCATCAGCATGCGACCTTGTTCGTCCACATTCTGGACTGCATGCGTCTTGCGGCGTCAATAGACATAGGAACTCCATCAATCTGTCGATGGTGGAATTGGAATCGCTGTGTGAAAATGTCCATCAGGCCGCTGCCGAATCGTTCATCATGTTCTTCATGCACCGCGATGGTCGCAACGACATACTCAGGTACTCGCTTGTAGACGTTGGGGGACAGCGGAGCGAGCGGCGAAAATGGATGCACTGCTTCGACGACGTGAAGGCGATCGTGTTTCTCGTGGGGTTGAGTGGTTACCACCAGGTGCAAACAATAAATTTGAATATTCTAAAACAGATCTTGTCTCCCAAGTGTGTCCAACCTCTCCAACCCGGGGTCCGAGGCAGTTGTGTACAGCATTGCGAGAGCCGTCGGCGTTTCGCCAAGCGGTGCGACGTCGAGTCCACAACCTCACCGACCAGCGTTCGTTGTCGACAGCAAGTTGCACAACAAGTTCATTGACCGTGCGGTTCGTGTGAAATCGGCACGTTGTAGCACCACTGTAGATGGCACCAAATCTGTCTCAGGAGGAGTAGGGGAAGCTGTTACGACGTTGTTGGAGAGGAAATTCATACGTAGTCTAGTGTCTGCATCCTCCCACCGCCGTAAGAGGTACAGACGCCGCGGGGAGACCTTCAGGTGGAAGCTCCGAATCCCGAAACAAGCGCGAGTGAAGCGCTGGGCATAAAAAATGCATCGCTCGACCGAAAGAAGAAGACACGTGTGTAACCGGCCTCGAAGGAATCGAAATGGTTTTCACTCATGATGAACTGACTAACCTGCAGGAATATTGGGGATTCGCACGGGGAGAATGGTGTCTGACGCAGCAGTGCGCGTGCGGACAATCATAATGCATTTACTTACTGCCGAAACGAGTTTCGACAACAGTTGAACAAGCGCTGAATTGGATGTTGCGTTGCGTCTCGAATGAATGAACTCTCAAAGGTGTTGTTCGAGGACAACTCGGTCAACCGGATGCAGGAATCGTTGGAGCTCTTCACCGAAGTAGCGGGGAACCCAATATTCGAGAAGACGCCAATTTTCGTCTTTTTGAACAAGAAAGATCTCTTCGAGGAAATGATCGTAACGAAGGTATGCACAGGCACAGATTAGCTTCACTCCTACAGCATTTCAATAGAGACGACGGTTATCGTTTCCGAGGCAGCCATCACCTCGCACCTGGTTTGCAGCAGTCCAGAGTAGACGGCAATATTTGGGAACTAATCGTGCACGTTTTGGGTCCAAGATATACAGAGTTCCGTGTAAGAGATGGCGGTATTTTTTCTTCACAGCTGCAAGGGCATATGGAACCACAAAGATCGCCGTGGACCTGGCATGGAATATACTTAACGCGGCTCGAAGGAAATGATTCAGGCGTCTCAGAGCGAGAGGGAAAGAGAGAGCGAAGAAAATGATGGAGAAAAACCCGGGAATGGATGAACGAATGAGTGAGTGAGTGAGTGAATACAAGTTCACAGTCTCTCAAGTTCATTAACCCAAACCGTGCATTCCCCGTGCATTAATGACGTTTGGTTGCGTGATTATCAGAGCCTCAAGAAGTGCTTCCCGGAGTATGATGGGCCAGACGGAGAGGCCATGCCAGCTTTGAGGTTTATTGAACAGAAGTATAAGCAGGTGCGCGCGAATGTATGACGTGAGGCGTTCATCTCCCAGAACTTTGAGATGTACGGGTGAAACCCACCGGACTCTGGGACAAGTAGTGAAATTCCTTCTAAAAGCCCCAGGCTGTGGACTAGGATTAGTCTCGAAATGTGGAGATGTACTGGAACAAGAGCACGTCTATATACCCTCGATATGTTGTGTTAAGAGTAGTTAAGATGACACGTGAATCTGAGATACAAGGAGAAAACCTTGACGAACATACATAATGCTAGGTGCATGCTCACATCGTTGTCCGGCACAAGTGGAGCGCACACAAATCGCAAGGAATATTGTACAGTCAAAACGCTGCACGATAGCGTGTTGCTAGGGGTTGGTGAATACTACTGTAAGCAATACACGCGCTGCACGGACAGGTTCATGAAATGAGAAGCATAATGCCTTCAGAAGGAAAAACTATAGTCTAGCCACGATAGATTGGACAACACACGGTGTGAACATAGGCAACGATTCTACCCGAACAACAGCAACGAACCGCGGCAACCTTCAGTAGCTACCCCAACCCGACGTTCTCGATCGATATAGGCAATGCTGAGCAAGGTCCCGGGGAAGGACGTCACTGTGCACATTATCGCGGCAAGAGTTAGAATGGACATGAAGGTGGGAGATGGTGATACTGTAGATAAGAGATAAGTAGATAACAATGCACCTCATGCGTACAAACCACGAAATTCTTTCAGAACATTAGGAACGTAACCTATGTACCCCTTCCCTTAGAAAATAAACGTGGTGTTTTCATTCTATTTTTCTTCAGATCGCTTTTGGGGAGGTGAAGGACGAGATTCGGCGCTCCTTCGACTCGAAATCGGCTGGACGCAAGAAGTCATTTTCGAAGCTGGGCTCGCCTAGAGCAGCGATAGAACGGCTCCAGAAAATTGGTTCCCCGCTAAATTCAAGATAATGCAAGAGATGGGAACGAGGGACGCGCCGTCGACATCAGAGTTCTTGCGTAGGTCGTGTTTTCGGGCGAATGGGGGGACTCCCAATGTAGAAAACGCGTTGACCGCTCAGTTCAAGAGGGCTTTCATGTGCGGCAAACTCCAGTCTACAGATCGGTAGCCAACAGTCAAGAAAATTCCGCGTAGTTAATGTAGACAATAAAATGCATGGGTATTAGAAATTCAAACAGACTTAGCCGACCCGACTCTCTGTTGTTTCAATACCGCCGTTGCTGTAATCTGAGTACCTGGTAGGCGATAGTATTGTTCGGCGCCCATGACGGCCGGTAGAGAGAACAAAGAATACAAGAGAAGAAAGTGGGCTTGTTGCCGATTCAGCACGACGTTGAAGAATGCCAGACCACGCTAGACGGCGCGGAGCACGGTGGCGGGGTGAACTGAACCACTGGCAAGAGAAGGGCCTACCGGTCGTGCCTGTTGAAAGTGTAGTGTCTGGCAGGAGCGCTTGCCGTTGGCGAAGACGACGGAATGTAGGCCAGCCTGTCTTGGCGTGCCTGTATGGTCTCTCCCAGGGCCAAACAGGTTTCACTCGATCGAGATGTCAATTGATTGAACAGGTGTAGTCGATAGCTAGTAATAGAGTATCTTGGCCAAAAAAGTGCCCTTGAAGGAATGTGTTTTACAGAGTTTGTGAGAAACACACACACGTTGTGGTCGAGATGTGCGTTGTTGGCGAACGCACCTGCTCGCACGAAGACTCGCTTATACTTCTGTGCTCGTTCCATCTGTTTTGGCGGCTATCTACTACCTCGGTGTATGTGGTTGACGCATCAGCCGGGGCCGCACAGACACAGAAGAGGACGTCACTTTTTTTTTTTGGCCTGTGACCACAGAAGGCGCCTGATTCGGCCGGACTGGGAAGGAGGTTAGAAAGATGGCGCGAAGACAACAACAACAACGCCCCACCGTTTCCTCGTGGGGTGCTTGCCTTGGTTTGTACACGAAAAGGTTTCATTCCCCCTTCCCTTTCCCTCTTCGACAGCGAACGAACTCGACGCGCGAATACTCGCGATATAATGATCGTTTCTGCCTTCCAAGAGAGATTTGAACTCCAGACTGCAACTAACCTCGTACACCTGGTGTTCAAAATCATTTCTGCCTTCCAAGCGAGATTTGTGCGAGGTTAGCCCCCTGACCACCGGGGTGGGCGGCTACATACAGGATATAGGTAAGGATCGCTTGCGCATGTTGATGCGTGCGCCCATCTTTATGAAGTGTCAAAAATCCCGATAAATCTGCTCTGGACAACAGGGATCCAAACTCGCGAAGCACTTTGACACAGAGTATATGTTTCGTCCTGTGCCGAACCGGACACGCTGCTCTCGGTTTCTCTCTCCTGTGGCCTGTGGGGTCTCTTGCCCTAATTTGACTTCTCAACCGACTTTCACGGCAGCATGTGCTTCAACCGCCTGCTACCGGGCAAAAACACACCAAACATTTCCCGCCGAGGACCAAATAGAGCGACTGAAACACATGAGCTCAGGTCAACCTGAGTCCCCGGAGTTTTACAGGGTGCATTTCCACCCTCATGTCTGGGCGAGGATACTTGAAGGGCGTCTTTGGGTGTACGGAGACTCAAGAGGGACATTGCTTCAAAGACCGTCGAATAGGCAGCCCACAAAGGATACTCACTTGAAGGAAATACCCGCAATACCCGCAATACCGCATTTTGCCACCTGACTACAATATTCAATCCAAGGCGCCCCCCCTGAAAGTGTTTCAGCAACCCCAAGATACCCGTAGCCCACCCAACGGAAATCTACCCGCCGAGATCTACCTACCAACACATATATAGAAAGCTCAATCATCGCCTCACCTCTCCAATAGGTACTCTCCACCAAAATTCAAGGCGCATGTCGGTGCGCAGCTTACACGGATTGCTGGTGACCGACGCCCCCCCAGCCCGGCCATATCACAGCCGACCTTTCGCACGGTATTGAGTTCTAGCCTACCTAACAGGAAACACTGCTTCGGTCACACATCAACGACGAAATCAAAGGTAACACACCAACTTAACGTCCCGCATTTGCGGTTTCCCTACCATAGCTGCTTCTGTGCACGATGGGGGTGACAAGGACAATTCCTCTACTCAACAACTTCATGTCCCACACGGGAGCTGGGTCCTTGCAGCATTGCCTTCGAAACCTAACACGATTATATACTACAACATTTAGGCTGGTCCTAAATCTCCAGCTGCCAAAAACTTGCGCCGAGCATCCGTTGTCCTGCAAGATTCCCTTCCCTTGCACAAGACGAAGCGTCAGGACAATACAGAGTAGCAACATCCCGCTTCTGCTCGTCGACGCAATCCCAACAAGAGGACGCCAGTGCGTCGGAACACCCCCCCCCCCGTCCCAAGAGGCCATAAAAAACGCGTTTCAAGAACACCTATCCCATGCACGGACCACCTTTGTTACCATGTCCAGGGGAAAAACACAACACAATGCCTAAAGAAGTGCTACCTGCGCGTGCATGTAGATGCCGCCTTGTGTGCGTGATCCCGGTCACCGTGATGACCCCGCGGACGCCCAACAATCGTCCCCGCGACAAAACAAGATCCCAAGAACATCGAACCAACGTCGTGCGGCTTCCGCCGGAACGACAAGCTTTATCCGGTGTTGCGCATCCCGCCGGCGATCCCGGTAACCGTAAGGATAAGAGCGTCGTGCAGATGTTGCTCCTCCGCGGGAGAGCCGAACTTGCCGTTTCGCAGCCGGTGAAGGATGTGCGCCTGTGTTGTCGAGGGGCAAAGAAAGTGGGCGAAGACGAATTATTGCCTGAAAACTTTCCAAATAATGAGCACAATTTTCTCGGAACCGGTCCTCTCCCGATTCAAGAGGGCAAAAGAGAGGGACTTCTGATGCCCTGCCCTAAACCGGGACCAGTGTTTTAATCCGGGCGGGCGATTGTATACCATCAAGTAGCGCGGAATGTATGGCGAAAACTACGCAAGCTTTGACTAAACCATGTTAGTACTTCCACATCTCTGCAATATATGCAACCTGCTCTGTGATACGAAAGCCTGTACCATCACGACCCTAAACCATATACAACTATGCATCGATACCACAAGACATAAGTACGAGACGGGGGGTTGAGGGAGTGGCAACTACGTAAACAAACCCCGCTCCGTGCGCCCTCGTGTGCTCTATCTGGTCCATGGGGGTAAATCCCCATTAAGCACGGCATCTCCCACTTTCTAAAAAACAACAACCACAAGCCTTCTTCCGTTCACCTGCATCACGTTCACAGGGTCCAGGTAAGGGTTTCGGAGAGCCAGCTGCCAGCGCAGCAGCTTGTTGAATGCGATCAGCTCCGGGTTCTCGGACACCTTGAGGATCTCACCGGCCGTCTCTCCCAGTCGCCTGACACGCACGAAGGGTTCCAACGGGCAACACAAAGCCGTGGGGCGGGGGGGGGGGAGCAGAAATAAGTGCTTCATGTCGTCGGTTGCCGCGTGCCAAATCATCGTCGTCCGGGCCAAAGCACCAACGACCATCAGGTTTATTTCCTGAAAACGCCGATTCTTCAGTATCTCGGAAAATCAACCCAACACCGTCTATGCTTCGTGGTTGTGGGGCCTATTTTCCCCAAAATACCAGCACTTGGAACGCTTGGAAGGAGCACGACATCCGCCGTTGAGTGTAGGGTGCCTGCCTGGGACTACCTATTCAACGGGACGAGACCCGCTGGATGGCTCCTGGGTGGCCCCTCTCCGAACGGCATGTGGTGGACTTTATTTCCGTCGTTTTTGCCCGTGCTTAAAAGTGAAAATATATCGAAGGGATTCACACTTGTTCTGCAGCCACAGCAGCGTAGGCAAACGACGACCACAACGACCACAACACTGCTCACAACCACTTCTACCGTCATCACTATCGCCCGGGCCACCACCACCACCACCACCACCCAACTAACGCCCCACTGCCACTACACTGCCACTACACTGCCACTACACTGCCAGAAAAACAAAAAAGGTGACGCCATCTTCGCCTTCTGCATCTCACCTCCTCAGCTCCGTTCCGAGCTCCTTGGCCTCTCCATCCACAACCAGCTCGCTATCGTAGTGCTCTGCGGGACCGGAATGCGTACAAAACAACAACAACGCGATCCACATTCAAACACCACCACCGAAAACATGTACTACAATCTCCTCGCGGCGTGTATGCATGGTACCCGTCAGGTACCCGTCTACCTGCATTCTCCCGCCAACGGGCCAACAGCAGACACAACCTCACGTAACGAGGGGCTTAAATGGCGACATGGTTCGGGCGCCTCGCTCAGAAACCAAAAATATGAAAACAATCTCAAGTGGACACCCATTCCCGGGGCCTTAGCCCACCCGAGACCGAAACACAATCGTGTCTTGGCCGGACGAGGTGGGTGGGCAGGGGGAAGGAAGGAGCCGCGCTTGAGGAGGAACGCGCGAGGCTCCAACACGCACCCCAATACAGGATCAATACATTGCGCAGAAAACAGCTTAACACAAGCATAACAAAAGCTACACAAAACAAGTAATGCCACCCGTGCCAGCACCTACCTGCACCTAAAAGCCAACATATATATATATAAAAAAAGAGACATGAAATCAATATTGTACCAATTGCAAAATGTCGATTCTAGTACAACTTACCGGCGATGCGGGCATCGGACTTGGCGATGATCATCTCGAAAAGGTCTTCAAGAACGGCGGGGCGATAATAAACCGGATCATCGGAAGAGCAACACACACGAACGACACAGAGAGAAACAAACGCGCACAACGGGCGAGTGAGAGGCCGCAATGTTGGACGAAAATACCAGGCGAGATAGAGATATCACGAGGGAAGGGTGGCGGTGGCGACGGCGTCACATGTCGGAAAACAGAGCAGACGAGAACATGTATCGTCGACAACAACCACGGGGAAACCGACGTTGTGGTTCGGGGTGAAAACGGACGAGGCAAAACGCTCCTTTGAATTGGTATCCCGGCCATGCATGGGACTGCGCGCAAAGCCCCCCAAATGGTTCCATCACTTCGGCGGATACGGTGGTGGCGATACTGGCAGCTCATGTATGTCGCATGGCCTTCCTTCCCAGCGAAAGCGATCCACCAACAATAGGAATAACAGCGGCGAAGGAAAAAAAAGCCCCACGCGCGACAAACAGAGGCAACGGCGACGATTGCACCACCAACAAAGGCAGAAAAACGAAAGTTTACACAATACCAAGACAGGCCTGACTGCTGTACTACAGCAGCAGCAGCAGCTAGCAGCAGCAGCAGCAGCAGCGTACCGATGTTGGTCTTGAAGAAGGGCCAGGTCGCGTACATGGTGCTCAAGTTCTCGACGCCCTCCTTTGTTGAAGCCACTGCTGCGAGAGCATCGCCCACGCCCAGCCACGCCGGCAGGTTCAACCTCGTCTGCGCGAGCACATCGACAACAAGACAAGGAGTGGGACAGCACCTCAGACAAGTAGGGGACTAAAAGCGTCGGATGGGAGTACAAAAGGATTCCCATGAGACGGATGGGAAAAATGAGCTTGTAGAAGAGGCGCGAACAGATCGTTTCCTGGTTTGCCTTTGTAAAGGGATGGGGGGACAACGCAGGAGGCATGTGGCATGTTTGGCATGTGGTGCGTTCTGCTTCCGTCAGCATTTTCAGGAGTTGTCAGCAAACCCTCACCGCCTTAAGAAAAAGTAGCTCAAGCTGGTATTCAAAGACACCACTTACAATGAAATCAAGGGCTGCAAAAGAACGACCTCCGTTGAAAACAACGAAGAGTCTTGGAAATAACCGAACTTGGAAAAATTCCGCAATGGCTTGCTGTTCAAAAAGCACACCAGCTCTTCTCGCGGATGGATCGTTCAAAGTCCAATCCTACCTGAGTCCACGAGAACACCCAAGGGATAGCCCGCAGACTCTCCACTCCGCCAGTAGGCCTCCTCTTGGCAGGCCGCGATCCGATGTTGAGGCCGCCCAGCTCCAGCTCTGGGGTGGCCGTCCTGAAGTAGGGCACGAACCGAGGGTCTTTCCTTACGATGTCGCGGTACGCCTGGCGCCGAGCGTGCGGACGTTTTGTACATATCAGACGTCAGAAAAGCGAGATGGAAGCGCATGGATGAGAGCAACGTGGCGAGAGAGGGGCGGTCCTGGTATTTTGGTGAAAGGTCCCGGTTTCGTGGCGAAAAAGGTTGTGTTGCCTATGTCGATCGTGTTTGTTTCCCGGTCCGCGTAGCCCCCCCCCCATCCAGAAGTTTTGAGGAGTGCCCCCAACACACGGAAAATACGGCGGGGAGCAGCCAGGACACGGCGATTCCACACGTGCCTACCGCTAGCCGCCGCAATCTAATGCCAGCGGTAACTCGAACTAACGGTAACGCTAATCTAGCGTTAACGCTGAACCTGCTACTAGGAATGCCAACCCGCAGGCTAGCAGGCAACAACGCCACACGGCGTTGGTCGCCTGCTCAATGGGATGGCGGCAACAACGACGGCGTCGACTCCCTAAAAGCTGGCACACGCACCGCGCAGGATGCCTCCGAAAGAGTGTCCATCGTGGCCCGGAACTGTTCCGTGGGGACGGCCGGGGGCTCGAACCTGCAAACGCCAACGTGGTCGACATTTGTGCAAGGTGGGAAAAAGATCGAAATCAGTCAGCGAAAGCTCCTTGCATGTGACGAAAGCCCGCCCGTTTCGTGTCTTGTTCCTCGGGAATATTCACCCGAGTTCGTCTTTTTCACTCAGCAGTCAGAAAATACCGGGGAGTGAATATATGTCTCCTCTTGAGCGCAATGGGTACACAGAGTGCGACGCACACGCCCGTATGAAGAAAACGAATGCTCAAGCTCTCTCGCAGCAAGAAACGAAGACGCCCTCAAGCGAACAACCCCGGCAGTCACGCACGAACGGCATGTTCCAAATCATAACCCCAGGCTGATATTATATAGCGAGAACATGACTCCAAACAAAAAACAAAACTGTGAACAATCCTACCCCAGCGTAATCCCAGGCATCAGCAACACATGATTCGAAACAAAAAAAAGGGGGCTGTCGGCTATACTATCCCAGGCATCACCAACACATGCCCCGAAAAAAAAAAAAAAGGTGAACAATGCTATGCATGCATACCACTTCCTCACGTGTAGTGCAGGATCCCCGAGGTGTAGATGTCGAGGGTGTTTACGGCGATACCAGGGTGCCCGAAGTTCTGTGTGATCATCTCACCCTGCTCCGTCACGCGGAAGTGCCCGTTCAAGGTGCCCCTCGGCTGCGCCATGATCGCCTGGTGCGAAAACACGTGTGGGTTCGAGGACATTTCCATAAGATGGATCGCGATAAATCAGGGCAAGGCAGGGAGGGGCCCAACAAAGCTCACATGCAACGAGGCGCGTTCTTCTTGCGAACATTAACCGCGTTCGCTAAGAGAACAAGGCGGATATGGAAAGCGGGGCGTGAACTACCGGTTGCACACGGACAGCAAAAATGGATGCAAATGGCAACAGCAAACAACACGAGCTGCACCTGGTAGAGCGCGGGGTTACCGCCCCTGCTGACAGTCCCGCCCTTGCCGTGGAAGAAGGTGAGCTTCACGCCCGCCTCTTCCGCAACCGCCGCCAGTCGCTCCTGGGAGAAGAAATTCAACGGCGGGGAGGATTGTAATTTGTCGATATAGAGTTTCCGGAGTGTGCTCTTCCTAAGAACCATTCTTAGAACTGTTCTCAACTCGACCGGAACAGCAAACCCAACGTTTTGCACAAACGGCAGACTTGCCCCGTTCAAGAATGTTTAGTGTTCACACTACTGTTCCCGTTGAATTTCGTACGCAGACGCGAGACATACCCAGCCTCCATACCTGAGCGTTGAACTGCGCCCAAGCGGCAGCCATCTTGCCGGCGTCCTTAGCCGAGTCGGAGTATCCGATCATCACCTCCTGCTTACCGTCGATGTGGCCACGGTACCAGGGGAGAGAGAGCAGAGTCCTGCGGTGCAGACAACACAAACCGCGATAAATCGCCGTGTAGATTGTGTCACAACTTCATAGGGGAGGTATCGATTGTGCTCTACTGGCCATGCTCGGTACGTGCGTGACATTGGCTCGCGGCCAACGGATCATCGACGGTGCAACGGCGACATGTGAGGGAAAGAACAGCGCGACCTTACACTTGGCGAGAAGCAGCGGGCAGCTTAGCAACAAAGCCCTTACGCTACTCTCGCGTGGGCGGTGAGTCATCAATACGTAGATGAACACGCGACGCCAAGAAGAAACGGGTAAGTAAATAAAATTGTACTACGTTCTAAATAGCCAACACATCAGATGGTTGCATTACCTCAAGGTGGCTTCCGACCGCTCGAGGTCGTCGAGCGTCTCGAAAAGCGGCACCACTCGCATGTCCCACGGCATGCCGAATTCCTTCTGCTCCGGCAACAGCAACAGCATCATCACCAACGACACGATAACGGCGGGCTCGTGGTTGAGCTCAAAGACACTAAACGGGGGACACCCGCGTGAACAGTTTTGTGGCATTGTGCCACACTGGTCTCCAAGTAGTACCGCAACACTCTGGGGTTTCCAATCGGCAAGAGGCTGACATAAATAGGGCATGCACCCCCCCCCCCCGCAACACTGACGTCACACCGACCCATTTTGAGGTCTTAATAGTCCTGTGACCTGTCAGCGCAAGCTCGCAACAAAAGGAACGCTACAAAATATTCTACACAATATTCCCGGGTGACTTCTTCGGCATACAAGGGTGTGACTTCTTCGGCAGGCAAGGGTGTGCCGGCGACAGTGACCGACCCTGGTGGATGATCTCTAGCTTCTCCGCCCTACCGTATCGCGCCGCCCGTTCGGACGCACACGGCTGAAGACCACACCAAACAAATAGGTCCCTCTTGTCTTTCATCACACTACACACAAAAAACGTATCACAGCCGTCTTCAAAGCAGAAGATTACACACATCAATAGAATCCTTCCCTCTTGTACTTCGTCACAATAAACAACGGAAACAAGAAGAGGTCCACAACTGCTGTACATGTACGTAGACAAGCGAGGTTCGTCTCTGTTTCTTACCTGCATGAGCTTCACCGCGAGAACGTCGGAAGGGGAAGAGGCCATGGAGATGACTTGTGCGCCGAGGGCCTCTTCGCCGAGAGTGGCGGCGACCTCGAACGTGCCAAGGGTGTCCTGGTTGGTTCGAAACCATCAGATCAAAAGGCAAACACCGGAAAGATATCTAAAAAAACATGCAGGAATAGGGCTCCGCGTCATTCACCGTGTAACGTATTGTGCTGGCGGGAAATAATGCCGCATAATCACAGCAACTCACCCAAAAACAAATGGGAAAAAAAAAACGTGACAACACCCTGTGAAGGCCCTCGCTTGCAGTTAACCCTAACGCTTAAGAGGAAGGACCGTTTTCTCCAACCTTGCGCTTCTCAAAACTTTCAGGATGTTCACCACAAGGCTAACAGCAGCTACTGTTGAGAAACATGGCGTTGCGTCTCCCACCGGGACGCACACCTTCTCACGTTCCTGCGAGGGTCGTTTGTATTCCTACTGTATTCCTACTGATGCGGAGGAAAAATCTTGTGGGTCGGTGAAGAGGAACACACGGACCATCAAAATTGAGCACTTGTATCCCTGCGCGTACTCTCGATAATGTCGTGATCATAGGTGCTCTCAGCAGATGGATCATCAAAATTGAGCACTTGTATCCCTACGCATACTCTCAAGAATGTCGTGATCAGAGGTGATCACTCCAGTAGTTTGCGGAGCGAAACAAGTGTCCTATTTATCTTAGAAATTTCAAGACATGCGATGAGATCCGTGGCTCCATGATCTGTTCCACATTTTTGAATCCATCCGTCTAATCGTATTCTACGTACTGCACAACGGGTGGCAACAACAGCAACGGCGACAATGACATAAGACGGTTTCGTTTCCCACCTGCACGATCTCGTCGAAGCCAAGCTCGGACAGGGGAGTGTTCCTGGGCAGCAGAGGCCTCTTTCCCTGAAAGTGGCACACAAGTTGGAGCAGAAGCGGCAAAGAGGAGAATTTGCATATGCTGTGGTTTGTTGTCACCACGACACGTGGGTAGTTTCACCGTAGTTCGAAGGGGGGGGTCTAAAACGGTGCTTGCTTCTTTCGATCTTTCTTGGGCTCCGTTACGTTGTTGAGAGCCTCGATAACCCACAAACAGTGTGCTTGTTATTAATGACTGTTTCAGAAAAAATATAGCGGCGTTACTGGAACGGGGAGGGGGGGCCACGCGATCACCACCAGCCCCTAGAGCAAGGGGTCGTGCACGAAAACCAGTAGTCTACGCAGTAAAATTGATTAAGCAAACAGACGGGATAAAGTATTCAATCCGTGCTTTGGGGTAAGAGTTAGGGATAGGGATAGAGTCTGCGTGCCCCCTCTCTAATCTTTTTCATGTACAGTACAGTAGACACTCTTAAAATCCCGCGTGGGCGGTCCAAACACCAACCACCAATCACGAACACCTCACAAACCGGAGACTAGAGCAACCACCACAGCAAAAGAACCACGATAACGTGACCCAACGTTTTACACCGTACGCATGCTTCTTACGTACCTGCAGCTCGGTGAGGAGCCACGACTGTCGCGTGGTCTCGTCCCACTGGGCGTACGAGCCCACTCCGAGGTACCGCGTGATGGCGTCCATGGCCTCCGTGTGACGGGTGGATTCCTGCCAACGAAAAAGCACGTGCCGATTGAACTTCCGCTCAGACATGCAGCAGCCAAAGGTAAAAATCGTGCTCTAGACAGTGTGTGTTGTGTGGTATGTCATCGAGTCATACCATGCGGCAGGAATTGATGGCGTAGCGTGATATTACAACGGCTGCGTGGCACCGTCACCGGTATGACATGTTGCGACGTGGATGGGGCTTGGTAACCCCGAAACACAGCGATCTATGACAACGCGCAAGAACGCACAACTAACGGAATAAGTCAGTCACCTGGCGGAGGTCGAGGGGCGCGAGGCAGATGCCGAAGCACCCAACGCGGCGGATTGAGTCCACGAGGGGGCCCGTGGCCAAGGCCCTCTGGCCCGTCGAGACCAGGGACTTGTACATCATCATCAGGGGCTCCAAGAGCTGTTGCGGTGGCAGGACACGGCACGGCATGGCACGGCATGGCATGGCAGGCAAAAGGCAAGGCACGAGGAGACATGCAGGGTCAGGGGATTCTCTTCTTCTTGCCTGGACGGACAAGGAAAAGGCCTTGCGAGCTAAGCCAGCCGTTGCTGTATTCATTTGCTACGTGCATGTGGTAGTTGCTATTGGAATCGGTTCATGGTGGGCGGAGCCGCTTAAGACTAGGTGCACCAAGAAAATACCGAATAAGAGAAATACAGAAATATCGTCATCGCGGAAAAAGAACTCAAGCCCCCAAATTTTGTGCATGCAAATGCAAGGTTTCCGTGCTAGGGTTCGAAGGTGTAGAGGGCGCCCAAGCAACGGAAGCTTGGGGAGAGAATCCTCAATCTTTGTGGCCCCAACTCGACAAAGGGTATCCAAACACAGGACAAGGAAAAAAGCCCCGGAAAACACGAAAGAACGGCAGAGAGAACTCAGAACGATGGCGTGAGCGTGGCGGAGAAACAAGTCTCCAGGCGTCGTCATCAAGGGCAGGCTCCCACATTTGCGCAAGACAAGCAACGGGCGTGACAGCACCTGTAGGGTATAAACGTGGACTGGGTCTGTTCTACAACTACATCGCCGCAGTTCGGATCGCAATACTGCTGTTCGTTCGTTCGTTCGTTCGTTCGGACGGGCGGACGGCCTAACCTGGGTGCGAGAGTTGACGGGCAGGGCTTCCACATCGGGCTCCAGCTCTCCATCGATCATCTCCTACGGTGTAGAAAAAAAATTAACAGAGAGCAGCGGCGGCAAGATAAGACACGCTGGAGATAGCACGGAGTACATGTTAATCATAAGGCACGAGGGCGTAGCAGACGGGCATGGCATGGCATGAAAGTCACGTGTTACCTTGCGGTTGACACGCTGGTGGTGCTGGATTCGGCGAATCGACAACAACTAATGACGGGAGCACGGCCCGGTCTCCTACGTTTCCCATCATTTGATTGCTATTCTACAACGCCGTAAACATAAATAAACTAGAACAAAGAAGACCATAGCACAGGCGGTCGGCATGCAAAATTCTCAACTATTTAGAGAGGCTGACTAAGTCAGGCCGTCGGCATGCAAATTCGTTTCTGGGGTCGATCGAGTCACAGCAGTCATCAGCAACATATCTCTAGTTTTCATCTCTATGGCTTCGGCGTAGGTTAGGTCGTGCCCGCCACCCCTCAAAGTTCGTGTACGTACTTGTATCGCGCTACTTTTCATCACGGAGAGATCGGAAAAGCCGACAAAAAGAAATGGCAAAACAATTCAAGCACGAAGGAAGAGGGCCCCAGGGCTTTACAGGCACTGAACTACAAGGATATACCATCAGGCCAGGAGATGGCAGCGCAGGAATTGATCGTAGGCGATGGCCCCTCAGGGGAAGAGGGAGTGAACAAGTACGAGCTTCAAAATGGACTCTCACACAGCAGTAGAAGCCGCGAACAAAAGCGTCTTTGCAGTTTCTACAGACCTGAGGCACACAACTATTAATAGAACCAGGTCGATGTCTACTCGTCTCCAGTGTCGATCGATCGTTCGGTTCGCCGATGCAAAACCACCCACCTCTAGCATCTCGATCGTCTCCTCGAGGTCCTTCTCGAGCTGCCTGCAGATGACGCGGTAAGGCTCGCGCGAATCGCCGACCACGTCGCGAAGCTCTTGCGAGCACCTGACCAACAACGAGCACGGTAGACGCACCAGCAACGCGACAACAACAACAAATCAAGAACACGTAAATAAAAAAATATTCCACAGATTTGCGCCGGGCTTCTCAACTTAATGTCGCTTGCATGCTTGAAGCTAGAACCAATGTAATGTAAAATAGGGCAATACCCCACCCTCACAGAAGTGGACAATCCATTCTCAAAGGCGTTGGGTTTCATGTATGGCGTCAAGACGAAAAATGTGATGGAATGTAAAACAAACTCCATGGGTTTCAATCCATCAGAAAGGGGGTCTGCAGTAACCACTCCCTGAGATCAGATACAGTCGCAACACAAGTGACACAGTACCCATATCTTTGAAGATCTGCGAGGTGAGAACAGCAGCAGGGTACCCGGCACCACTTTAAAAGTTTGCGAAGTGAGTAAGCAGCAACCCAGCACCACCGTTGAGGTTTGCGAAGTGAAAAAGCAGCAACCCAGCACCACTTTCAAGGATTGCGAATCGAGTAAAGTCAGCACCGCTGTAAAGGATAGCCAGGTGAGTTAGCAGCGGGCAGGCAAGCACAGTAGCCCTTCCTCACTTGGTGGCGCTGAGTTCCATGTTCAAGTCCTTGACGTCCTTCAGGTAGAGGGTGGCGGCCTCACGACGAGCCGTGAAGGAAACCTCGCGGGTTACCGCAGGTGTGACGTTCGGGTTACCGTCCCTGCGACACACCAACAACGCGCGGACGAGCCGTCGAGGGAAAAAAATGAGCGTCAGACGTCTTCAACAGGACTTCGGACGATCAAGATGCAACAACATGTAGCATACACCTTCACAAAATCCACCTCCATCAACAACAATAACGAGGCTCTCGGGGGGCACACCTGTCTCCGCCCATCCACGAAGCGAACACGACGGGGGCCGCCTGGATGGGAAGACTCTTCCCTACGGTCTCCGTGAGGACGCCGTCCAGACGGCGGAGGTACGCGGGCACGGCGTCCCACAGCACCTGTTCGATCACCGCGATGCCCGCGCGGGCCTCGTCCTGCGGTACCGGCTTGATCCTGCGAACCTGCAAAGGAAAAAAAAATAAATATATATATATGGAAAATATGTCGAGAGCACCAAGAGTGAAAGGATTTGGACTTGACAAGGGCGGCGGCCAAGACAGGGAGGGTGCACTGAGCATGTTCCTCATCAAAGGAAAGATGCCCCAGTCTTCAACATCGGGACCCTCCTCTGACCGCAGCGCCGTCACCGGTTACCTTCATCTCGCGGCGAGCTTTCGGGCTCCCAGCTACACCCTGTTTGCCACCACCTTGTACCCGGCTTAGGCCTAAACGGCGGCGTGCTCCCCGGCCCGACCGATCGCCGAGAGGGCAGGCTTGCTGCCTGCTCCCTCCCGCCCTTGGCTCGCGAAACCAAGCAACCCTATTCCTAGTCCCAACCCCTAGCCAGGAGGTTGGTCGTCATACCCTGGGAGCCCCGTGTATGGCCGCAACTCGATGCCTCTGTGCGGGCCTAGCGGAGCCAGGCCGCGCTTGCACGTGTGGTGCTCCCTCTACTCGATACATACCCCACGTTTGGGCGGGACAAGTTCAGGGTATGCTCTGTATTGTTTTGTATCTGTACTATTGTTTTTTCCGCACCTCGTCGGAGGTCCACAACGCCTCAACTGCCCTCTTCAAGCCCTGAGCAGCCTCTTCCGCCTCGAACCTGACATTCATGCGGTAGGTTTAGGGTGTAGGGGTGGGTGGGGAAAAGTTGCCACATTCCCAGCGAAAACGATCGAAGTAGCGTCGACTGCTGCATGGGTTTATCACTCAGCGAAGTGAGCGTCTTGCTTGCACATTGTTTGAACCCGTCCACTGGATCACAACCTTGAAGAAACCCCACTTGGAGAGGGATTACAAATATCGCTGTGGAAAGAAGGTTCTGTAGGCAACTTCAATTCTTTGGACGCCCCCCCCCCCCCCCGGATTCCCACCCACACATAACACATTAACCCAACCAAGCGCTGGCGCCAAGAGCATGCAACACTTCCACGGCAGGGAGCTGGTTTGCGGGAAAACAAATCCAACGCAAACAAGGGATCGTCCCCTTCATTTAGACCCTATGGTGCCTCCCCGTCCTTCGTTTTAGTGCCTAACCTAGCACAGGACTGTACCTACTGCGAATTTGACAGGTTGCGGCAGCGATGCCGTGATCGAGCAAGCAAGAGCCGACGGCTACGTTCCTCCTCACCTCCCCGCCACCAACGGTCCGCCGATGCGGTCGATCTGCTCCAGGTCTTCCAGCCGCCTGGCCACCTCCTGGTGCTTCGCCAGAAGCGTGCGCCTGTTCACCTCCGTGGGGTGGGCCGTCAGCACCAGCTCGGCCTGCGACCGCGAAAAGAAGAAAAAGGGGCAACAAGAACAGGACCGAGAGTGTTCGGGGCTGTGGTTCACGGTGGAATTAGTTGTGGAAATTCAACAGCAACAACGCGCTATACTACACTTTCAAGAAAACATGCAGCACCAGTAAAGAGCGCGCAAAACAACAAGAAACATGCCCGGAAGGAAGAAGTGGTGCCTGAAAATATTAGAACGCCCGGGATAATCGTTGCCATCGCGATCATTTCCCGGTTCTCGTGCCTGACTCGGCACCCAACACGTTGACAGGCCGCAATTCGGGCTGTCGACGGCAGGTCAGCCTCGTGGGAAGACTTGGACGGACAAGCGAACGTCAACACGTGTGCGGTGTCGCACCTCATGATCATGGTGAATCTCCTCAAAAACGTTTTATGTTTCGCACGGCCCTCGCGATAGGGCGACAATGGATGGTGTGTCTTTAGGTGGTGGCGGAGTTGCCGGTTTCTCTCCCCCCCCCCACCCCCCCACCCCCCTCAGGCCAACTGTTAAGGTAAATTTTCCGATTTGGAATCCTGATTTTACGCCTTTTACATCCAATCCCCCATGAGGCCGCAGGAGTTCTGCGTACTTCGTTGGAAAAACTCACAAAAGCGCTTTGGCACTCAGCACTCGCCTCACAAAGACCCGTTTTCATTCAAACCTTCGAGGCCGCGTAGTGCATTGCTGTGACCCTCTCCGAGCCAAGTTTGGGGGGCTGGGGTGCAGTGTGTGTTCATCGTGCTAGCTAAAATAGGAATTTCAATTTGGGCTGGACGATCCTGGTGGAATTCCCAACTGGAATTGGTTGGAATTCCAAATTGGGAATCGTGAATTTGCTTTCATATCGTTGCATACTCTACGCACACTGCACTCTAGCTGCCCAAACTTGGCTCCGAGAAGCTCACAGTAGTGGAGTGTACAGCCTTATCGGTTAGATGACAAACAGGGGTCTGTGAGGCGAGGACGAACTGACAAAGCGTTTTGGTGCTCTCTGATTGCTCCCAGTACGCAGACCTCCTACTGTTAGGGGGTGGTGGAGCATTATCTGCCGATCCCCCAGATTCCCGTCCGGGAAAAATTTCCATGACAACTGGCCTCAGCCTTCTCTCTCTCTCTTCGCAATTCTCTAGCCTCGGGGTCAGTCTGTCGCGCCCCCGTCCCGTTTCTCTTTTACCGCAAATATTATACCAACGAACCTTTTGGTTGCACAAGGCGTTGATGATCTGGTCCGGGGTGGCGATCTTCCTGCTGAGGAGCCCCTCGATCGTGCCGAGGCTCGAGTCTTCCCTCCTCGCCACTCCGAGGCTCTTGCTGTCTTGGATCCTCTCCCGGAATCTCCTCACTCTGAAAGCAGTACAAATGAGAGTGAGCGCACACGTAACGGCGAATGAACATCCAGAAGGTGCAGCAGTCGTACACCATCCAGAAGCAGCCGAAGGTAACTCGACACGACAACCAAAGCGCGTTGCCCTTGGTTCGGCATCCTCGTTGGCCGTGTTCTGGGTGCGCTCAGGAAGGCGGGCGCGCGCATCACGGACAAGGAAGGCTGAAGAAGAGCGAGAGTTGCGTACCGTACCGTCAACGATTGACGGTGCACACCTAGCGCTCCCTTCTCATCGACTATTTCCGTGATGCGGGCGCCTGCCTTCAGGAGCCAACCCAGGACATGCCCGACCGACAAAGACGTCGAAACAAAGGGGAAACACTTTTTGATTGTAGGATCGATGCACCTGCGACTGCTTGTGTGGTACGGTGAACGTGTGGTGGGAGTGTCTAATATGGAGCTGGCAGAAGACAGTGTATGTGGGCACGACCGCGCAGTCCACCGTGACCAACCGAGTTTCGGATCGTTGTACTCGTGCTTCGATTTATTGTTCGTTGCAGCAACGCGCTTCAACATCTTGGGGGGCGGTTCCTCCCCGGGGTCCCGTAGTTTGCTCACCGGTGGTGGTTGTCGGCGGCGTTGGCGAGCGAGAAAAAGTGCGAGAACGCCTTTGCGACCGCCAGCATCTCCTCGGCCGAGAGAGTCTTCACCTGAACAACAGAAACAATGGGACCGAGACACGATGGAGGGCAGAGGAGGGAATCGCGGAAACCGCACACACGAACATGTGGGAATTGTTGCCAAGCAAATACGACGAATGGGAGCAAAAAATGGTGTTCCCGCAAGGGGTGAGGGTTACAGTAACAGGGTACACTTCGTTGCACTACGTGGTGAGAAACGGATCGGAGATGGTTCTAGGAGAAGAGGGCGACCACACGGACAACAGGAGGAAACGGGAAAGTGAGCAAAAGGAAACGACTGGGTTGGACAGCAATCATGGAGTAATCAACAAGCTCAGGTGGACAACTCACCGACCTTTCGCAAAAACAACGGTACCGAAAGCTCCAACCCCCTCCTCTAAGTCAGGGATCGTCTGTGTCCAGCCTTGCACTAACACTAGAGTGGGCCGGCCTGGGTATGGCACCGCCATGCACATTAGTTACCTTGTCTGCAAGGACGGACAAATCCGAATCACCGGCCCTCCAAGATCTTGCCAGGGAACGCAGGTCCTCAACGTGGTTCAGGGTTTCCGTCCCTGTGGAGGCGTATTGTATATACCACGGAAGTGTGAAGAGTGAGATACGGTAGACAGACGATGGTGGAAGGGAAGGGGATGGAGAAGACCGATGCATCAACAACAATCCTTCACCGGCACTAAAGCACCTTGACGACCACGCACACTACCGTAGTTTTTTTCTTTTCATCCTGTTGGCGAGGGCTGTTGCAGAACTACCTGAAACCGACACACACGAGAGGTGGGCACGGCAATATGATTACTTTGCTGCATTTACGAAAAACGTCTGGTTCTGTATGGGCTGCAACCATGGAAGACAGCATAATCCGTTGGTCTCCTGACAGAAGAGCACCGCATGATGTGCGCGCACACATGAAAAACTTTGGGGGGGCGACGTCTCGCTCAAAAATGCGTATCAAAAATAGAGGGGAAACAGGACAGGCCCCAATCGACCGAATCCACGGAGTATTGAAAAATCTGTCGGTTTCACATAGGTACCAGTAGCAAAAACTCCTCTGGTTGCCGTCGGGTAATATTGTGTTCTTTCGTTTGGTGAAAAACGCATCGAATCAACTACGTGGTTGGGTTGGGGTGGGATTTCGCAAGCCCCTCGACACCCGTTCAAAAAAAGTTTCAGGCTGGTGGTTGAAACCCGAGCACTCGACCCAAACGAAGCATAGATCACGTTTCCAGATTTTTCGTCAAGTTGCGGTGATCTTCGCCTAAAGCGAACAAATAGCTCGGACAAGGGGTTCGCCTGCAACAGAAACTCGAAGCGATGTATTGTGTACGGCCCAGGCGGTACACCAGTCTCCCGGAACAAATTCGAGAGTGACGGTTCTAGACGAATTGTGGCATGAATGTAGCAGTATCTGATCAGATGGACAAATACCCCCTGCTGAAAAGATCTTGTGTGTTCCTTCGTGTGACTCAGTGTCAAACCCTGCACCCTACCGCTGTCCTGCTGGGTGTCTTCCTAATGTGGCGCACCCCCCCCCCTACCCCTCCGCCCGCATGTCCTGACGCCATCCTAAACTTGTCTCGGATGCGAAAACCCGACTCACCGCTGTGCTTTTCGATGGCACGGCCGAGGATACCCCCAAGCATCTTCACGTCCCTCCGAAGGCGGTGGTCCAACCAGTCTCCTGGGGTACGCTCGTCCGACAGGGAGCGGCTCCATGTCTTGGTTGATGCACCCACAAGGGCAGGCCTAAGGACGGGTATGTATGCCGTATGCCATGGTGAGAGGTTGACGAGGGGATGGGCGGGCCGACGTCAGGGCTAGACATCTCCATACATGTAAGTTTGGGCATGAGCATGGCAGTGGGCCTGCAGGGTTCGATGTGACGGTTTGAACACTGAAGACATCGCGGCAAAGGCACGCTGCTTTTCATCTAACTGGCACTCTATTGCGCCCAATCTTAATCTTTGAATGGGATGTCCTTCGCGCGAAAAGTACCGCGTGTCCGCGGCCGCACTCATGTCCACAACGGTAACTTCACGTTCACGCCTGCTGTTACAATTAACATTTTTTTTTCTGTGTTCGGTGTGGTTTGTCGGAGCCCTTCGAGTCTACACACATCAGTTGTTGTGGGCTGTTCGCATCTGGGAGACGTCACAGCTGGCAGTCAGGTTTCTGCGGTCACAGGCCAACGACGTACAACGTACCCACAAACGGGTGTATGCATGCCACGAAAAAGCAACACGACCCAACAATTTCATCACAACCAAACGCGACGCTAGAACGATAATCAGAAGGCCCTGACAGCAGTCTGACATCGCTGGCGACACATCGGGCAAACGGGGTAAAATTGAGCACAACCCATCGCTTCCCATTCGGTACGCTAACCCAATCGACACAAAAAACAACCAAGAGACCACCAATTAAGACGCACGACGAATTTACCGTTGCTATTCCCTGCTGTGCCGGGCTGTTCATCGCCGGGGTCGCATCGGCCATGCCTACGCTTCATTCTTAAGCTACACCACACTCAGCAAGTACCAGCAGCGAGGCGTCGTGAATCCACTCATGTTCACAAACCTTTGACGGAATGTCAATGTTCACGGGGTCTCCAACATACGATACTCCTATCCATGATGCTGGTTCAGCAGTGCATGTTCTCGGCGACAAGCGGTGGGACCGGAGCAACACGGGCGCGCTGTGCTTGAACACATAGAGGTTCATTTACCCTTGGTCCATCCTCGATGTGCACGGTTTGCACAGCTGATTGTGTTTTGATGTCACGGCTGCTGTGCAAGAACATTCAATACTCCGCAGAATAACTGGTAAATGTAATGCCCAAATCTATTGGCACTAATAAATACGCCGACTGGCCGATAAGATCAAATTGAAAAAATGCCCCGCCGGTCGTTGGCGTGGGGACACATATATGCCGCGTGCACTTGGCGTATTACGAAAGCATCGTCGAAGGACATGAGACGAAGCGGTCTGTGGGCAGATTACCACCGCATGTGATACCACACCTTGCCCCAGAGCTCCTCGGTGTATGTTATCTCAACACTCACATCCATATGCATATATCGTGCACACTAAAACATGGTATCATATGTACTTCGTACGTGAACGTATGCTGACATACGCAGGGCACGCACTACTGCTCCCGCAGTCAACATGCCGATGGTTCTCAATCGCGTGCATGTACGGGCTCATGATCACACACGTGGTAGGAACACTCCGCCCTCTCTTCCCCTGCTGGTGTAACCCGACAGCTGCTCGATACCGAACCGTATAGTCTATGGTTGCATGCACCTCGGTGCTGCTGTGCAGCTCGCCTTTTCCACTGCGGAGCATCACTGATCACACAATTTTTTAGGTATGAGTGTGAGGTCGAGAGGGCAGCATTCTACACACCCTGCGGTGCACATATCGTGGGCTGGGAGTTACCATCGCAAAGGTGTTCGTACGTCACCATATCGATGTCATGCCTGAACACAACACGTCGGACACATGTGTCACATGTCACGTGCCCTGCCAAATCCGCCTACACTAGAACATACCGACAAGTGCGGTCGAAGTGCTGGCCATTCTCTCACCGTGAAGCACCGCTGCTGCCGAGCTGCCTCACGCCAGCACGAACCGCCGCTCCGCGAATGGAAAGCATCTCGACAAACTTCCACTCGAGAAGGAAGAAGAGGCGGTAGTTGTCGTCTGTCGCTGTCCGCGGTTTGTCTCGGTTATGTGTGCTGCGCTACTGCCTTCGGTGACGAGTACGCGAATCTCCGAAAAGCGGAGTGTAAATACAAGATTGGGAGATATGGGAGATACTATAGTTTTTTTATTGTTCTTCGGAGATCCCCTCGCCGCCTCGCCTCGCCCGTGTCCTCCCCCCGATGTCTACTGCTGTACCGCTGTCTGCTCTTTCTATCGTTGACTAGTGATATACAACCATTCACGACCAGTGGGGTACAAGAGTCGGCCTCGATGCCTTCGTTGGGGCCTTAAGTCAAGTGTGCGAGAGAGGGGAGGCGCATTGTCATGTGCCTTTTTTTAGTTACACCGCTGTGTGCACAAGCAGCTGCGTGCGGGGGATCGCTCCTTGTGATGCGTAAGATATAACACCCCCTGGATTGACTTTTCAAATCTCGATTACTCCATGACGAAGAGGATGGCGAAAACCAACGGCGCGTTTTCAGAACAATCGCAACGAGGGATGGTTCAAGCCCCGCCTTTTCGGCCCATTTGCACTGCTGTTTGTGCTCCAGGAGGTGTGGTATCTTACGCAACGTTAGGATCGGCCGTGAACTCCACAGGTATGCATGCAGATTTAAGTGCGCATGTTGTAGGATCAAGGGGTTTCACAGACCTCATCCAAGGCGACAGGTCGCAATGATGATGCGGCGTTGTACAGGGATCAATCCTACGGATAGGCTGCTTTCGCTCGAACAGCGTCGCTTGCAACATGCCCAAGCGTTCAAACCTTGGAACGAACGTGTGGGTTGTGGACGACCCGCACACCGCGTACCCATAGATACGTGGCTGCTGGGCATGAACTCCTACCAGGAAACCGCAGCAGCAAATATTGTGGCGCTTGCTTGAGGTGTATTTTGAAAGCAAACTCTTCACGGAGGCCTTGATCCGTTTGCAGAAAAACTGTTTCGCTTAAAAAGCGTCAGAATTTTTCCACGTCTCCAAGGCGCCGGTAGTCGAGACACGTGCGCCTCAGGCTTGCACACGCGCCTCATTCGGACGACCTGTCTTCTCCATGGAGCCTCGAGGACCGTGCTATTGTACCCAAGCGTCTTGTATATGTTAGCCTCGTACATTGAACCTTCTGAAAGTCATTACCAAGCGCCGTGGAATCATATATTCATACATGACCGTTTCGACCTCTATCTCGCCTTCGAGCGCGACCCAATTACTGTAAGTCTCATCTATTTTCTGCGACACACTACTGTGCAGACAAGAACCATGTCCAGACACCGCGCATTTATTTTCCCATTTGGGTCAACATGGCGTGTACCACGTACATCGCTCCCACTACAGTACCCCAAATCCACAAGTTACCGAGTAGCATATTTCTTCGCGATGCATGCGACGGTTGGGATAGATATCATTCTGTCCAGCCGCCTTGCAATGTTGACACTGCCGACAAGAGAGATGAACACGAAGTCACACTCACAGCTTCCTACGCCAACCATGCCCTTCCAGCATGCGGGGGTGGGCGGGGGGTCAGGGCGGAGGAAGTCGAGAGAAATCACGCAACAGCTAAGGTCGACGCGCCTTCAAATCAGATCTAGTCTACTTGTACATGATGGGACATCATCAGTGTTTGATCAATGCAACTTATGAAATATTCTCATGCCAACGTCGGTTGAGCAACAGGGTAGTTGAGCACTTAGTCGATCTATCCTGTCGTCAGAGGCGTACATCAGGTCAAATGCACCGCCAGTTTTCTGTCCGTCATGTCCATAACCTAAAAAAAAAATGGTTTCCAAATCAAACTAAACTTATCAAAACGAACTCCAGAACATTAATGAAGCAAAAAAAAAACTTGAATTTGCACAAACGGCGCGTGTTTCATTGGAACTGGTGCGATTTCCAGCCGGGATCGAAACTACTCCATGACCTCCCTCTCTTCATCGATGCGTTCTCGCTAGTCATGGTTTGTGTCATCTGTGCCACCAGCGGAGTTGTCGGTGTTGACGGACTCCGTCATGTCTGACAGCAGGCTGATTGTCCGTCCAACGGTCATTTGATGGGGTAATGCACAGGATTTCGACGCGCGAGAGAGAGAAAAAAGGGAAACGGCACAGAGAACAGGGGAAGATCAAGAACAAACGAAACAGGCGGCCCCGGACGGAAATTATCGCGCCGGGTAGGCGGTCGGTCAGGGAATGACACCCATGACCGATCGGCAGCAACGTTCAAAAGTATTGGGATGGCATTAGTCCCACCCTTGTGGTCGTGGGTGGGTGTATTCTGTGGCAATTCTATGCGGGTGTTGGATCCTGAGGTTGGCTCAGAGTGCCTCCCCCGGCACACCCTCTCTCTTTCCCGCGTACGCCCCTGTCTTCTCCATGCCCTTATTTCCTAAGGACGACCATTGTTCTCTTTCCACGCATGTACTCACCTCGGTGGCCGTGCCCCGCACCATAATTCGTGGCAGCTAGACAAGAAGGGTCGACCCAAGCGACTGCCGCTTGGCGCCTCGCGTCTGAGGTACTCGTTGGTTGTTTGACCCTTCGCCACAAGGAAGATGTGGAAAGATAGCAACCCCCCCACGAGAACCATAACCACAGCTGTCCATAGAGCCAACAGGTGGGGGAAGAATTGACTGCCCCTGCGAACAAGCAGGAGGCAGGACACGCAGGAGGTAGGGTGGAAGTCATCTATGATGAAATGCTGACGCAAACACGCGAAATACCTACCACCATACCACGAAGATTCCTTCAGCTCCACGACACGTGAATCTTGCCGGCCTTGTTTTGGGCTCGTGTTGATTCTACAACCACGGATTGTACTGACCACTTGAGAGACCCTAAACAAACATAGTGCAATTGGAGCTAAACACCTGCGAGCGATTTGCAAGGAAATACGACAATAGTCAATCTCACGGGATTCTGGCCCAGTTCACGAGAAGGACCGGACCGACGTTGTCAGCTCGGGGGGCGACGATGTGCAGCACGCTCAACGCGCAGGCGAAGAACTCGCTGATGGTAACAATAGAAATGAAGGCCATGAACGCGCGATAGTTGCGTGCGCCGATGCAGTTGCCCGTGCTAGAAGGAGCGAGTAGCAACAAGACAAAGGTCATGTAGGGCAGCGCGTTCATTTCTGCAGTGATCGAGATCGCCGATGCAGCCACTCCAAAAATGTATTCGTGCGACCGAACAAGTACGGCTGTCACAAAACCATCCACGAGTACTTGAAAAGGAGGTTGGGGTGTGTTGGGGTGTTGCACTTACTAAACATCAGTTTTTCTAATAATAGTCATATAATCTCAATCCATCATAATGCTACTATGTTTTCTGCAACGTTGATGTGCAAGCTACACTGCGAAATGACTTACAATGGGCAGTGGTGATCAAATTCCATGACGCAGTTATTGCACCTCTTGCAGTGCTTGGCCCTCGGGGGACGCGCGAGCTGGCACGTGACACAGGATTTTCGCTCGGCAACGTCAGGAGAGGCCGGGTCTAATGAGTTCCACAACGCCAGAGTTCGTCGAGGAATGATCCCTGCCAAAGAACACGAAGCCGCGGTGGGGAGTAGGGGAGATATGTGATGCAATACAAACACTTGCAATGGCGACCTCCTGGGAGGGGGGATAGAGAAACCCTAGGTATGATAAGCTTTTGTTCGTGAGGGTTTTTCAAGGATTTGAAGGATGGGCGCCTGGACCCTTTTCTGCTGTCTGACCCCGGGTCGGGGATCTTGAGTTAGGGAACAGGTTGTAGGGCAGGTAGAGATCTAGAGTGACGTTCAATAAATGAGATGGCGATATATCACGCAGGTCGTTCAAGGCGAACTCGGAATATTGAAAGACACACCGACAAGACTCGTGTCACGATTAGAGCAAAAAAAATTATTCTGAGATCCCAATAGTGAGGAAGTCGATATCTCAGCCGGACGACGTCGTTGGACAGCGAAGAGCAATAAGCCAAACTGGAATATTAGAAGATGCTGCAGGTTCCTCGGCGAAAACGAGAAAAAGTTGGGTCGAAATGACGTTGCAGCGCCAAAGGTAAGTGTCCGATCCAACAAGAAGGCGTCGTCGTCGGTAGACATTAGGTAAATGTGACCAATAACATTAGAGCCTTTTTAGGGGGAACCGGAACCCGGACGGCAGCCGGTTAATCAAGTTTCCTCGTCTCAGTCTTCTGGGTATGTTCACGAGTGCCCCATACCCGCTACGTCATCAGAACTTCTATTAAATTATTCGATTTCCCGTTGTTTTGGCCCTTCTCGTTCTTGGTGGCTGCCACCATCTGTTGTTGGGAACATTGTTGGTTGCTACCACCGCTGTTGGTGGGTGACGGGATTCGATTCGCATCTTCTGCCACCAGCATCACACATCTCTTCGCCGACACCAACATGGAAAAACAAATCGTCGTCGAAAGGCGTTGGGGGCTCGCGATCCTTTTTCGATCGCCTCGACGTATCATACGCATTTAAAACCATTTGCTTGCGCACCAGGGTCCATCATCGCCGTAGAAGCGAGCGAGATGATGCACCCCACGAACAGGCAGACCGAAACCGTGGAGAAGAAGGCCCATCCCCCGTACGTCGTAGCAGGAAGGCTGAAAAAACCAAGGGGGAGAGTGGGTGGGTCGATGTCTACCGTTCATCTTCGGGCGCCTAGCTCTCAAGTCACGCGCATTTCAAGCATCGACGTGGAACAATTTGCTGCGATCATTCCAACGTGATACCTTTGTGGGCGAGCATCTGGAACTTTACTCGAAGAACATGTACAGCAGTAACAAGAAACCGATACATACGGATAAAGGCGAGCGAGCACGACACCAATGTCTATGGGCCCAGGACTAGTGGATGACCCCTTCGGCAACTGCAAAAATGATTATGTTCAACCCGCTTCGAGCCATGGATACACCCCGGGCAGTGTACGCCATCTTAGCTCTGAATTGCCCTTCGCTTACCTGATGAAAGTGAAGAACAACGTCGCCGTGAAGAGAAGAATTGTCGCGCTGAATGCCAGTGCTCGGCAGTGCGATCCAACCACAATTCGTCCTGAGCCAGAATCCACCCAGGTGATTGGGTAAAGGTACGTTATCGTAACGAGGGGAAAACGAAGAACAATCGTAGCCTAAACTGTTCACATCTCGAAGGTAGTTCTTCATTCAGCCTCGATGCTCGCGCGGGTCGATTATAACCATCGTGTTACTGCAGCCCTAAGTTGCTCACCCCCTGCGAAGAAGTTGGCATTCCCCTGCCAGCACTCCCATTGCTGTCTGCGCTTGCGGAGAGATCCCACGTTCATTTGCTCGTCCTCGGAATGCCTATTTCCACTGCCCGGGTGTACGTCCTGCACGGGAAGTCGCCCGCAGCTAATTGGTGGTGGCACAATGTATATGTGTATGCGTGTGTACGCTACCAAATTTAGGGAGGCATCCGCTCGTCTACGAAATAGCCTGACAGGCGATTTACATGATGACATAGCCTACGGAGCGCTCGATACAATTTCAGCGAGCTGATGCTGTCAAGACTACGGGAAGTTGGACTGGTATCGAAGGGGGATGAACGTAACCGCGGGATAAGGGGGTCCTCGTACCGGGCATTGCCTTGGAGATTCGCGACGCCTGGTTTTGCGTCCCGTGTTTGTCCATGAAGCAGCCCACCAAACAAGCACGAGAAGCCCGGAAAGTCCCAACAGTGCCAGCACACCCATCGAGGGGTTCGTCACAAGGGCGCGCCAGACAAGAACCCCGACCATTGCAGGTACAAAATATGCACAACACAGAGCCGAAATTCTGTCAAGACCGCGCTTTGCTGTCTGAGCGGCCAGTCCCAATCTGACCCACCAGGTGCTTCGCCTAGGGTAGTTGCAACGTGGGACAAGCATGCCAAGGGTGGTGAAAACAGCGACGAACTCGAATTTCGCCAGACGCTACTCTAGTGGAGGTGGCGAAGAGGAGGTTTCGACGTGATTGGGGTCATCGCATTGGGGCCATTCCTTGGCGAAGGTGAGTTCAGGCTTGAGGATATACCATGCATCGGCCATAAATCCAAAAATTCGAAAAGGAATATGCAGAGACTACACGATGTGACCATGAATGACACGACAAGCAATAAACGAGGGACATGGACCTTTTCGACTCCAATTTCGGGGGCCGAGAGTATCGCCATGTTCCTGGACAACAAACCACACCGATGCATATGGTTTAATTTTACCGGTATCCCCTTATTCTAGTGTTCCAAATCGAACAAGCAGGAGCATCTAACATTGTCAGTGACTGCCTTGCTCCCCTCTTGAACCTAGAATGGTCTCGAGTTGCGTTGTTGACCGCGGAGGCTTGTCTGCAACATTGTCGCTGAATCGCAACACATCACGGTTCTCACCTAGAGATTCCGGCTGTGCAAGCTTCTGAAACGGCTCGACAAGCAATGCTGCATGCCTTCCCTTGTCGACCAAGCGCAACCAAGCCCAACCACGTGGAGCGGGAGCACGTTCGCACGCAGCTGGCTTCTTCCACATCACATACAGGCTGTTCATTATGAAACGAAACGCAACGATCAGGTACAGTTCACCAAGCACGAGCCTCATTGCACGAGAAAACACTTGCCCCCTCGACTGGTATGTGGATTTGTTTCTTCGGTTTTTCAGTGTTAGTCCCCAACGGAGAGCTTACAGTAATGTTGGCAGCATGACTGCCACACACATAGGTGGAAGGAGTGTCCTCTGTCTCACGTGAATGTCAGCGTTCAACCTGTCGATGACTCTTCGCCATGTGCCCTCGCTTTGGGGGTCCAGCCGTGCCTCTGCCCCCAGAAGTGCCTGAACTGTCCTCTCTTTCCCGTTCTCAAAGCGCCCCACCACAGGAAGAAACCACCCGTGTGACCACCGGTGTGGGCAACTGCAGAAAGGCATCGGAAAGGCTAGTTATTTCGATGCTCCACGCTACAGTAGGTTTCCAGCGGAGATGTTCTACTCGCCGGAAACAGTTCGGTCCGCCGGGTTGGAGTCCACCGAATTCGAGCATGGTCTTATCGTTACATGTGAACTAAACCATGCCCGGAAGGCCGACCTACCACTCAACCACGTGCTGTTTCATGCCCCATACGTGACCACCAAAAAGTAGTATATACGTCGGGCTGCCTAATTAATACGGTCTGCTATTGTATCTGCAGCGCTAGGCCATGCTGCCTACAGACGTACCCCGAAGGTGCCGGACTCAACGTGGTTCAAGGTCAAACACAGTAGAAAAAACAGTACCTGCCCTTGCTGCACATCTCCTTTAAAACCACCCGTGTGGCCGGAAGCCTTGCCAGGGAACCTGGGCTTATCGCCTGCGCTTTCGCCGCCTCACACCCAGCGGCGAGCCACAACATCGAAAATATCCACATGATGGAACAGCGAAGAGCGCGGCGACAGCGACTACCCGGAATCTGTTGGAACGTCGTTTGATAACACGCGTACGTTGTGGTGAAGGTAACCCTGGGTACATTAGTATAGCAGCGATGCTTCATGGAGTTCAAAAACACAGCGTGAGAAACAGCGGGTGGAAGATGTCTCAATTGAAGTGAAATGCAGTACCCGTCGAACGAGCACAACTAAATACGATATGCGGAGGCTTTGGTCAAAATATTACTTTCCCTTTCTATAAAATACAGAAAATAGCAAAGTTCCAGGTTGCGCAGAAGAAACCTTGACGAGCCGCCGGACATATGTGGACGCGGGTCGAACTCTTGTCCATCGATGTCGGGCCTACATCGCTGGATTTCGAACACCGTGAGCGAAACTTCGTTTTTCTGCGTCAATGCATGTGGAAGGGGAAGAGTATCTTTGTCGTAGCTGAGAGATCTACCCGTACATGGCCGTGTCGCGGAATGTCTTTCGCAAGAACCAGCTTCAGACAAGCCCTGTATCGCCTGACAGTCCGCAAGGATCAGGGCGTGCAGATCAGCGGCAGCCCCAGCTCAGGCAATGCGCTAAAGGAAGAAATCGACAGGGAAGCCTAGGCCTCGGATCATGCAACAACATCAGCTCAAGCACCAAGCGCGAAATGACCCGGGTGGACTGAGTCGCGGATTGTACTTCATTGGCGACAGGCTTACCGGCCCGTGTACTCTGGGCAAGGTTATTGGCCTATTTTACGCTGTACTGGGCTCGGCATCGAATAACTGCTCCAGGTGGCGTCGCCAATACTGCTGTAGTCAATCTTAGGCGGTGCCTCGTCAATCTTAGGCACCCACTCTATGACATCCTGTGTAGTCACCCATCCTATGTTTCCATGGGTTTGCATATCGCAAACACAAGCCACAGACATAAACATGATGTTCTTACACTACAAACCAAGTGACATCACATGAGCTGTTGCGAACCTGGTGTTTGACACTTTGCACGTTGATGCTGTGATCTGGCGCCTCGTATACTGTTGTAGTTGCCGTATAGAGACGAGGACGTTGTGAGCAATGGATACGAACACGCCCAAGAGTTGACATTCGCTATACTTTTTCGTTGTCGGACGATCCGTTTCACGTTTGTCAGTCAGCAGGGGAGACATACGGGACAGCTCGATCTTTCAATACGATACCCGCCCGAGTACAATCAGTCAGTGCTGTTCAGGCCGGTGGGACCGATGAGGTTTACCTACACCGGGCGCCGCTCTCAGCACGGTCGACTTGAACTTTGAACTTGGACCTAACATCCTTGAGCATGTGACGAGAAGGTACATGGGTTCATCTGGGATACTCCCAAAAAAGCTGACAAAAAAGAGATACGGAAGTGGTACCGTGTTGCCCGGCTTCCGGTCGAAATTGAAATAAACACACACACAGAAAGACTACCTATTCGAGATATAGTCTACCCACAGTTCGAACGGGATGTGGTGGAGAAATTGAGACTGTACCGCAGGCTAATTGCACCGCAAAGTAACCGATGACAGTCCCGCCGAAGGCGGGTTTCGTGCACACACTTCATGTGTTGGTCTGGAGTCTCTTACGGAGAGAAGTAACCATGCGCACCGGGACCACATCATGCAGATGAGGAGCACCTCGCCCGTACGAGAATATGGTGGTGGCGATGGTGGTGGTGATGACGACGGGATCGTCTTCGGAGATAGGTGTGAGAGACGAGTGTTCGTGTCGGGTTCTTCCAGGCGGAATGTCGGGGTCGCTGTTGATCTCCATGGCTCCAAGCAGCGGTGCACAGCACCAGGCACGGATCCACTGCATGCTCTTGGGCTGGTTCCTCCGTCTCCGTATCCTATTCTCCGGCAAAATGCTGCCGTCACTGCTGCTACGGTACGACAAGAGGGGTGTATCGAGACTGGAAAGCAGATGGATCATACCAGCGAACAGCAACTACGAATACACCGACAATCGTCACGAACAGGACAAGGCCACGAAATCCTCAGCAACCATCCCTTCGTCTCGTCCAAGGAACCGTGGACAACTGTAGCACCAACTTCTGGTTGTGGAGGACGCCACGACAACTCCAGCCCCCCGCCGCGATATCATGGATTACCACACGGTACATCTTACGGGGCAATCTACTCGCCTCAACGGAATCGCCGTCGAGGAGCGAAGATTTACGAGGGACAACCCAGCTCACAATCAAGCTTAGCATATTGTGGTCAAGACAAATCTGCAATGTTACTGCTTCAGAGGATACGCGCGGATGAGCAGATCATGGCTGAAGAAGTGGTGCGACTACGGCGTGAGGCTGACCCCAGGGTCATGATTCGCCGTTTCTGGCGTTCCTCCGGGTAAGGCTTGAGGTGAAAATTTTGGCTATGGTTCGGTCGCGGTAGCTGGAGAGGCTTCCGCCGGAATGATGTGAATACCGAAAAAAACTACGGTCGTGTGGCCGATATGGCGCTATCTTGGAATGCGGGCACGCTCCAGGATTGGAGCTACTGTAACCCGGATTTCCATGTCGAGTGAATGCTGCACCCCATCAGGAATAAACACGTCCCTTTTGCTTTAGTGGGAGGTTATCGCGTCTCCACCGCAATCAATCGTGAAGCGCTTACACAAATGCCGTTTGGAATGTTCTCACCGAACCTCCAGGCTTCCTTTGGATCACATATTTGCAACCGCTGCGGGCGTATACCGTCGATCGCGCCTCCGAGCTGCGCTCTCAACCTGGCATTCCGTGGCCAAGGCAGAAACCCACCGCATCAACTGCAGAATCGCGGCAGCAGAAGTCATTCAACGCGCTACACGAGTTTTTATCGCAAGACATACAGCTGAGCGTCGCCGCCGCGTGCGTGGTCCGGCAGTGTTGGCAGCCTCCCGCATCATTCAGGCCGAATTTCGCTCGTGGAAAGCCCGAGTAAAGGCTGCTGACGTAGCAGTTCGCCAGAAAAACCGACAAGAGCTTCGAGAACGATACTGGCGCGACGAGAAGGCGAAAGACGAACACAGGCGACGAGATGCGTCGACCGTGATGCAAGCGGCGTGGAGGGGGGCTGCTGGGCGCGCAGTAGGATTGAACAGGGCACGACAAACACTGAGGGGGGTGTTGAATGAGCTGGGTGGTGGCCGGGGGCGCATGCACAGGTAGGTGATGGTATTTCGAGAGGAATGTGCGCACCTCTTCGCAAGACGTCGGGACACCTCGTGACTTGGCCTTTTTTACTTGTCACGTTCATTGAAAGCTGTTTATACACCGTTTCTGAGGGTTCTGTTGCAATAGCAAGCTTTCACAACTGGGAAATACAATATTTTCATTGCCGCAACCTGTCACACAATTTATGAGCGTTCGAAGGGCGTGCATGGTGCTTCTAACGTCTTACGGATGGTCTCAATCGCCTGCTTGCTCTCTGATCGCGCTTTCTGACTGACACCACAACTGTGCATGGGAACATTTGGTGGCCTATGTCAATAGTAGGCTAGTTTGGCATATATGGTAGCCACATTTACCTCGACCTTCTTTGGGCAAACAAGATTAGCATGTACATTTCGTGGTTGAAACGCCTTTTTTTTTTACATGACAGGTTGCATGAGTGCAGCGTTCCGACTGGCTGCTTGGAGCATGTGGCTTTGGCAAGAGCTTGTGAAATTGCTCTCCGACTACCGGTCCGATCTAGGGGGCAAACCCGCGAGGTAAGCAGAGGGTTCCGCTACCGACGATAGCGTACCATCGATCAACGCCATGAGCCCCCTTCTCTTGGGCCGCAATCACAATCACATCTAACCAACGCAATCCATCACCCATTAACAATTGCTACCAGGTATTCGGCAACAAAATCGTTGCACTCCTCAGTTAGCAACCGTTATTTTATGTGCCGAACTATCTCAGGCTTGAGATATAGAAAAAATGGCAACAACTACAGCACGTGTTCGCAACTGCAGGCACTGCTTCTTCTCCTGCGATGCCGACTCCTTCTGGATGCTCGTCGACAACTCCGGCAAGAGATGGAGGGGCGATGGACCCGGCAGGCTGAGGCTTTCTCGGCCTTAAAGGCAGGTCTAGAAGAGGCTCGGAAAGAAGAGGCGATGCGAAAGGGCCAGTCAAAGAGGTAGGCACAAGATGAGAAGATCAAGGGCACTTAATGTTGATATCGGTGAGAAAATGCGAATCCTCTGGTACACTTTTCGGTGTGCACGTATGTAAAGCATCGTCTGGTATAGCCTGTCGGTACAACGGAAGGAAGCTGCAGCACGCCCAAAACCAAGGTAATCGATTGCATCAACTGCGGGATCGCAGATCAAAACCCAGTCCTTTTCCTGCGACGGTTTTTGCTCATTCCGCAGGGAGAAGGACCACGCCGATCAGCAAGAGCAACGGCAGACAGAGAGAGAAGCACATATCTCTCAAACCGAACGCAGACTGCGGGAGCTGCGCGAGAAACGAAGGATACAGATACGAATTATCGAGGAAAGACATCGAGAGCGGGTGAGTGATCGATTTCAATTTGCTGCGGACGGAAACGGTTATAAATATGTCGCGGCAATGTTTGTAGATGGATCCGAAATCGTTACACAATAGAGAGGAAGGGCACCACAGCAAAGGAGTCACCATGAGGTGCAAGCGGCAAAACATATCACGAACGTTTGGTGGTACAACGGGTGTTTGCCGCTCGTCCGAGAGTGAGTGTCTTTGGAGCGCCACACAGTGGGTGATGTATCACCCCATGCTTAGGGTCAGGCAATGCGGATCTTCCGGAAATCATCATCGGCGCGTTTGCCGCCGCCCCGCTGCCTCCTTCACGCCCCCGATCCGCGGCTCTGTGTGCTCAACGGCGAAATCTTCAGTGCGAGAGCTACTTAATGTGGCGAGAACAGACCAGACAAGAAGAAATCACTGAGGACATCAACGCGAAGAGGGAGGCAAGGTGGGGAACGCATGGTCACTAGCTCGCAGTGTCCCTGTGGCTGCGGTGAAGTACCGTGCTATGACAGAATTATGGGTATCAGCGCTTACTTCATTGGGGCCTCATCAAACAATCCAGAATCACCTATGTACATAATATGTTATTGCCACTCATACAACTTCAACTGCACTCGTTCAGAGAATCCCACGAGCTGGTCATGATGAGGAGGGAGGAGCTGCTAGCAAAGGAAGCGTGGAAGCTCGATGATGCTGCGGTCGGCCGCGCAACTCAACTTCGACGGCACGAGGAGTGCATTTTCCGGCTGTTTCAGCAGGATTCGCCGCCTTCCACGAGCTCCGTAGAGCAGAACGAGTTGGACAGGGGTGCCAGAGCTCGGTCCCTGCCACGAGACCATCGATCAAGTGAGGACCGAACCCACCCGCATGTAAAACATAGGCCGGTATGTTTCCTTCTCTCTTTCTTGGTTTTCGAATGTTGATTTTTCGCTGAGCGAGGGTATCGCTAACCAGTTGAAGGCAAGATAAGTTATATCGGGTGCTATGGACTCCTCGACAGCAAATATTTACCCTAATAAGAGCAATTAGGAAGGAAATTACTCAGACCTCTGTAGGGCACTCGCTTTCTGCGAGCGTCCTGGATTGATGTGTTGCCGGCATTGTTTTGCGGCTATTTGTGTACCCAATACCAAGCCCATTTCCTTGCCCAGTTACGGTCTTCCAGTCAGGGTGGCAGCAAATAGCAGAGTCAAATTAATATTGAGCTGCGAATCGATCCCGTGCTCTCGAACTATAGGCGTGGTTGAGGGGCTTCGAAGATATCTGCGCCAAGAACTTGGCCCTACATACGCCCTCGGGCGCACGAAACCCTACACTAACAACACCATGGTCTGCGAACTTCAATTGGGATGGGTCTGAATATTTTCTGCCTCCACTTGGTACACGAGCTTCCACCTGTTGATTGTTTAGATATTGGGTTGGGTTACGGATAGGGTACTCCCTTGTACCACATGGACCTAGACTGCTACTCCAATCCAACGCACGCTGTCGGGATTTCTCAACTTTCAGGGAAACCTGAGGCGTTGGTGCTGGACGGCCTGGAGTGTGTCATCGACAGCAAGAGGGTGAAGGCAACGGTTGCTATTCGACCGAGCGATTCTTCTGTGCGAGTGTTCAGCCAGGTTCGGGTCGCTTGATCGTTTTCGGATGGTGTAAAATATGGGTAATTTTGGCGCTATGAACCTGCCTGCAGAGATCGAAAGTGGGCAGATTCAATGGGACGGTACCCAATGCGCTCTTGATTAGGGAGGCTTGTCACCACGATTGGAAAGGAAGATGTGCTTGTTTGTACGTAGCAATCGCCAAGGGGTCTACAGAGGCAGTAGGATCATAGGAGAACCATGTACGTCGCATCCCTTTCCACCTCTGGATCGACGTTCAATGCCATTGGGATATGTACCCGGTGCGGCTCTACGAGCGCAAACCATTTCGGAGTAGACGCCGTTTTTCTACGTTCGTGATACCTCACCTGCCGGGGCCGCCTTGCCTCGTTGGTCGTTATTTCCACACTTTCGTTATCGTTGGCACTACCGCCACAGACACAGGCCGTGCGAGCCACACTATGCGTCCAAGATACTGCGAGGAAACGTGTGGCGTACTGGGGCGCAAGGTTTGTGCGGAGCCTCTGTCATCATTTTGCGGAGCAAAGGGCTACTCTTCAAGGAACCCGGTTTCCTGAACCCCTAAACTTTGGTAAACTTTCCTATTGTAGAACATCGTGCATGTCCCATCCCCCCTGCCTTAAGCCCCCTGCCCTCCCGCCCTATCCCTCTCTTTCTCTAATATTTGCGTGCTTCTCCTGGTCTTCTTCCCGAATGTGTTCGTTGGTTGACCGGCTAATCGACAGGTGTCGGGTTGACGCCGAGCATGCAGCAAGGTTGCGAGGAGAGCAGTTTCGCCTACGGTGCAAGACCAGAAAGGAGCGTCGCTGGAAGGCAGCGGAGGTGAGCACTTGTGGAAATACGCGAGTGTGGCCTATATGTAGAGGTCGAGCTCCGAATGCCTTGGAGAGACAATATAGTGTACTATGCTTGGGTTCGAAACATATCATCACATGGCGTTCTCGGAACCTTTTTTTGGGTAGGTGGACAACGCAGGGTTGGCAAGGACTGATTTGCGAGGTCGTAGTTTCACCCTTTCAAGTAAAGATTTGCCACGGCAAAACAAACCTGTTTCTTGTCCGTCGATTTGCGCATCGATATTCTGCTGACCATCGTCTCTCTCTCTCTCTCTCTCTCTCTCTCTCTCTCTCTCTCTCTCACTCACTCCCAATACCCTGCACCAACCCGTCCCGGCCAGCAGGTTGCGGCGGCGAAGTGCATCGCGGAAGAATCCATCGTCCAGCTCCGGAAGGCTCTGAAAGACGCCCGTCGTTCGACCGTCTCACGCGCAATGGCCCTCGCGGTTGCGCTCGGCGTGAGCCCTCCGAAAAGCCTCTTGGAGCGACGCGTGTCGAACGAGCACCAAGAGCGTTTGTCGGTGCGAGACGTGACCGCGGGAGGCAGTACGTACCGCTCCACAGCGGCGCGAGTGCAGCCTCACCTTGCCTCAGGAGGAACAAAAGGAGCGGGAGCTACAGCGGTGCCGGGCGGCACTGCCGCCGCCGGGGGAGCCCAGAACGATTCTCATCACCGTCATCGTCATCTACCGGCAGCGGTGGTGCTGGGTACGGAGCCGGGTCACCGGGTTGTCCCCGATGCAAAAACCCGACTGTCTCCTGGCAAGCGGGGGGTGACTGAAACCAGGTGCTCGCGAGGAGGACCCACGTCGAGCACACGTCCCGACTCTCCGAAAACAACAGCCCGTCGAAGTGTTTTGCGGTTGACACATCCAACAGCTGTGGGACTTAATAGCTGTGCGACGACTATTAATAACAGCTCTTCGAAAGCGGTGGCCGAGGCCTCCGATCTGGGCTGGAACCGTCAATGGTGTCGCGCGGTGGATTCCTGGTGCAGAAATGCCTCGGCTAAAGTTCGGTCGCTGCTCGCCGGGCAAGTAATAGCATCAGCTAGGCGTTTGCACTGGTTAGCTGGACCACGCCGCAGTTGTACTCATGCTCGTTGCCGCGGCCGCTGCTGCGGCGGTGGTGGCGGTGGTGGTTACATCGACACATCGTCTAGCGGAAATATTTTGGCCTGCAGTTACGCTGCCTGTACCCAGGACAAAAGCAGCGCCCGGGCAAGTAGCATTCCTCGTAGGTCACGTTCACGCGAGGAAATCAGTGCAGAAGCATGGGTGGCCTTGGCCAAGTTCGGTCAACTGACCGATCTGCTGGAGATCGTGGGAAGCACGGCCGAGCTGGTAGTTTCGGTCCAGATGAGCTCGATTGTGCAGCGGCAGCAGCCAGCGGGAGAGGTGCCTGCGTATCAAGAGGAAAATGAGGCGCAAGGAAGAGGCCCGATCTCGTCTGGAGAGCATGAAAACAACGAACCGCGGATGCAGGCGAAACAACGTGTCGCGGACGACGAAGGCTTACCGGCGAGGGTGGAGCGCCTAAGCTACAGAAACGCTGAAGGAGAAGACTCCTCCACCTCCTCTTCTCTCTCCACCGGCTCGTCACACAGCACGAGGAGTTCGGTAGCTGAACCAGTGGCCTCAGGACTTTCCCCTACTACGGAAAATCTTGTTGATACTACCACAGAGAAGAAGAACCTCGCAAGCAGGGAGGACAGCATGGTCACGGATTCTAAGGATGGCGCACTGTGGGAGAGTGAACAAGGAGGAGCACGCAGAGCGGAGCCTGCCTTCGAACACGATCCCGATACAGAGAAGGTATGGCCCACCCAATGCTTTCGTGGCATTGTTGCTGTCGGAGAACGAGCTGCTGCAGAAGGAATGGACGCCCTGGTCACGCATCGCCGCCGCCCGCCCCCCCGCCGTCCGTCACTGCTCGTGGCAGTCAACGAGGAAGGGGATACCGACACGGAGGCATCCTCCTCCGACGAGGACCTGGATCGGGAAGGAACCAACAATGTTTCGGAAACAGGTGGGTCGCCAAGCGA